AAAAGCCCCCGAATGTGCCTCTGTCTTCTTGCACGCAAAACAGACAAGAAATCGGACGTCGCTCTCAAAGGGGGGGGGGGGGGGGGAGGGGTGTACAAGCACCAGCGAGCACTATGGAGAAGAGGTTCTCATTTCGAATCATGGAAAACCGCCCTGACCTTTGAATAATTGGTAGAATAAATGTTCAAGGCGTTGCTCATGTCTCGCGTCGGACGGAGTTGCGGCCCACCGCTGACTAGAAGGAAAAAGGATTAGAAGAGGTGACTCATATTCTGTCCATATTTTGGGTCTCACTTCTGTGGTAGAGATAAACGGAAGAGAAAGGAAGAAAGCAAGAGAGAGAGGGAAATCGCAAGTCTGCATGAAAAAGCAATTTGAGATGTCGCCTCGAACCAAAAAGGAAAAAATAATGACCAGAGAGAGAAAGAGATCGCGGGCACGCCCCCCCTTGGATATGATGAATGACATGGGCGAACAAGGCCGGCGATACATACTCTCCTGCACGATTGCTCGACCGGATGTCAAAGTCCAAAAGCTTGCAGGGAATCCCTGGGATCCCCCCTCAAGCGTCTGATGAACGAGATCCGAGTTTGGCCCCCTTCCACTGCCGCCGCATACCCCCGTTCTCCTTCCAAGACGGGCTGCATGCACGGTAAGTTACTGGGTTATTTTCTTCACAAGTCCACTGCGTCTGACCGGCGCTTGTGTCAAAGAGTCCGAATCGATTTCACTTAGCCTTACTAGAGTCCTTTTGCTCGTGAAGAGAGCATGGATCTTGGGGCCGGGGTGGACCAGCGTCCCTGGGCCTTCTCCGTAGACAGAAGGCCATTCTTGTATTAGGTCCCGTCCCTGGGGTGCAAGGACCGATGGCCCTCACCGGGTGTATCTGCCCGCAAGCCCGTCATGGCCATCTTTATAGACACACACATATGCGCACACACACATACAGGCACGCACTTGTGGGTAATAATAGGATCGATATCCTCCCGCTTCAGTGCCGGGCCTTTTCAATCTGCCAACCACTACTGTATCTACCAACCGCTCCCCTCCACCATCTGCCGTCCTGAAGCTCCATTTAATATCTGTGGGCATGCCTCTTGTTTATCATCTTTCACATTCCATCCTGTCTGCAACTTCTTGATTCGAACACATCGGTTCTTCTACTTATACGTCCTCCTTCCCTCGAGGAACGCTGTGAGCCAGCCTACTACCAGGTGGCAAAGTAAACAACACAAACTTCACTACCCATCTCTTCATCTATTGCGACATCACCCCCTGAATCCAATCATCTACTCCAAACAAGATCTCGTCGCGGCATCCTCAACAAACGTAAAGACACGGAGGGACATGCGCCCATAATGACAGCAACAGCATACCCAGTAACCATGTCAGACCTCAGAGGAGAGCCTGCCCATTCTAGTTTCTGGTCCACCTACAACGGATCTGCTCATCTTGCCAACAGACTCGGCACGACAACTATGGACTCTGGCTTTCATAGTTCGGCGTCGGCATCCCCTCTTCCAGGCCGTCCTCGCAGTGGCCATGATCAGTCCTACTCCTATGGGCGGTATTCGCAGGATGAATCTGTTGCGTATGATCGCCACTCGCAACAGAGCCTGCCCGCTCAGCACGGCTACTCCAGTCTCAAGAGGCCCTTCTCGCAAACTGAACCGGCCGCATACCAAGAAATCGTCCAGGACTTGCGAGATGATGGCTCTCGTTTGACGGTAAACCAGGATCACAAACTGCTGGCTTTTAGGCGGACACAAGATAAACATACCATCGTGGATCAACAAGGCCGGATGCAGCAACTGGAGCTATCGGCTCAGCTCCACGGCATGTTTTTCCTTTCCGAGATGCCATCGACCGCCAGCGATGGAACATCTCTACAGCCCGAATTAACCTGCTATCGACGAAACCTGTTTCAAATTAGCGGCTCTCTCATCACTCCAAGAGGACAGCTCTCTGTGGTAAACGAGAGTAATGAGACTCTTCCAGTGTCCAACATGGAGGTCGCCATATCTGCTATTGAATCTGTCGATGGCAACCCCGTTCGCCTCATTGTCATTCCATGGAAGACTCCTCCACCCAATGCCCCCGAAATCAACCAGACCCCGGATCAAGAGCCTGCCGCTCTTCCCTTGATTCCTTTCCAGGATGATGGTTCTGAGCCTGAAGGCGACTACGCAGTCTATCCCATCGGCTGGCGTCGACTGCAGTTCAGAATGTATGTTGAGCGCCCCTTACTCTCCTTCTAACTACTCTCTCCTTTTGAATGTAGGCCTAATGCTGGAACAGTGCTACTGCAAACAACGGTCGACGGAAGGAGCTTCAACAGCACTTTGTGCTTCACCTTAAAGTGTTTGGAACCTTGTCTGATAACACCAAGGTCGTCTTGACGGAATCTACGACGGCTCCCATTGTAGTGAGAGGCCGTAGCCCACGGAACTTCCAGGCTCGTAAAGAGATTCCCCTGCTTGGGTCGAGCGCCGGCTCAAGGGGCCAGGCTCTGGTGGAGACGGGCTTGGGCGTTGTCGCTGGCGCATTAAGCGTGAAGCCTCAAGAGCTCAAGAGAAGCGTGGACATCCAAGTGCCGCGCTCGAGTTTTACCTTTAGCTCTCCCAAGGTCCCAGGAAGTGGACAACTGAGTTCAATGAGATCAAAGTGAGTCGACTCAAGGCGTACCTGTAGCACATGTTTCTAACAAGGATGACTCTGCAGCCAATACTCGACATGGAGTGCCAGCAGCAGCAACACCTCCATCTCCCAAGTTGCTTCATCCGGCCCAGGGAGCTACTCCACAGCAGCGATGGGTGCTGACACGTATTCCAAAGTGTCCAACTATACTTCGGACCCTCAGGAATTACCACTTCAGTCGTCGATACCGCCTTTGCCACTTTCGATTGGGGCAAATGAGCAACAGTCGTCGGCCCGTGGGCAGTACACCTACGTACAGCAGCCAACTTCAGGGTCTCAGTTGCCGGCCAGCACGGCCACGCCAGCAGTGAGCGGCCATGCGGATAGCGCTCTGAGCATTCCTAGATATGTCGACAACGGACGCCCAAACAAGAGCCCCCGACAGAGCGGACAGCAATCCGTCCACGCCACCAATTCTATACACAGCAGCGAATCGCCTGAGTACCGATACGGATCATCTACACACGGTTCAGCCTCTTCGAGGGAATATTATCCGCCGTCACAGGCATGGTCTACTACGGCTGCGGGGGAAAACAGTTCGAGCACAGCTTATGCCAGCGCTGACGCAAGGCCGTACTCTTTCCCTCACGAGCCTTACAAGGCGGGGACAGCAGCTGCATCATCGGTCAAGGCTGAATCTCGTGGCTCCTTTGAACCCATGCACAACTACTCATGGAACGCAAACTAAGGTTTTCAACATCCTTGACGGCATTTGGAGGGCAATGCTCCTAACTGGTTATACCAACCATGCCGCTGCCTCTCTTTTTGGCAAGCTCTTTCACACAGAGTATATCATTTCTACTTGACCCCTTTTTTCGAATTTGGTGTAAATTACGGCGGATATTCTTTTCAGGATGGATTGGGTACGTGTACAACGGCGTTTGATTCTGCGGCGTAATAGGCGAGTCTCGGGGAGGGATTTTATGTCTTGGGAGGATTCGTTTCTACGGAGTATATGCATGCATATATATACGCATACGTATACGCACATGTGTACGACTGTATATTTTCGTGTGTGTGTATGTATATATTAGGATAGCACATGGACTTTGGATATGCAGGTCATGGGAATGGTGGCGAAAATGATTCATCTGGTATGGCGTCAAGGTAGTCGGAGCCACGGGCATGGAAGTTACCTATGGCTTTAGGTACTGGGCGACGCTGAGATACCACAATACAAACAAAGTTCTGATGGGCCGATTGAATCCTGCTAGCGAGATGAGTGCTTATGTTGAAGAGATTTGTTGGACGCCGTGATTGGGTGACAACCAGGCTGAACATGGAGGATGGCACTTTTGTCAGAACGCTCTGTAGACTATTGTCATCCCCCCTTTGGACTGCCTAGGATGAATCGGGGAAAAGAAAAAGAAACCATGGCGAGAGATCCAAAAAACACAAAAACAAAAAAAAAACAAAAAAAAGCCGCTATGTATCGAATTGCGGTGGTTAATTTGCGTGAAATGGCCTTGGCTCGCATGGGCACGCCCACATGAGATGTGACCCAACGGTACAACCTGTAGGTTTGTGTTACACGGCAGGACAAGTTCCGTTTTTTCTTTCTCTTTCTTCCCTTTGTCTTTTTGAGCATGGCGGCGTGGTATTGGAGAGGGTAAATTCAGAATAGATTAAGCATTTATAATCTCTCCATGCATATTTTTTTTTTCTCTTTCTGCTTAAATTGCTTCCTCGTGCATTTTGCCCGAGTTGGGTTTTCGGAGCGTGGGGGCCGAGATGCGGACCGAAAGGTTCCTGGCCTGCAGCTTTTTTATTTTTATTTTTATTTCTTCTTTTGTTCTAAGAAGAGGAGTTGCGGAATCTTGATGAGGATCCGAAAAGGCAGAGAGGATGTGAAGGGGTTGGATATAGGGGGTGGAATGGTGTGTGTGTGTGTGTGCGTGCGCGTGTGTGTGTTGGAGATGTTTCTTGGAGGTTTGAGGTAGCGACAAGTATCAGGTACTTTGCTAAAACACACAAGCTTGCATCGTTTAAAAGTATTGATTACTTGTTGCAGCCAATCTCGTGCTGACTGCAGCCATGTACTTTGTACTCTCGATAAGATAAGCCGCGTCTAAGAAACTGCCGGGGGATTTTCTCTTCACAGCCTCGTTTTATGTTGGTTTGGATTTGATTGAGACATGCTTCGTTGAGGCGCATTTCAACTGCATATACCCATTTGTTCTTCATCTTATCTCGAAGTTGGAATTTTGCAACGCCGATTGACTGCATCTAAATATAGCCTCTGCTTAGCCGTTGGGGGCGGAGAAAAACCGACATCTCGTCTTTTCCCAGCCTGGAGAGCCACCATGTTCGAGCTACCCGATGCAAAGAGGTATGAGCTGCCGTGTCTCTCTTGGCTCCAGTGATCTATGTTTTAAACATGTGAGAGCTAATTCTGGGATTAGAGTCCGCCGGGAGGATCTACATGCATCGGATGAGCCTTCGTGGAGCGAGAGTGAAGGAGACGCAGAGCTGGAGGCACGGCTCAATGCACAGATCGCAAAATCTCTTGGACTAGACGAAAGTGCATTTCGTGCGCCGAAACCACAGGACACCTTGCCTGTACCCAACAGGCCTCAGGCTCATGGTAGAAGAGAAGACGACGGGCTCAGCTCTGATTCGGAGAGTGAACCAAGCACTCCCGCAGATGAGCCTGCGTCCAACCACGGTGCCGAAGCTGAGGATGAAGCCTATGCCTTTCGGCTCTTCAGCACGGCTGGTCCGGCCCCAAAAATTGTTCTTGAAAACCACGACAGGATTGTAGAAGGCAAACTTCTCAGAGGTAGGCCGCTATCATACTACTTGGTAACGGACCTGTCACCAGAGAGGAGACACCAGTATGAGATGGCAGCAGTGAGCGGAGAAGACGTCCTCGCGCGATCTAAAATAAGGGAATGGGGTCTTGAGCTCCCCTGGCGAGTCACAAACATCAAAGCCACGAGAAAAGCCCGGCCCGGGGAAGGGGCGAATCTCACACGCGTCGACGATGAACAGCGAGCGAAGAGGAAACGGCTGGGGAAGAAGAGCAGAATAGCAATGAGGAAGAAGGCGAGGGCGAAGGAGCAGGCCGAGGCAGCAGCGAAACAGAAGATGGCCGACAAGGAGGAGCAGGTGAAGGAGAAGAAGAAGAGGTTGAACCGGCTGAAGAAGGCGAGAAGAAAGGCAAAAAGAAAGGCTGACAAGGGCGATGAGTCGGGGGACGGCTCTTCTGACGAAGAATAAAACTACCTAAGCATCATGGTAGGGAATTTGTACAGTATATACAACGCTTGTGTAAATAATCGGGCTGTAGTCCAAAGGCCTTTGAGCGACTCGGAATATCTTTCATGGAATATCAGATACAAGGCTGGCCATGTTCGAACCTAAATTTCGTTTCCGTGGCAAATGTGATGGGGTTAGAGGTTAGCACCTTGGTGGTAGTGCATTGTTGGAGGTACCTGCCCAGCATTCGAACGCCGCGCCAGTACCTCAGGGGTGGTTCAGCCAATTGGAGCTCAACCAAAGACCCCTCCAGTTAACTTGGTACAGAGTTCAACCACCACCTTGATCAAGCTCCAAAGTTGGGAGCTGCAGCATTGTATCACCAGCACATGACCAGCATCAGCACGCGACAAAACCTGTCCATCGAGCATCTTTCTTATTCCTCGTTCAAGCAGCTGTATCACACAGCCTCCATGGATTAACCAACGCCCCTGAAGACGAATCTCTGGCGGGACCCCGCAATGTACCACAAGTAACGAGAAACCGCCACGTCCCGTCGTCCATGATGAATAGTTTGTGGTCCTCAGCGAAATCGGCTCAGGCCTCGTCCAACGAGGCCTCTACAGAGGCAGTGGAGGAGGCCGTCGACTTCTCCGCAGACGAATCCGCGATTGACGACTCCCCAGCCCCATCCCCAGCCCCATTGCTGCCGCCACTCTCGTCGTCCAGAGGCCCCCTTCAGCAGTCCCAACAACAATCGCCACGGCAGGGCGGCAGCTCCAACATGCTTCCTCCCGCAGCCTCGGGCGGTAATAATATTGCAAATAATGCGAATCGGGCGCAAATCCCACAGCATGCCCCCACCGACTCCCTGTCGCTGATGCAGCTGCGGCGCATCGTGGCCACGGTCAATGCAGCTGAGCCCGCGGCATATGACTTTGTCTACTCGGATATGGCCCCCCACGCCGAGGAGATAGACGAGTGGTTCGTGTATCAATTCTGGCAGTGGGTGCGCCTTAACGCGGCGCAAAAGGCCTTTGAGTGGCATTGGAAGCACGAGGCGGGCGGCAAGCATGGCTGGGACGATGCGGACCACGACACGAGGGCGAGATTTATACAGGGCGCCATTGCGGGCGTGCAGTCTAATGACGCGGCTCTCAAGGCGAATTCGATTGGAAAGATTATGTATCTGGTGTTGGGGAGATGGGGTGACACCGCAATGCCTCACGCGACGGATGAAGCGAGCCGGTCGATTGCGAGCATCCCTCAGTTACAGGCAATAAAGGCTGGCGTGACGTGTTTGACGTCGCTGGGGGGTATATCGGTCGTTTGGGAAGCGCTGAGGAATGTCTTTGAGATCCATTGGTATGGTGCAATTGCTTAATGTGTTGGCAAGAGTCTAACGTTGATAGGACTGGCGAGATCCAACAAGCCAGTGCTCAGGATGCGCAAGACGAACTCATGAATCTCCTGACGATTATGTATATTGTTGTTCAGGAGACGTTGAACGACCCTGAAGATATGGCGTCGACAGAAGCAAAATTGCGTATGTACCATGGTTGTCGCGGCCGTGCTTTGTCCGTGGCGCTCGGAAGACATGCACGATGCTAACCCGGGATATATAGTTGAGTTGAACCCCTCGCTGGTTGATTTCATGATGCTGGCGACTTCCAAGTTGAGGTGGGATGAACAGAGCACCATGCCTCATACTCAAGTAAGTAACACACTGCGATCTTTTTCTGATACTTTCGGTGTTTTTTTCTTGTTTTTTTTTTTGTCGAGATGATCACTGACAAATCATGGCTAGATTTTCCTATTGTTCTGGAAATCGATTCTTCTTGTTTTCGGCGGAATCAAAGACCTTGAGCGGGTCAAGGAAGCGACCGGCGAGCTGACAACTGGAGACAAGACCAAAGACACCATCACGGCAAATCCTTTAGACTATCATGTTTTCCGCCAGGAAATAACGTCTAAATACCCGGCTTACGTCCCTCCGCAGCCCCTGATCCCCCTAGAGGCTGACAACCCATCCCTTCTTCCACCTCTGCCTAATATTGCGAGCCGAAATGGTGCCAACGGCATTATCCCACAGCCGCCAAATGTACAAATGGGAGGAGCGTCTATCCTCAACCAGCCAGTACACATTGCCACCCCAGCACCGTCACCACCGCCGTCTCCGGGAGTCGGTGGTAAGGGCGGTAAGAAGCAAAACTACCAGACTAACCAAAACTTTCCCTTTATGTATCCTCCTCTTGATGCCACCAGTAACAGCGCTGGCGGGAAGGGTGAAGCGGGGTATGGCAATCCTCTGGTTTCTAGAAAATGGGAGGGCAGCGATATTCCCGCCTCAATCCTCGAAGCGGGACAACTCTTCTCTTCGCGTGTCAGGATGACCCGAGCAACTCGTCAGCTCTGGGAAGAGCGGGAGCGATTCCTCAAGTTTGAGCGCGGCTGGGAGACTGATGACGATGCTGACGAAAGCGACAATGATGATATTGAGGAACTTGATCTTAATGAGCTCACGTTGGAGGAGAGAGAGGTGTTGCGCGAACTACGAGTGGAGGATAATAAAGAGAAGAAGAAGAAAGATCGATCATTCCCAGGCCCCGAGCTTGACCTTGGCCCCCAACCGGATAGACTGAGCGAACGAGACAAGCAACGGCTCATGGCGGTGGAGCGTTTCTACGTAAGTGCATTCTGCTCCCAACTCTTTCGTTTGCTCCCCATCGAAGCACGGCTAACGCGAACAAACCTATCCTCTGTAGAGCGATGCCTTGCCTCACCTTCAGTCCATAGTGATTGTTTTACTTCGCCCCATCCTTGTTAATGTCACGGCCATAGTGACCCAGCAGCAGAACCAGATGGCAGGGGTGGCCAGTAGAGCTAACAATCCCGGCGTTAATGGTGGCCATGGGTCGCAGAGGGGTATGGATATGGGTGGACAAGGGCAGGCAGAGCACGATGGGGAACCGACTCCCGAAGAGATCGACGCCACTCGAACAAGGGAGATTACTTCGAAGGCTATGACGGCGATTCTCTTACTCTTGCTGAAGTGGCTCAGGCTCTCGCGTGGGTATTATCCAAGAAGAATTGCGTCGAATACGGTTCAGCTAACAGGTTTGGGTCTCAGATGTTCTCAAGTTTGAATACTTGACTCAGCTTCTGCTGGATTCTAATTACCTGCCCTTGGTCCTCAAACTCTTTGCGCACCAAGACATTCAACAAGTGGTCGACAGCAAGATGGATCATGTTGAAAATAGGTAAGGAGGAACAACCCACCCGCCCCCTGAATATGACAAACTTTGCATACTCATGATTGCCTGCAGCTTCTTCCAATTTTGCAACATTCGGTCAAAATTTAAGGATAAGACCGAGAGCGATGCCGACAACGAGGAAGAAGACGTGGACGAAGAAGACGTTCATGGTGAAGACGAAGGCAACGGGCGATTAGCAGGAGAAGATAGCGGAGACGACGCGGCGCCACCGCCGATTAAGAGGCAGCGAGAGCTAGAGGAACCGGTCGTGGACCAGATGGAAGATGTGGCTGTCGACAGCGAAGAACATGTCCCGATGAGACCAGAGGTTGACGAAATGGGGCTGCCCCTGGGCACTCTCCCAATGGAGCCCATTACCGACTTCTCGAGAAGAAACTTCTTCTCCCTGATCAACTACCTCAGGGTGATGCAGAAGATCTGCAAGAACAAGGCGCACCGCAACTTGCTGCTGGTGCAGTATAAGTCATCCACCATCCTCAAGAAGTCTCTGAGGGTGCCCCAGCCCGAGCTTCGGCTGTACACGCTCAAGCTCTTCAAGGGCCAAGTGCCGTACTGTGGCCGCAAGTGGAGGCAGTCCAACATGCGCGTCATCACCGCCGTCTACCTCCACTGCCGGCCCGAGCTGCGCGACGAGTGGCTCGCGGGCAGCGACATTGACGCCGAGGTGGACTCGGCGCTGCCGCTGGAGCAGGCGTTGCGGAGCTTGACGCACTGGCTCAACGTGCGGAGGTACCCGGAGAAGATTGCGGCCGACATTCGCATCGCCATGAGGGAGGAGCAGGACTTCTTCTCGCGGGAGCTGGAGAAGGTGGACCTGAACTGGACGGACTTGATGCTCAATGGGGATGATACCATGAGTGAGATGGACCATGGAGAGTCGACTTGGGGGTAAATGACGGCGTTGTTGATCGTGAAGGGGGTGGAATAGATTCACATCAACTCTGTGGAGCGAGAGCGTCAAGAATTTTTTTTTTTTCACTGAAGCGACTCATGGTTGAGAGAATCGTTATAAACACAAGCACTGACTACCATCATAGGTAGGTATGCACTTATCACAGCGAAGAGCCGGCGTACGGAGTGTATGCAGATAGATAGTAGATATACATCTGTGATTCATTACTTATTAATTTTTGAGCTGACAAGTCAAAACTCTGGAGGTGATTAGCCCCCCTTTGTGTCTACGTGACAATTGATATCCGTTATGTTTGCAGATACCCTCCCCAGCCCATATATTCTCGTTTAGCAAAAGAAGGCTATCGTTGTGCCTTTCCTTGTTGCTCGTTCATAGTACATTGATACAAGTTGTACAAGTTGTGTTTTTTTGAAGGTTTTCTTTTTTTTTTCTTGCTTTGCTGCTTAGCAACTTGCTCCAGACCTCTCTGGTATTACCGAGGCGGAGACGTCAATCTCATAATGGACTTAATGCTGAGCAGAGTCGTAGATGCCATCCTCGTAGCGGTAGTTGACCGGCTGTCCATACCCAGCGGTAGTATGAGGAGCCGTATATCCACCGGCACCCGTGTAAGCGGTGTTGCTGTTGCTGTTGCCGTTGCCGTTGCCGGTGACGCCGGTGTACCCGTAACCAGTCTCGTACTTTGAGTTGTAGTCGGTGTGGTTGTACGGGTTGGAGATGTCGTTGTTGTCGGTGTTGAGCTGGTCGGGCTGCGTGTGCTGGGGCAGCATGTTGCCCTCCTCGCTGCCGTCGACAACCTGGCGGGAGCCAAAGATGCGGCCGAAGAAGCCGCCCTTTCGCTTGCCGAAGCCGGAGGTGTAGTTGTTCTGGGGGCTGGGGCCGAAGCGCTTTTCCTTTTGGTGATGGCGTGTGAGGGCAAATTCCATGAGGATGGAGAGGGCAAAGAAGATGCTGGTTGGACGAGTTAGTTTGTTTCGAGTCTACATAAAGAGGGTGATTCAAGCTTGCTTACATTGCAATGATGGACACGGCGAGACAGGCTGTCTGTAGCCTGCAGGCCGTGTGAAAGCTCGGTAGCGTGGTGAAGCCCTTGTCGGCCTGGACGGTGCTATCCGACTGACCCTTGCCAAAGGGCGTATCGAGCACGCCGTTGCACGAGCCGGCGCCGTTCTTGTTGGCAATGGCGACGTAGATGAAGGCTCCGATGAAGCAGACGTCAAGCACGACGGCCAAGAAAGCCGTCAGCGTGTGGCCGGCGAGGCAGCAGAGCATCAACAGGGCCAGCAGCGTGTACAGCGTGCCGGCGCCGGAGATGCCCTCGACGGCGCGGAGGCTGGTGGCGATGGGCAGCTTGTGGTTGTGCAGCGTTGCGAGGAAGTACGAGTAGATGGCGAGGACGATGGCGCAGCAGCAGAACTGGATGCCGCGGATGAACCACTGCACGAATTTGAGGCCGAAGCCTAGTCCTGCGCCCATGATGGATGTTTTGTTGTTGTTGAAGATGTGAAGAAGAAGAATCACAAAGGGTCGATTTTGATTGGTGGTGTGAGGGTGAAGTTGAGGTGGTGTGTGATATGCAGGAGGATGAGAGAAGGTTAGATGGATATGAAGGTGGAAAACACCGGCAGGAAGAAGAAGGGGGAAGAGCGGTAAGAAAACAGCCGGAATTAATGAAAACCCGTTACGATCGATGGTGCGTAAAATACCACAACAAGGAAGAAAGAGAGTTGAGAACGAGAGGAAAAGGAAACCGAAGAGCCGATTGTTCAAGTGATGCTCCATCCAAGTGTGGCTACCAGAGGGGCACATGCTTGTGGCGGGAAGGAATCGTCACTGGATGACGTACCGGAGGGTCCTCAGTGGTCCTGGTTGCGTACGAGTACAAGAGTACGTACCGGGGCGCTGTGGCTGAGACGGGGCCCATGTGGGGTGTGATTTTTGGGGCTGGGGCTGGGGCTGGGGCTGGGGCTGGTGCAGCTGAACTTAGTTGCTTACTAAGGTACTAAAAGACGGCGAACTGCTGGGGAGGATCTTTTTTCTTCTTCCTTGTTGCCTTGCGTCAGTGGTGGAAAGGCTATTTGGGTAGCTGGAGGCAGCCAATGAAATTGAATTGTGAGGGAGGAATTCGACCGAGATTCCTGAGCAGATGCAACTAACTGAGATGAAATGCTGCTAATATGTAAGGGTGTGCATCAAGTCTGTCTACCTAGATAATAGTAGTAGGTACCTAGGATGCTTGGTATTCGAGTACCTGAAAGCAAGTATAAGTGCATCGCAGCATGGTTACCTTGGGTGGTTAGCGACAGTGAAGAAAGGCTTCTGTCGGTTGAGCCTGAATGTGGCTGTGCAGTCGAGATACCTACTGCCGGCATCGCCATCCCCAGCGTAGTGTGGCAAAGGACCGAATGAATTTTCCCCAACTGCAGCACCGTGGTTTTGCAATGCAATTCAATCCATTAAATGGCAACTTGGCTCATTATTCGAAAGAACACACAAATGGCAATTGTCTCACTAAATAGATGCAAGGCTCATCGGATGAGGACTGAAGAAGAAAAGAAGGAAAAACGGAAAAAAGTCTAAAAAAAGATGGAGACGGATGGAACCCAAACACAGGGTCCCTGATGAGTCCGAGACACGCAGCTTGTTCACCACGTTGTTGCTTAAAGATCTCACCTGCAAGGGCAAATCATACTCCACGATGCTCATTTGTCCGCAACCGGAAAAAAAAAAGAGCAGCGTCGATCAGAGACATGCAGATTCAGGCACTAACTAGCCAGAAGAAGAAAAACACAATGAAGATGAAGACGCCACGCCACGTCCTCAACAGGCGTCGTCAACACAGTCAGAAATGGCCCATTCTCGTAATCCTTCTTGTCGTCGTCGCTGTAAAACGACATTTTTGACACAAAGGGCGCATGTAAGTCAAAGGGCTCGCCCCGGCTCATAAATCGCGTGCATGAATCACGGAGCCAACAAGCCCTGTAAGACAAGACAGTTGAAACAGAACGTTCTAAACGCTTCTTTTGTGGTGACCCCTCATTCTGGCTAGGTACCCGTTAGTAGTCGGTTCCTTAGTTCGAGATGGAAATCTCTTGTCAACTTTTTATATATCAACGAGATAGTATTGAGCACATCGTATCGCTTCAGCGCTCACTCACTTGTCCATTCCAATCCTTGTTTACGTCTTTTTTCCTGCCATAGAGCGTGACCAATCAAAGATTTAGCCACACGTATTTTGGGCATCAATATCACTTACCGAGAAAGCATCGGATCCCATTCATCTCCCCTTACTATCCCCATTAACAACCATGGGGTCAGAAATCCACACAAAGATCCCCTACATCGAAACCCCACTCATAAAATCACATACTCTTTCAGAAGTAGCTGGCTGGTAAGGACAGAAACGCTTACACCGAGTTCCCTTTTCTTGTAATTCGCCCCGGAAGAAAGACGTTGACATGACTTTAGCAATGTCTTCCTCAAGCTGGAGAATCTGCAACCCTCGGGGTCCTTCAAGTCTCGCGGCATAGGCAACTACATGATGGCCAAACTCGCCGCTCAAGGAGCAGACACCAGCAAGGTCCATTTCTACTGCTCGTCCGGAGGCAACGCCGGGCTGGCCTGTGTCCATGCCGCCATCACCCTCGGGTGCCGGGCCACCATTGTCGTCCCGCTTTCGACTTCAGTCTTCATGATTGACAAGCTGCGACAGGCCGGTGCCACTGATGTTGTCCAAAAGGGGGCCTCGTGGCAAGAGGCAGACGACTACTTGACGGGAACTCTCATGGAGGAAGCTCGTACCAAGGGAGACGTTGCCATCTATGTGCCCCCGTTCAACGCTCAGGAGATTTGGGACGGTGCCGCGGGCATCACGCACGAAATCGCAAGACAGATTCCCACCATGACCAATCATTATCCAGTGTCCATCGAGGGCGTGTCAGATGACGACGTTACGGCACGCACAGGCAACGTCGATGCCGTTATCTGCAGTGTTGGTGGAGGTGGCCTCTTGTCCGGTGTCGTGCAGGGCCTCGACGACCTCTCCATGCAGCATACTCGAGTCATTGCCGTTGAGACTCTCGGAGCAGACTCCCTCCATCAGGCAGTCCAAAAGGGCGAGCTGATTACCCTGCCAGCCATCACTAGTCTTGCCACCACCCTGGGCGCGAGAAGGGTCTGCCAAAGGGCCTTTGAGTACGGACTCCGCGAGCAGGTCTCAACAGTGGTGCTCTCCGACGCCGAGGCCATTGCCGCCTGCAAGCGGTTCGCTAGCGAGGAGCGCTTCCTGGTCGAGTTGTCGTGTGGAGTCGTTCCCGCGGTGGTGTACAGCGGGAGACTGAAGGAGTTGATTCCCGGGCTCAACAAGAATAGTGTGGTTGTGCTTGTGATATGTGGAGGGTGCAATATTTCCTACGAAATACTCGAGCACTATGTCACAAGCCAAGCAGCGGCACACGCAAGCTGAACTGATTAGCCCACCGGAAACGACAAGGAGTTGGAATTGGAAGATGAATCTAGACTACAGGCCGTGCAAGGGACGGACCGTAGCATTTCTCCGTGAGACGTGAAAAAGGTGGCAGACCGGTCAAGAGAAGTGTAAATTTAGACATGATTGAAAGGCTCCCAACCCCCGTTCCTGGTAGCATTCATCAATGTTACCGTGGCGTACGGAATCTTCCGCTGGGTGTCTTTTGTTGCCCGGTTAGGCCAGGACGACGCTCTTGGCGTGTCACTATCGGGTAAAACCAAAGGACAAAAAGGGACTCGACGATTGCTTAGTGGTCATATTTCATTTAATTTGCCGCGTGCGCTGTATTAATATTGATCCGTTCGGGAAATAATATGCTTAGCGAAGTCATCTATTTGGCGACCCTCCGGACAGTGAGGCTGATCGAGATGTACTGGTATTAGTTGCATTGCGGAGGAAGGGACCGGCATCTCGGCAAGCTTCTTGGCCGAAAGAAGAGCCACTGCAGCCTGATAATGGACAACTCGGGGTGTAGAATGAATAATGGTGCGGGGGGGATTGATGGTTCTCGGCCTTTGTCTGTGCTGCTGAGGACGTTCAGCCTGCAAGGTCTCCAGCAGACTCATCACACATGTTGCATCGTGAACCGAGTGAACTGAACTGAATCGAGCTGCATGGTGGTAGCGAGGCCGCGGAAGCCAGAAACCATGGCCTACATCTGTGGCGAGGACCCGTGAACGGCCGGGATCTGGTCAAGCGATTGCCCACGAGCAGCGGAGAAGGTGTGGCCGGATTGCGGCTCACCAGCAGCCCCTCGATGCAGGCAAACGGGGCCGTGAAGGAAATTGTGGTGTTGTTCAAAGGTCCAGCCGCTCCGCCCACTTACATGGTGGCGCTATTATCTACCACTCGTACGTCGTTAGTGCCTCCGAACACGCACAAGTTCCCAAAAGAAGAAGACGAGGCAGGAAGAGAAGTCTGGTCAAGAGAAGCCTATGCCGTGTAACCCATTGTATTGCTGGTTGCAAAGACGGTCTGGAGTGGGATTCGGGGTTACCTGGGGATGGTGGAGAAGGACGGGCGTTGGGGGCGACAAAATAGTCGAGACAGCCAGCCGCAGAGGCCATTGCCAGCATCTGCATCTGTACGAGTGTTCGCAACTGACCGGTGGATGATTTGAAAAGCAAGCTGCTTATTGGCTGGCTGCCGGATGTGGATTGCGAGTAAACGTGTAAAGAGAGGCACCATTTTCTCAATCTGCATTGCGAAGCTGCATCAACAATCTGCTCTCCGAGGCAGCCACCCGCGGATACGCTATTGCTGACGACCCATTGCATATGCATTGGCTGGGCTGGGCATTGTTGATTGCAAAAGGCCATGATGCGAGACATGACTGTAGTTGTTCTTGTGCATCTCTTTGGTTCCATTCAATAACAACATAGCCAAGCTAACGTCGTGCCGAAGCCCATGCGGCTAGTGTGAGTATTCTCAGGCTGTCAGATAATAGAGGAGCCTAGAATTTCTTGGGTGTGATTCTGGGTCCATGGGCCGGTGATTTGTTGTTTGTGTTACCCAATCAACAAGGTTGGCATTTGTACTGCAAAGAGCAGTGCTGTACTCGTAGCACAGCAACTTGAGCACAATGCGTACACTAGGTTCTCGTACGCGTAGCCAGCATTCATTTCATTCATTTCCCCTTGGTGGCCTGCGGCACGACCCCATGAGAAATCACTTGCTTGCTCTTGGGTCTCTGAGTTTGCGCTACGGCTGGCTTCCGAGTGTACTCCCATCATGGTGCCCCTGGTGAGCACTGGCCTACTGCCGATCCGGTTAAAGCTGGCGCGATATCCGATCCTCTTGACCCTCCATCACTGGGGCCTAGGAGCTTTTGATAACGCCAGTGGTTTTTAGCCGCCCGTCCGATGTCCATGTTGATGTTGATGTCGATGGATACGGATTTCGACAAGGCCGGCAGGGCGGATCAGGCGGGATGGCGATGGGGAGAATTCAATAAAATGGTGTGGTCTGGTGGCTGTTTCTGTTTCTGTACAGCAACGTGGTCAGTCAGTCAGTCAGTCTGTGTGCGTGCGTGCGAGTGGGCTCTTTTTCTGCTCGTTCACCTCGTCTACGCTGCCAAGACAGACGCCCCCTGGTCAATAGAAGAGCAATACTAGCAAGCATCAGCGCCGTCTTTTCAGCTGCCAACCCGCCGTCCGTGCCGTCCGTAAAAAGCATGTCGGTGACCATCGCCTCTGCCCAGAAAGCAATATTGCGACCTGTGCCTGTACGAGAGGCTGCAGATGCCACATGCCGCCGGACAAGGGCCAAAGTACGAGTCCAAGCACAAGCAGCGCAACGGAGGCGTGGAGGCGTGGAGTGAGCACGGGCTCTTGATCCGGCTCTTCAGCCCGCAGCGACTGTTGCTAGGCAATGTTAGTTTCGGCTTTGAGTTTTGACGTGGCCTTGGTGAGATCGAGAGTAGGAGTGAGAGAGTGTGCTCGTTGGTGTACGTACTTGTAAGAAGATCAACAGACCACCTACCTACCCTGAGCAATACGATGGACGGCAGAAAAAGCTGGGTCACCACAGACGGCGCCTGCGGGGCGTGGAACATCTCTTGTTCCCTCCCTTCTAGGCCATGTGCTTGGCGCAATGCCACCAAAAAGCCCTTTGGCTTGGGGCCTGAGAGCGCCTGAAGTACCTGAACGGTGGGCTAATGCAGGTCGGCTGCCAAAAATACGAGAACGACCTGAACAACTCAACCCTTGCAGCTCAGCATCTCTCCAATCGACGGCCTCAATCCCGCCACTCCGGGCTGAAGACAAGGGTGCAGGGCCTGCAGAGCCTGCGGCCTTCGAAGCCATTGATGGACGTGGACGACGAACCAGTGCCAGAGCTGCAGCCCTCCATCGCACGACTCTGGCCCGATACGATAAGGCTGCGGCTCTCACACCCTCCAGCGAAGACTCTCCTCCCTTTTTTTTCTTTCTCCCGCTCCTTTACTCATTCATCCTCATCGTCGTCGTCTCCTCTCCCTCTCTCTCTCTTAATTGCTTTCCTTAAAAGGCGATGAGTCTGCCCGCTCGTTTTCTTGGGATTTGAGGCCATCCACGCTCGCTCGCTTGTGCGTGTGTGTCGAGATAGAGACAAGTACACAGAAGCTCTACCGCAGTACCAATTGAGCTGTTCCCATTTCGACTTATCTCTTTGTCAAACACAGTCTCTCTCTATTCTATTGCTATTGAGCATCGCGTCTTTCGCAATCCCACCATGAAGTCGGCAGCTGCCTTGGTGGGCCTCCTCGGCCTGGCTGGCTCAGCCCTGGCTGATCCCACATGGCCCAACGCAGTCGACGAGATTGAGGAGATCATGACCCAGCTTCAGTCGTTCCGCGCCCGTAAATTCGCCGACACCGTGGACCCATGCTCCAACGAAGCCTCGGGGCCCGGCCGGCAGAACGCCGCCGAGTGGCTCCGAGTCGGCTTCCACGACATGTCCACTGCCAACATCAACTTCGGCATTGGTGGCCTGGACGGCTCGCTCCAGTACGAGCTGGACAATGGCGAAAACACCGGCCCCGGCCACAAGACGACGCTCGAGTTCATGGCTCCCTATGTCTCTCCCCGGTCCAGCTTGGCTGACCTCATCGCCCTGGGCGTCTACACATCTGTCCGCTCTTGCGGCGGCCCTGCTGTGCCGATCCGCGTCGGCCGTATCGATGCCACCGGCAAGGGACCTACGGGCGTTCCCCAGCCTCAAAACTCTGTCTTTACCTTTCAGCAGCAGTTTCAGCGCCTGGGCTTCAGCACTGCGGAAATGATCCAAGTCACCGCCTGTGGTCACACTCTTGGTGGCGTCCACAATACTGAGTTCCCCGATATCGTTCCCACTGGAACTGGGCTCAGCGGTGAGGCGGGTCTCGACAGCTCTGACGCCGTCTTTGATAACATGGTCGTGACCGAGTACCTCTCCGGAGAGACCGGGAATCCTCTTGTTGTCGGCCCATCCGTCAGGATTGGCAAAAACTCCGACTTCAAGGTTTTCAATTCCGATAACAACCAGACCATGGAGGCCTTGGCCGATGCCGATACCTTTACCTCTGTCTGCAAGACTGTCCTGCAAAAGATGATTGAGGTTGTCCCTCCGGGCGTTACCTTCTCCGACCCGATTGTGCCTTACAACGTCAAGCCGGTCAACTTGCAGTTGACTCTTGCCAACGGCGGCACCACTCTCCAGTTTACGGGCTTCATCCGTGTCAAGACCACCGGCCTTGCCAAGGGGAGCATATCCAGCGTAACCATCACTTACAAGAACCGCAAGGGCACCACCGACTGCGGCCTCAGCTCTTGTATCATCACCGCAACTCCTCAGGGCACCAGCCAAGGCTTTGATGATACCTTTGACTTCTTCCCCTTTACGGCCAACATCCTTGCTTCTTCGGGCATCTCGTCCTTCACCGTCACTGTCAACAACGCCGACGGTACCAAGGACATCCACGACAACAACGGAAATGAGTACCCCGTCCAGGATGCCGTCCTATTCCAGGCTCCCCAGAGCTGTGTGCTAGGCTCCTCGGGTGCTCTGACTGCTGTCGCTGCCGTCCGCAACGATCGCCTCAGCCAGGGTGCGCAAGCTAAAATCTGGTTCAAGACTCCCCAGACCACCAGCCCCGTTCCTCTCTTGCAGAGCACCACCGTCGACCTCCAAAAGGGCCAGTGTGTTGGATCCTACACTTTGTTCAACATCGACACCACCATCCAGGGTGGTCTGGCCTACCAGGGATATGTCGATGTCATCAACGGCGACCAGTCTGACAGCTTCAAGTCTCTGGCCAACATTGGCGGTACTTGCCGTGCCTTTGCCAGCCCGGCTGCCTGCAACGGAGGAGATGAGGGATCCGGTGGCACAACGGGCCTCCCAACCGTCCCGGCCACTACTACGGATGCCGTGCCTACTACTTCTGAGCCTGCTACCAGCGAGCCTGCTACCAGTGAGCCCGCCACCAGTGAACCTGCCACCAGTGAACCTGCCACCAGCGACCCCGTCACCAGCGACCCCGTCACCACTGCGCCTCCGACGACAACAGCGCCTGAGACAACTACTGCAGTTCCCACTCCTACCCACAAGCCTTCTGTCGATGGTTACGTCCTTGTTTCTTGCTGGACCGAAGGCGATGGCGTTCGTGCGCTCGCTGGCAGCGCCTACGCCAATGACTCGATGACTCTGGAAACCTGCAGAGACTTTTGCAGCAGCTATGTCTACTGGGGTACCGAATATGGCCGCGAATGTGAGTATTTCATTCCTACACGTTGTTTGAATCTCGTTTGTGCTAACCAATGCGTGACTCAGGTTATTGCGGCAACACGCTTGCCAAGAGCAGTGAGGCGGCCCCCATTGACCAGTGCAACATGGCCTGCGGTGGTGATGGTAGTGAATTCTGTGGTGCTGGCAACCGTCTTGAGCTGTACTCAACCACCGTCACCCAGCCTCCCACTCCCACCGGAACCCTTGCTCACGAGCCCACCGTCGGTGCCTACACGTTGGTGGGCTGCTGGACAGAAGGTCAAGGCGACCGCGCTCTGGGCCAGGCAGCTACCCTGGCGGCCGACATGACCAACGAGGCTTGTGCCGAGTTCTGTTCCGACTACAGATACTTTGGTACTGAGTATGGTGAGGAGTGCTACTGTGGTAGCTTCCTTTCCACTTCGAGCTCAACTGCTCCCCTTGCCGACTGCAACATGCCCTGCGGCGGTAACCAGTTTGAGTACTGCGGAGCCAGCAACCGTCTTGAGCTTTACATCAACGCCAATGTCACTGGCGGAGAGCCTGAACAACCTGCTGCTGCTGGCGACTTTGTGTTTATCGGTTGTCAGACAGAGGGCAACGGCACCCGTGCCTTGACGGGCGCCGCCACCGCAACGGGTACCATGTCAGATGAGGCCTGTGCCGATTTTTGTGCCGACTTTACGTATTTTGGCACCGAATACGGCAGTGAATGCTACTGCGGCAATACCCTGGATCCCACATCTCTGGAGGCTCCGGCGTCTGACTGCAACATGCTTTGCAGCGGCAACGAGCTCGAGTACTGCGGTGCGGGCAACCGCCTGTCGCTGTACACCAAGAAGCCTGTTGAGCTTACCACATAGGTGTGTGTGAGTGAGATGCGGCTGTCAAGGGAAGAGCCTTTTTCCGTTCTCATCGTAGATAGAACTAGTTGGCGGGTAAAAGGCGTCGGGATTTGTTATATGTTGGCAGCTACTAGGTATATTACCACGGCGTGAAGGGATATATATATATGTCTTTGGGACTAATTGGATTCAATGGCGGACATGTAGGGTTAGGGAATCGATGTAGGCATTGAATGAAATGCTTGCACGAGGATATGAATGAAACGAATATCAGTATCTAAGCATGACTTAAGAATCGTATCTTGTGATGTGTGTTATATTGTCCAGCTCATGTAAATGCCCTTTAGAAGCAGATGTCGTACTGTAGCCAGTACAAGTAGCTTTACTGCCCAATCAGTACTAGTGCAGCCACCCCGCGACGCGCTCAGTGTATTCTCAGCCACTCCCAGGCAATTAATTCAACTCTCACTCTCATTTTCACCTTTATTCTCACCTTCACTCACGCCTTTTCAAGTTCAACGCTGAGGAGTTTCTCCAAAGATCAGAATCAACATGGCCGACACAACTCGCCAACAGGACCGTGAAGTATGATCTATTCATAAGCTTCTCTTTATCAGATAATCAGACGAACTCACTGTAAAGCATTAGCGCCTCAAATCCGCCCTCTGGTACGCCGTCGGGCAAATCGTCGACGAAGAATGTCTAAAGCGCAACCGCAATGCGACGCCCCAGTTCATCGGAGCTCTGACCGAAATGGTCTTGTTACAAATAGGTGAGTTGCAGAACAGCTTCGTTGAGGAAGAAGTAAAAGGATTAAACAGGGGGGAGACGAACGTACACTGTGTATAAATTCACGTGTATACATTCCTGTTGATGCGGTGAAAAGGGGGGCTTACGCTCGTCGAAATACAGAAAACGTGGCCGTTGATCTCGAAACCTTTTGCAATCACGCTGGCAGGTCGACTGTTACGACGGATGACGTGCTCTTGCTGGCGAGGAGAAATCCCGATTTGCATCAGATTATGAAGACTTATGTGGATGAGATCAAGGCGGACAAGGAGGCTGCGGCGGGGAGCGGTCGGAGTGGTGCTGCGAAGAAGAATAAGGCGAAGAAGTAGAAGGGGGGCGTCTCGACTTCTCAGTGAAGAAAATTGAAGAGAAGAAGATGGAAGTGGCTGATGAAATGGAGGAGAGGCTGTCGTTGGGAGAGGAACGTGAACAGTTCAGCTCATGATTCAGCTCCTAACTCATCAACTATTATCGCCATGGGAAGCATCGTGCGGACCCGGGACTCGCGTTTAACATCGGGCGGCTACGGGATCTGACGTGCACACGCCCCCTGCCTTCTGATGTTGTTCAAGGAACGTCAGATGAGATGCGAACAAGTTGACCATGGAAGATGCCGATAGCGCTCTCTATCGATGTTTTTTTCTTTGGGCTCTCTTATCCCGATTATCTTGTCGGAAGAATGCATCCGAAGCTGGAAACCCACGGGGACAGGAGGAAACGGCAGTCGTGATGCTGCGAGGTTCGACAGACGTCCCTTTTCTTTGGCGGGAGTCGATGAAGATGCGTCTCATGACGGAGTTGGGATTGAATCGGAGTCGCTGGGTTATCCACGAAGGATTTGGCTGCTGTCAAAGACACATTATTGTCAAAGGGACCAGGGATCGGCATTGCTCGGGATATGTCAAGATCCAAATTCAAAGGCAACACGATTTGGCCGTTGACAATCAGAGATCCTGCATTTATATCAAAGAAGAAGATGACAAAACCCAATCAATAAATTCATCTCATAACGCTGCAAAAACTGTCGAGGATACCATACAAACGCCCCTCAAGATGTTTATTCGCTCAAAGTCCAACAGTTTTGGAATCCAATCTTTGGAGGAAGATATAAAGAAACGCCTCATCCCAAAATCGAATGCTTCCCACATCGACATCATAGATGGAATCTATAGTCCAGCTTCCGTGCAAACGCTCTCATCCTTCGTCAAACATTATTAGAGATTGCATCTTTCGCTATTACACCTTGATAGTCGCAAGTGGACCATATTCTTCTCGGTAATGGTCAAGAGTCCTGAGCGAGACGCCAGAACCTCCACACACAATCATGACAACGTTCTTCTCAGCCCATTGAGCATCCGTCAAGCCCTGGCCGAGCCGCTCTCTCAAGTCGCCGCGGTATACCGTAGCCAGCGCGGCGCCGCACGAGATCTCGACGACCAGGCGGGCATCGTCGGCGAACCGGACGCAGCTGGCCGCGGCATCGGCATCTGAGACGACCACGTTTTGGGTGTTTGGCACCTGAGACCACTTCCACGTCTCTTCGGAGACGCGGGAAACGCCCAGCGAAGTGACGATGGATGTGATTTCCGGCAGTGTGACGTGGGCGTTGGCCAGGATGCTGGCATTGAGGCTATCAGCGCCTGCGGTTTCGACGGTGAGGACGTGAGGCTTCCGGCCAGACCAGCGGAAGCTTTCAATGCCCTGCATCAAGCCGTTGAACAGGCCGCCGCCGCCCACGCTGCAGACGATGCCGTCAATGGGAACGTCAAGCTGGTCGCGTAGTTCGCCAACAATGGTAGCCGCGCCATCCCAAATGTGCGGGTGGTCAAACGGCGGGACGTAGAAGCCGCGAGGGTCCTTGGCGAGGAGGTTCTCGCGGAGGAAGAGATCGGCGACGGCGAGGCCCCTGCCGACCTGGAAGACGCGGGCGCCGAGATCGAGGAGCTTGTTCTTGAAGATGTCGGAGGCGGTCTCAGGGATGACGATGGTGGCGGGCTTGCAGAGGGCGGCGGCAGAGCTGGCGCAGGCGAGGCCCGCGTTGCCGCCGGAGAGGCAGTAGAAGTGGACGTCGGGGTTGGTTGCGACGGCGTGGATCATGAGGTTGCCGATGCCGCGGGACTTGAAGGAGCCGCTGGGCTGGAGGTTGTCGAGTTTGAGATGGATGTTGCTGGGGATGATTGGTAAGTTGAAGGGAAGCACACATGCGCATTAGATTGCGAGCTGACGGATGAAAGACTTACCAGCCGGCTATACGGCTCAATGGACGACTGAGGATGCATGGCGTCTTGATCCAGGGCAGCTTTGCGTCTGGAGAGATGGATCCCATTGTGAGATGATGTGTTGATATGACTGGCAAGAATTATGTGAAGGAAAAAACAAACAAGGGGCTCAATTATACGGCAAGGCAGATGAGAAGCACGCAATGACGATGGAGAGCAGAGATTGAACGGAAATCTGGGGAGCCAAAAGCTCTTGATAAGAGCTCAGCTTGAGGCTCTCTCCTCTTTGATAGAGGAACACCACGAGTTCACGGGCCCGCCGCAAGCCGAACGGATTGATAATGTTTACTCTCTGTATCTTTCGTGTTCTTTTTCTTCGTCTTCGTGCCGTTTACAAGACACACTCCCCCCTCCCCTTTTTAGATGACCCAACGCCGTTGTTTTGTTCGGAGGCCATGCGTGATCATGTGGTGGAGGGGGAGTGTTGGAGACGAGATTGGAGTAACACGGTGAATGACAGACATGTTCTGTTTAGTGGTTCGAAACCGTATTTATCCGTGCCTTAGTATTCCATTGGCAGAATTAGAGAAACGGTTTCTAGAAGCTTGAGCGGAGGTGATGACCCACGGACGTGTGGAGAGGGGGATTGCATCCAAGGGGAATGAATGCCTGTCACTTTTGGATGAAAGCAAATCAAGGCCGTTCCAACGAGAGACTTGGGTAGATGCACGTCTTGACGGGTGATGGATGTGCCGACGGAGGAATCTCTGCAACTCTTGGCTGGGATCAATGCCACCGCCTGAGCTCTGCATGTACGAGCTGTGCTAATGAGATGAAGCTTATAAGTGAGCACATGTACCTGGTGAGCGTCAACATTGACCGCCATGCCGGATCGTCCCCAATACGACGGTTGTTTGGCAGGGACGCATCGTATCAGGGGTAAAAGTATGTGTCCAACTGACGGGGGCATTTGCGTGGTCACATCACAGCAAGCTGCAAGACAAGTTGACCCTGTACGATCTTATAGAGAGGGGGAGAACTGCTATAGGTTGGGATATCTCACCACCACCACCTAATACCTGGCACATGTACATGAATAACGCCCTCTAATGCTAATTACATGTCGATTCTTATAGACAAACAAAGAAATTCAAAATCAACCATCCGGAACAGACGGATTCCTCCAGTTCTCTCTGCCCTTCCCCAAACGCCCCCTCTCAAAGGTACCTCAAAGGTACGAGTACAGCCCCAACAACCCCCCTTGGCAGGCTACTAATTTCCCCTTCCGGCAGCTTCTAGGCCTGGACCCCCGTATTACGTTGTTATAGGGTAAGCACTGCAAAACTATAGGGTAAAAAGTGTCGATTTATAGGGTAACGAAATTAGAAAAATAAAAACCTAGGGAAGCACCTTTGTTTTGTCTTTTTAAAGCAAGGGGGTCCTTTTTGGGGTTGAGACGAATCAGACACGCCCGCATTGGGGGTGTGAGACTCGTTGAAGCAATTTGGTTTGCTTTGATTTGAGTTTATTGGGGTTCTTTTTGTTGTCTGAAGCCAAAAATAGACTCCCTGATAGAAGCTGTTGGGTAATAAGCTTTTGGTGTGAGGGGAATCCTGGTGGCAATGCAAAGAAACTTACATCTATAGCAATCGCAACAGAAAGTCATCTAATTACAAAAACTACTAGGTACAATCGAGAAGAGCCGCGACAAGAGACTGACACCGCCTTTCGCTTCTCTCACCGGTACCGCCGTTTTTATCTACGGGCATCACCAAGTGGTCCGCTGGCCCAAAGAGACGAGAGGCAAAAACAAGGGAAGAAGAGGGAAAAAAGAAACTTTGCAGCTGACTCTGTTCTCGTGACTCGAGTTGATTCAGGGACTAAGGTTAGTAGGTAGCTACATGTAGGTATTCAGCGTGCATCGAGGTTGAGCACCGAATCCGGAGGTGAAAGACGCATTTCCTTGAGTAATAAAAACCCGGTTCGACAAGTATCTGCTACTACCTATATCTCTCTAGCATCTGCTACTATAGCTATATCTCTTCGTGTTTGCTACTGGGTAGTATACGAGTAGCCATACACTACTCTGGAGCGAAGCAAGTCCCGTATCTCGGCCGTATCCAATCCATCCGTAGCCATTTCGAGAGCTGCGAGGATTCTTCGTACATCACTCTCTACAGATTCAAGTCAGTCCTTGATTATTTCTGACCAGTTCTACATGGAAGAATACTTGCCATCGATATGATCAATATCGCCAATAGTCGCAGGAAACCCTTCAATATCCAGCCCGGTGCTAAGATCAACGAACGGAACTAGTTCTGTATCTATCCCTCGACGACGGTCGGAAAGCCAGGTAACAGTATTCTGATACCAGTAGCCTTGATTTAGCATCCTATATGAACAAAGAGAAAAAAAAAAAGATTAGCATATAACAAAAAAATGATGAAAGAGGGTGGACAAACACAGCTCTCGTGCGCTGTTGCCGGGCCTGTTCCGGATTCATTTGTTGCAGAGGCAGATCCCTTCGTTGCCTCAACATCCGCAATTGTTCCTCTGCTCGTACCTCAGCAGCGGCCATTCGATTCGCAATTTGCGTCAATTGATCCCTAATGTCGACGAGTGCCTTGAGTATTGCTTCGTCCACCTCTTGGGCGTTCCGTGGGCCGCCCGGCTGTCGAGTCATCTTGATTCTGGAATGGAGAGTCGCAAAGTATCGATGGTTTCTGATGAAGAAAAAAAAGAAAAGGAAAATCAAGAAAAGAGAAGAAAAATCAAGAAAGAGGAGAGTGAAGAAGAGAAAAAGATAGGAATAGATAGAGTTTGGGAAAGGTGGCGTCGCCAACCAGATCGCCACTGAGTTTATATTTTCTCGTCAAAGTTTCTCTGTACTGTACATTACGGAAACCGAGGGCCAAAGTGTACGCCCGTCACAATTGTATGAGTTTACATCTCCAGTCTAGCAATCTCTCCAACGTAATCTTCCTCTTTCAATGGCGGGGGGTATTCTGCATCTTCCATGCCATGCACAATCCGTTCACTCCTCCCACGTATAGGTAGCCAACCCATTCTCACCCATCACCTCGAAGCAATCTTAATCTTTGTCACTTCCAGAGTCTCTGTATCCACCAGCACAAATTCCTTGGTCTTCGAAAACGATGGCACGGCGATGAGCCGAACGCTTTGGCCATCCGGGCCGTGAATGACCTTGGTCGCAAACTCGGGCTGACAGCCGACGAAATACACGTGTGGGCACGATTTGAGGACAAACGGATCGTCTTCTTGGAATGGATAGCTCCCTATTCGCAATTCTCGTCAGTAGCTGTGATGAACAATAGCACGGAGGCAAACAAGGGAGGGAAACGTACATAGTGTATCGGGTGCGGTGGGGGCGCAGCATCTCCACCTGCACATGGCTTCCATCATGCCTAGCCGGTCATCGCTCTCGACATACTTGAACACGTCGTCCACGTTCTGGCCTCCCGTGCCCAATATCCTCCATCCTTCTATTTCCGCCTCCCAGGGGTTCGTCACAGCGTCGAACCAGCCAGGCTGGGGTGTTGATGCCGCGCCCGGGTCTGACGCGTAGGCTCTTGAAAGGGGAAACATGGCCGTGTGGATCGGCTGCTGAGGATAGCTTGCATTGGCGGGATCCCGAGCACCGGGGAGAAGGGTGACGGGAATGGAAGGCAAGAGCTCGGCAACAAACTCGTCAAACAGCTGGGATGGTAAGGGGTTGTATGCGCTGGCGTCGTAGCCGTACTTCTTCTGTGCCCTCTTCTTGGTCTCGTCGTCTTCATCGTCGTTTTCCTTGCTGGCTGTTGTTGAGATGGAGTCGCCGGCGATGATGAGCCTGCTGATTTGCGAAATGCTAGTCTGTTCATCTGGGCCGAGGGCTTCTCCCAGCAGGTATTCCAGCAGGAGATTTAGCTCGAGGTCGTACGAGGCGTCGGTACCGGAAAAGGACAGCCCAGACACTATGGCAACCTTCTTGCCGCCGTTTGGTGAGGGGCTGTCGGTCATGTCTGTGTCCTCGCTCTTTGATTTGCCGCTTGCCGAGGGCGCTTTGGAGAGGGCCCAGCGCTCCGGCTGCGGAGCCAGATCGGGCACCTTGAGATCGACCACCTCGAATTCGCCGTTTGTGTTCTCGGTGCCCATGACGGCAATGATGCACCCGGTGACGAGGGGGATGGAATTGAGCAGCTCTCCCACCAAGCGAACGCGGCCCGAGTCGTCTTCGAGCATGATCTGGTCGGACCCGTCGTCCGAGTAGTACTTTTGCGAGGCGAGGGGAGCGGACAGCCAACGCTACCAGCGGGGGAATCATTGGTAGTCAGCATTACTATATCAAAGTGCAGTTAAAGCAGTTGCAGGTGGGCTCACATCTTTGGACACGTCCTCGAGGATGTTGGGCTTCAACCGCATGTCCATGTAGACGGTGCCCGCAACCCAACACAGCTCGCCCTGCCGCACATCAAGCACTCGATCAACCCTCTTGGCCGGCTCCCCCCCAATCTCGGTGCCCTCCCACGCCTTGGAAGCCACCTCTTCTACCGCGGGCTTGATCTTGGCCAGCCGCAAAAAGTACATGTCGCCATACTGTTGCTTGTACGACCGCTGTTTGTCTAGGGCGAAGGAGTGAAGCGGCGTGTAGGTCGAGTCGGTTCGGATGGGCACTTTCTGCGAGGGCCTTTTCCAGTGTCAGTGTTAGAATTGCAACTAGCAGGAGGTCTTGAGCTTGAGAAGGGAGGAGAGGCCATACGCAGGCGCCTGGAGGAGGCCGGAGACGTCCTCGAGCTTGACCATGCCGGCGGCTGTCTGCAGTGCTGGGGTCGAGTGCAGCAGCTTCAATGGCGATGCTCTCGATGGACGATGCCGAACTGCGCCTTGTTGCCGTGCCTGACGGCAGAAGAAATCATGAAGCAAGCTGATTGATGACTATGTTGGATTCACGGTTATCAAGGTAGCTCCGTTAGCGGTGCAAGCTTGACGCGCTCTTGGTTCTTAGACAAGATGGATTTCTTTTTCTTGTGCCCCGCGTTCGACACGCGCAGCGGCAGTTAAAGTGCCCCAAGTACCTGTGTGGTATCATCCCCGCTCATTTGTCTCAGAATCGCAGCCAAGTTGGGTTAAGCAGTACACGCATGTACTTCCGCTGGCTTTGGCCGTTAAAGTGCCTAGGCCCATTATACTCCGAGATTTGGGCCCCGAGACCCCTACCGTACATAACTGTAACTGTAACTGTAGGTAAATTTTTATTTCCACCACAACTCCTCCAGCGGCGTGCTCCGGACTCCGGGCCCTGCAACCTCGAATTCCCCTCCTCTTGCAGTAAACCCGCAAACCCCCCACAACGGGCCACAAGGTCAAAACGACACAAGTCACCCAATGATGGCAAGCCGGCCAAGAAAACAACGGGCGATTTGCTGGCGCTAGAAAAACCTCGCCGGCGGGGCCAAAGGCGCTGCAAAGCCCTAGAACCCCGGAGTCTCGCCGCCTCTCGGTGTCTCAGGCAACCGAGTATATGAAGTGGCATGCGCACTCGTTTCGTTGATGTCACCACTCTCCATCTCCATCTGCCTATTACAACACCTTTCTCTTCTCATTCACTTCACTCTCCCAAATCCGCCAGCATGACGTCCCAGCAGCCTCCCCGGATCCTGGTCAACAACCTCTCCTACACGTTCCCGGACTTCTCAACCGGCGTACGCAACATCACCCTCGATCTGCCTCCGCGTTCACGCACGCTCCTGATTGGTGCCAACGGTGCCGGCAAGACAACTCTTCTCCGGCTGCTGGCTGGAAAGCGTCTGGCTCCCGGAGATGCCATCTCCATCTGCGGCGTCGACCCCTTCAAGGAGGGTCTCGAGGGCGTCACCTACCTTGGCCTCGAGTGGGTGCTCAACCCCATCGTGCGCAACGACATTGGCGTCATGGAGTTGCTCCGGTCTGTCGGTGGCGATGCTTACCCTGAGCGTCGTGACGAGCTGGTTGAGATGCTTGACATCGACATCAACTGGCGTATGCATGCAGTGTCCGATGGTGAACGCCGCAGAGTCCAGCTGGCCATGGGTCTCCTGCGTCCCTGGACGGTTCTCTTCCTTGATGAGATCACCGTTGACCTTGACGTCTTGAGCCGCTATTCGTTCCTTTCCTGGCTGAAGCGCGAGACGGAAACCCGCGAGTGCACCATTGTCTATGCTACCCACATCCTGGACAACTTGGCCGGTTGGCCCACCCATCTCGTCCACATGCACGTCGGTACCGTTAAGGAGTGGGACACCGCCGACAATATGCTGCAGTCTCTCGACTCGACCGTTGGTCCTACAGGCAACAGTCGCCTCGGAGAGTTGGTCATGGGTTGGCTGAGGGATGATCTTAAGCAGAGAGGCCCAAGAAGCCAGGCAAACATTGGCCCCGAAGGCAAGACGTATGGCTTTGGCGGCATCAAGATTGGCGGATATGGTGATGAGTCGAAGCAAAGAGAAAACTAAAAAAGTAATTCTCTACCCCTTTTTGGGCCAAGGCGGAGGCCATTGGAGAGATTTCTTCGGTAATAATGCCTTCAACGGCTTATTGGCCGACGTACAAGGCGAGCTTTCTTTCTGCATTATGAACGGTCGGTAAGCACAGTATTCAACGGTGCATGGCGTTGGTTTTTCGGTGGAGGAGCAGGTCTCAACTCTGCCTTCACAGACGGATTTCGGTTTTATTCCGTTTTCAACACTCCTGGATGGTATACCTGATGGAAACGTGGCACATGTCTTTTCTTTCTACTTCTCTTTCTTTTCATGATACCCTGAATTTCAACCGATGGGATATAGGCAGCTGGTCCGCTTCAACTGGACTCGGTAGAGTCGCCATAAGAAGTTGCAATACAATTTTTTTTTTTCGCCGTCGCCCTTGTAGCTTAGCTGAAATCTTGGCTCAACATCTTGGCTCGTGCTCGCGGTGTTGCATCCATTGACTTCTTCAAGACTGTCATTGTGTTCTTTAGGAGCTCGGCAATGCCTCCAAGGTTCTTTTCGGCAAGTGATCTTAGAACTTCAATGCGGTATTCTTGCCATGAAAGCTGTATGCCTCCCGACGTAGCTAGCTTCGAAAGGCTAGCCTGCGTTACAGGTCCAGCATGTCTTGTGCGAATGGTGCTATCGTTTGCAATGGCTGCATCCTCCAGGTCCCGCACTGAGCGAATACTCTGAAGGCAGAGCATCGGCGAGTACGACAAGGAAAACAATGAAGGGAGGGTGAAGGTCTTGTCCACCGAGGATACGTATGACGTGAGCTTGGAAACGGCCGGCCGCGGAACCATACAGCCGTGGGAATTGGTATCCGCATCGCTAAAGGCTCGACTTCGCCAGAAACAGTTACAAATGTCCATGAGATAGCCGTTGTACAGATTGACATAGGCTCGGTCGTATGAGAGAGCATCGATCCGGTTGGAGCCGTCGTTTCTTGCTTTGGTTGACATGGCCATTTCAAACCCCTTCTTGTAGCACGCCAAGATGTCGCATAAGCGGGATATCGTCGTCACAGAACCACTGAACAAGAAGATGTAGATGAGCTCAGAGGGTGGCAGTTCAATCCGTATATAGTACTTCAGCCTATCATCATTGACTAGGTGAATTGCTTGTTCGTAAAATTCGACAATGGCGGCATTCACCGACTCTGAAGGTGATGTTTGTAGAAGAGTAAGGCTGAGCTGGCCAGTGTGGCGAATCAATGCCGTTAGACTTGTATTGGCATGGGCCGGAATTGGGTCGTTTGATTGCAACACAGCAATCCAATGGCGAAGAATGTCAGTATACAAAGTCAGTATTTCGACCTGTGAATTAGGGGCATTGTCCAAGATGGCCGATTCTAATGGCTGTAGGATGTGCCCATAGAATTCTAAACGCCGCCGTTAGTGTAATGCCCAGAAGCCTTTGTGCCAATAGGAGACCAAATGCATACCTTGAAACTCCAATAGAGGAGCATACGCGAGTATCTGCAAAATATAGCCACGCTGGCCGGACCCATTCCACTGTTGAAAGAAACGGGCGAAAAAATTCAGGAGAACGGGGGGTACAGACTGCATCATGAATCCGTGTTAGATCCCAGGGCATACATCAAAGTTAATACAGAATTTTGACTCACTTTACTCTGCACAACAAACTCCTTTACGACGTCCAAAACTTCCCACAGCGTGGCTTCATCGGCATCACCGTCAATGACGTTTTGCAAAACTGAGCTTAGCCAGTTGGCTACCCGCTGATAAGCTACGGCATTCGGACGTAAGAGCAATAACTTTTGCAGCAAAGGATCAGCAAGAACAGCTACAAGCTGATTTGGCAGCTCTATTCTGTCCATATTTTGGACAAATCCAGCGACATTCTCAATTTCTTCTAGCGTAACTGCGTTCTGATACAACGTTAGCGTGCGAATAGGCTTCTGAAGACGGAACAAATCACCTCGTTTACGTGAGACGTGTGCACAGCTGGCACAGCTCTTCTTCCTTGGGCACGGCCCGTAGCGCGATTGACCTGGAAACCATCAAGAGCTCCACGTGAAATCTTCTCCGCCTGTAGGGCGTAGGCATCTTGTATTTCTTGAAGCCTTTCTTTCCATGATATATCTGGGTGCTGGTGTCCCGTCAGTCTCTATTGCCTTGTGGCCATGTTAATGCGATTTTTCTCACTTTAAAAGCCGAAGCCTTGCCACGGACCAACTCCCCCAAGATGATCTCGGGATAGTAATCTTTAAAGACTCTCAGTAGACCTATCAAATAGGGATCGTTGGCTGTCTGCCGTGACAAATTTAAGCTGCAGAATTCGGTCAGCTATTGTTATTGGCTGTGAGAAGAAGTCCGCTCATATGCAGATGGTGTGCTCACAGAGCTTGAATCCTAAACGGTTTGACATGTTTTCTTCGCGTGATAAGTGCCAGTAGATGACAAACATTTGGTCTAATCGCCGCCGTGTCAAGCAAATTGAAGAGTACGCCATAAGCCTGGGCAAGCACAGCCGGGGTTTCTAATACGTGGTGGATCATGATGAGCCATTTCAGAAGAGCTACTTGGACATTGAGCGAGGGCTTAAGATTTCCATGTCCGAGGGCACCAATGACGCGAATTGTAACCTGACGGGATACTCTGGCGACAGGATATAGATTCCTGGCCATAGCAGCTAAACTCGCCTGATCGAGATGACTGGGCGTAACCAGCAAGCCAACAAGCTCTTCAAGTGCGTTTGGCAGTAGGCCGTTCTCATACGCCAGAGAGGTTAGGCTTGCCACTGTGGGCTTGATGTTTGCGCCCCTTGATTTGGTTGGTATCTTGGAGGCTACCAAACGGCGAGTAAGTCGGCGTCACATTAAAGGGCGGGGGGATTTGACCACTCACCTGCAGCCACATCTTGGATGAGTGCGTCAATCTCCTCGGCTGCAGAGGACGACATATCGCCGGCATTCAATGCTACCAAGAGCTATGGTAGGTCGACACGAGCAGCCGATCAGGCTCAAGACACGGTATGGCGCGTCGGTGGTCGAAAACAAATCAGAGAGAGCCGCGGTGCAGCTGCCAGCTTTTCATCCTGCGGTTGCTATGCTCGGTGGAGAGGATTTCGTGACAAGGGGATCAAACAGGCTGCCACGTTGAAGCTGATCCGCAATGGAGCGTCGCGCTTGTTTGTGGCCAGTGAGGATGACGATGGCGTACTGTAGCTTGGATGATTTTCTTGTTGGGCTCGATATGGTTGGTTTGTGGGGGTAGCAAATCGTAGCGTGCACAATGCGACGCCAGCTGCTGTAGGTGTTATTGGACGGAGTTTGTGGTCCAGGTATAGTTCGGTTGAGGAGCAATGGAGGCGCTTTGCACGGACGAGATGCCGCGGGTGTAAAGGGTTTCATTCATTCAGTTGATTGGGAAACGTCTAAAGTACGGAGCGGTGAAATGTGTAGAGCATGGAGCAGCGAGTTTGTCGAAGACGTGGAGGAGTTACTGTGTTTGTAGCACTGTAAGTTACCTCTGTGTCGCTAGTTCATGGGGGAATTTTGAGAGCGTACAGGTTCACCGTGTGCACGTTACATCTTCGCACATGCAGCAATGCTGTACCTCCATTTCCAGACAGCCTCTGTCCCGGCAATACTTCCGGAGAGCCACATGCAAGACACGAGAATTGGGCAACATTGCATAATGCATCCTCGGTCCTAAGATCTGTAGGTAATCTTGTCTTGTCCTGTAATAGAGGCCCGCGTAACATCCTTGATGGTCCCGGCGTGGCGGTGTTGGCACTGTCTTATTGGGCTACTGCAGGTACTTTACAAGCTTGTGTTGTCCACGCAGGTATCCCATCCCGGTACCAACAGCTGAATCAATAAAGAAGGGCCGTTTCAACCTCTACCTATAGTACCTTAGCAAATAGGTAGGTAGTCCAAGTTACTATAACATGCCCACCTATTTATGCTTACTGTAGTGCTTTTTGCGGGTTAGGAAGGATGCAGTAGTTTCAATATAAAGGGACGGATTGCTATAATTAGGTACCTACTCTAGTTTGCATTTTGCCCTGCACGCATGTTTTCGCGTCTTGGAGAGTAGGTACCTAACATGAGATGGATTAGCCGCCTGTAAGAAGCATACCTAGAGGAGCAATCACTATAATGACAGCACCTGAGCTCTGTTCTTCTACTCGCATGTAGAGGTGGTACTTATCACCTTAGAAAAGTACTGCCTTCAGGTACATGGAGTGCATTTTGCCAAAAACGCTGGTTGGGGTGCGCTTGCCTCACTTCTGTACCGATGTTATCAAGGTATGCCGCAGTTCCCCAAACGAATGCACCTTCCCCTGTGCCAGAGCACTTACTCAGCACCATACACGTGTATGAGTACCTAACGCAATCTCCAAACCACCAAGCGAAATCTCACAGCCCAATCTTGACGCTGTAACCCCCCGCCGCTGACTCGAGCCGCGATGCCTGCACAGTACTCGTACACAAGCGCGCTACAACTTGGACTGTTGGCTCGCGTCGATCCTTGAATCTCCCGCCTTCCCGCTGCCGGACCCATCATTCCGGCATATTGGGCCAGCGCTAGGCCCGATATGAACTCACGGCTTTTCTCCCAACTTGCTTGGCCTCGAACGAGCAAAAGCACATGCAAGTAGTTGAGCTGCATCACATGTTGACGCTGTCATAGAGTTGACCATGAAGCTTATCAGAAGTCATTTGATCGCCCCGTACCTGCTCTAGCACTCAAATCTCGTCCGACTCGACTGGTGGAGCGGACATCGCCATCCTAAGAGCCATTACCCAACCGGGGCTGTCTGTCACTGCATCCGAACGAAGCAACTCGAGAAAAGAATACGCCTTAATCTCGACTCGCTGTTGGGTGTTCAAGATCTGCCCCAAATGGAAAAGCATGACCGTTCGGCGGCTGTGGGTAGTTCTTATCCCAAGAAATTTCCATTCGAGCGGACAGGACACAGAGCACGGTAGCAAAAAAATCAGCCATACCCAGGAGTTACTTCCTCTATATGCTTCTATTCGAATAAGACATGGAGATTACCGTTACTGCTTTCTTGTACTACCTGGCTCTCAATTGCATCCTTGCTTCCCCGGGTTGGTCACACACTGGGCAGCCCTCTTACGCCTTGCGCACTGTCTGGTGTACAGACAGTTCTAGTGGCCCTTTCAACACGCATACGCTCTGTGGATTTATGCGTCAAACAACTTCCCAGTCCCCTGCTTTTAGACCACTTTTGCCCTAATACCTTCTCGGTTTGCCGTACATACTTATGCATCTACTCATTGGCCGTACGGGTGGATCATCTCGTACCTTCACCACTATCCAGCCCGTGTGTTATTTTTTCTTTTTCGATATCCTCATCGTCCTCTTGCCCCAGTGCCAGCGAAGCAAAGAATTACTCAGGCTGAGGGATTTCATACTTTGAGAGTAATCCCCAAGCCGGCCCCCATCTTTCTCTAAGCCCAAGTGGTCAGACATCCAGTCAAAGGTGGACCGGAAGGCTGCCTTCTTGCCACGTCTTAGGCGTATTGGGATGCTTAACCATGACCACGGCAAGCTTTAAGAGACCCCCCACATGGAAATTACCCCTACATTATCTCACCCTGGTCACAAGAAGCTTTTTGCAGCCCATTGAATCATCCCCTGCCCCTTGCCCAGTCCAATCGTTGTGCCCATGGCAAGATTAGGGCTACCATATGCAGCGTACTGTACGGAGTATTTGGCCCTCTGCAAACATGGAGCTTGCCGGTGTGGGTTCTTTTTTTTCAGCTGATACCATATGAGAAGCCTTGGCGATGGAATATGAGTCGCTGTCCTAGCCTTCTTTCAGGATACTACGCTGTCCGGCAAGATTGCCCTGACAAATGTCCGTGGATCACATTTATTTCTCTCTTAGATCCAGATTGTTGTTCGTTACACAAACTGGAACATCAAATCAAGTCTTTCAAGTATTGGTCACGTCGCGAGAGCAGCGGAAAGACTCCCTATTTCTTGATTCACACCCTAGTTTGCGCGTTCACTGCGCTCGGCACAGCTTAAGCCGAATATTCTACATATTCGCATCGTGGGCACTCGAGAGTTATTCTTGAAAATTGTAGGATACGAAGGGCACTATTCTATTCTTGCTGCTTGCCACGACCAACATGCTATAGGAAACAACATGTCTACCGGAACATACTGGCCTGTGGAAAATGCATCCGGCCTTTACCCCTCAGGAAGTTCAGAGAGGCCAATCGGTACAGTCTTGTGGGATTACCAGAACTGTATCCCCCTCACACAGATTCCTACCGGAGACAAGCCTGTTCTTCTCTTGACCCCTGTCGTGGTGCCCCCGGTGGGAAGCAATCCAGCAGATGATAGAGATCCCTTTGAGATTCTCGGACAAACGATTTCCGGCCGAAATATCTCGATACGCCATGTTCCATATACTAAAGCCAAAGGCATTACCGGCGTTCATGTGGCCTTTGTTAAAAGAGCAAGGGCTGTGGTCTTTGTAATCACGCATTTGGACGGCACCGACAACCTGCTTCAGTTGGAATTTGCCGAGCTCGTTACACGGATATGTGAATCACGGCCATTCATACTTCTTGTCTGCTGCAATCTAGCAGGACGAAACATTTCCAACACTCACTTCCGGACTTTGGTGCACATTGCTGGATACACCAATGCCGACTTGCTAGTTGCAGCCACATTGTTACTCGACAGTGATCCAGGGCTACCGATGCCCGCGGATACCCAAGGTAGATTAGATGCCGAGCCTGCATGGCTAGTACAGCCCTGGGCTGCCGAGCGAGATTTGACGGAAACATGCGCCCTTTGGCATGCATGCCTCCCGTACCAATTCCATCTCAACCCGTCTACTCTCGGATCCCTCTTGAAGAGAGACGGATATGCGCTGCACTATGTCGTGCGAGAACCGACGCGAGGGGCGTTGATCGGCTTTTGCGCAGCTTACGCAACCTTTGCAGACAGTTCTGATGTTGCTCTAATAGGCTCCATTGCCGCTGTCCTTGTCCATCCTGAATACAGAAGGCAGGGAGTTGGTTCTTCGCTCTACGATGCGGTAATGAGTAAGTTTGGCAGAGTCAGAGGCGTGCAGAAACTACACCTAGGGTCGACGTTTCCTCGACTGCTCTGTGGCTTTACCGCTGAGATGGCCGATGCGAGCCAGTGGTTTGCAAGAAAAGGTTGGCCTGTCAACATGCAAGGGCCCGCGGGCCAGGGTGGCCTTGTCACAGACTGGATTCTTCATTTCACAGATTTGACAGGCGTTATGATTCCTTATTCTAGCTTAGGATACAGGCAGTGCTACGAATCAGATGCGCAACAGGTGCTAGATATTGAACATCGGCCACCTGCAACAACTAGTCACGGCTTTGGTTGGTATGATCAGTACGCGCGGACAATACAGAGCGAACATATAGGCGATATTGTCGTCGGTTTTGACAATGATACAATAGTAGCTACGGCCATCACTTACATCCCTGGCCAACAAAGTCCGGCGGCAACTGATATCCCATGGCCGGGCGCATTGAATGACAGTGTTGGAGGAGTTACGTGCATTTGTATCAGAGGTAAGTTCACTCGCTCTGCGTTTTCTCTTTCATTGTAATGGATACAACGGCAATTCTTTATTCAGTCGATACTTTTTAACGAATTTTACTAATGATCGGTCCAGAAGGAGCAGACGTTGGCATTTCCCGAGACGCAACCATCGCCAACTTATTGTATGCATGTTACCGGGCGTTGAGCGGGAAAGGCATGACCAGCATGTTCCTGGACGGAGTTTCTTTCGGAGATCAAGTGCTTGTGTCGCTAGGTAAGCTCTGAATTATAAGAAGCTATCATCTCGAGGCTTTTCAGTTCAGTACTGACTTGGTTTACGCAACGACAGGTTTCCGGAGGTGGGCGGAATATGGACCAGTGTGGCGCGAGATATGATGCGATGGCTCGATAGCACATGGTAAAGACTGTTTATTTGTACCATCATGATATTCTTACGTGTAGCTATGAGGTTTCGGAGCGCCGATGGACGGAGTATCGTATATGGAAGCCTTTTGTTCCATGCCATCCGGAGAGATAACACAGGAATAGGGGTAAATGGGCCCATTGGCCCACATCTCGAATGCCTGCCCAGGACAAGGTATACTACTACTAGCATTGCAATAAAATCCTTCTTTGAAGTTAAAAGTTGTCGATGTACTCTGCAGGTGTTGCACAAGTTAAAAAGAATGAACTAGGAGGTGATCAAAAGTAGGGATATACATATAGTAGGTATGTATATATATATATAGGTAGTATATATGGGAAGAAAGAGTATCAGAGAGAGAAATTGACACCATAGTAAAAAGAGACGGTAAAGCCAACTAGTAAAAGGCCAGAAATGAAAAAGAAGAAGAAAAGAGAAACAAAAACTTTTTTTGGACCCAGATATGATTTCCCCCCTCCTAACAATGTTGACGCCCTCCGCTGCCCAAAACCCCGAAAGTTTTCCCTGATATCAAAAGTTCGCTACCATGAAGTGAGAAGAAAAGAAAAGACAAAAAAGACAAAAAAGACGTATACGAGTACATGGTGGCTCGCGCCTTTTTTTTGCAAAACACACAGTGTAGCCCAGCCAAGTTCCCTCTCTCATCTTCATTTTTTGGATCTCTTTTTTTTTCTATACTTGTCTTTTCCACCTTGGTGAAAGACCAAAAGAAAAAAAAAAAGGAAGGGAAAATGTAACAAAAATGAAATGGAGGTATAAAAAAAAACAGTTGTACTCTTCTTTCATCCCCATTTCGAAAAATCCACTGATTCGACGAGAGAGTCTAGCCCGTTCACGGTGCCAACCTCGGTATCGTTTGTCGCAGTTGTAGACAGTATTGATGATCGATGAGACGTCTGCTCGCTGGTGTTGGTGAAAAAAGTAGCTACGCTCGTCCTGCGCAAGCTGTTGAAACTGTCCCTTACGCTGCTGCCGCCTTGTTGGCCCGAGTCTTGATATGGCTGCAGTGGCGCTGGCTGGATTGGCATGGAGCCGGGGAGAAGCGTTGGCGGCGAAGCCGATGATACAGAGCCCGACTTCGGCCCGTGTCTCTCTCGCAACCTCTTAATTTCCCGAAGGCGACCGCTCCACGCACTGATGTGCTCGCCGCCCTCGCGGTTATGCCAGACGTGAGCAAACACAGATGCATTGAGGGCAAGGAGCCGGATGAAGGCAGGCAGAGCTTTTAACGAGACCATCTTGGTGTCGGACGCAGGTGAGATGGCAGGGAATCCCGGTTTGCTCATCACTTGCACCGTGTAAAACTTCATCTTGTGGGCCTGCTCTGAATCCGTCTCCCTGGTGGCCAGAAACGAGGCAGGAGATGCTGGTGTGATTACTATATTAACACAGTTAAACTGACTCGGGAAAGTATCAAACTTGAACGGAAGACCGGAGTCGTTGAAGATGATGTTGACAAAGTCATTGCCAATGTGCCGTTTCTTCGCCACGCAGTGCGGATCTCGTTCGAGATCTGTCGGCATTTGTGTTGTGACGTGAAAGACAATCTCCGTCACCCTGTCCCTCCAGCAAAACGTATACTGTCCGTCGGTGTCGTGTTCCCGATCCAAGCCCTGCGTATTGAAGTTTGCGCCCTTGAGCTTGGTCAAGGTTCCGAGGTTGTTCAGAAATTGAATGTAATCGCCGCTCCCCGATACGTTTGCCAATATTTCTGCCTCTTCAGTTTGGCCTTCGCCAATATAAATGACACCGACCTTGTGCCCATCGAGACTGGAAAGGCGATCAAAGACTCTGATGGTTCGGCCAGTTACCTCATCGTCTGGCAAGGGAATGGGCCGTGCAGAGTCATGCGTCTGCGGAATTGGGGACATGAGCTGCACCAGTAAATGACTGGGCAAGATCAAGTTGGACGTGGGCTGGCCCTCTCTGGTGATGTCGACGTGATTCTCTATCTGGTGAGGAGGAGGAGGCCTATAAGATTCGCGAACCGTGTATGCCGAGGTGCCAGATGGCTGTCTTTTGATTATCTGAGCCCACCCGGACACCGTGGCTTGCTTGACAGTGACGATACTGTTCCCAACCAACCATCGCTTTATTGCAATGTCACCAAAACGCTCTTCGGTAAAGTAAGGATCTTCAGCTGATTCATCGACATCGGCATAAGTGACCCTCTGCATAAAGTCAATGGATGTAATGGCATGTTCATCTGTGCCGTGCACGGGTCCGTCAGTATCGGCAAACAGCTTCTTGACGATCCAGCCGACATGATTCGCACGATCGGGCAACTTGAGCGCCAAAAACCAAAACAGGATAACATGGTAGGCCAGGGCATGAACGTATTGCGGAAGATCGTCCGACGGAGCGGGCTGCGAAACCTCCGATACCGTGATGGATGCTGGTGATGATAGCTCACTTATATGGGTATTTCGTTGGACCTGCCTCTTGTCTTTGGCGTATTCCAAGTATCGGAAGCAGATTGCGAAGACAATCCTGAACTCATCTTCCCGGAAGTTGATGTAAACATTATGCAATCGACTAAGGCAGGCAAGAAATTCCAGAATATGAACAGAAACAAACGGCTGTGTGATGATGGCGGCCATCTGGTTAAGCATCTGAATCAGCGATCTGCTTGTTGATAGAGGTAGCTCATGGCAACATATCGACAAGGCGTGGATGCAACATTTGGCGCTTCTTTCCCAAGTGGATATCCCGTGGACAAACATTTTTACGATTTCATCCTCGTCGGGCTTTGTAAAGTGCTCGTGGTAGCTCAAGATCATAGTTAGGCTGTGGTAAAGACAGATCGCTATGTCGGCTCGGCGAAGGCCCAGGGCGTTGGGAGGCTCTTGAAAACTGTTCAACCGAATCTGTTCACAGATCATCTTACGTAGTGCCTTGATTTGGTCTATCGCATCCCTAAAGATTGCATGGTTGCTCAGTTGCGATGGTAGATGCACCAAGACAAAGCTGTATATCTCCCAATCGCATCCCTGGAGCATATGCACTACCGTGTCTAACCAAGTAGATAGTTGGAGAGCGCAAGGCTGATACTCTGGTCTCTCAGCTGCAGGCTCTTCGCTTTCCACTGCAGCCTCAGCCTGAACGTGAGATCGGAGAACAGGACTAATCATGGAAGGTACAGCCTCCGGCAGTGCGTTTGTGTCAGGATATTTCCACAAAGCGCATTGTCGTTGCCCGGTTCGGCCTTGGCCAATAGATGTCCCGCGTGTTGTTGAGCGAGACTGCATCCCGAAGTCAATTCTTGAGAGACGAGCCGTATTTGCTGCTTCGTCGGCTTGCTTTTTCGCCAGCGAGCTTTCAGTGCGGTAAAGGGTCGTGGCGGTAGACATGGCTTCCAGGTTGTTGGTAATGAAGATTCGATCCGCCCAGTCCGCACGCAGTCTGAAGAGCAATTTCATGGCAGTCAGCCGAGCATCTACCTCGCAATGCTCTAGGCCTGCGATGCTGACGAGCACATTGAAGAGCTTCACGCTTTTGTCGTTGTGGAAATTCATAAGCCGTATAAACATTCTGACGTATCCCCGTGTGACAACGTTTGAAGGAGACTGTTCTACTGGTGATTCTGTGTGCTCAACATTGGCCTGTGAGGTTGGCAGCACTATGGGAGATGTAAGCGATGCAATGGGCGATTTCAGTCGGTCGCTGATGACGATTACACGCAACGCGTTGATAATAAAGTCAAAGAGGTCTATATCACACGAAATGACCACCGAGGTCATTAACGAGATGATGGCATCCAAGACTACGACGTCCACTTCCTCGATCACATCCTGGAGGATGGCCTTGGCAAGGCGAGGAATGAAGTCTTGCTCGTCTCCATCGCCCACCAAGTCAACGATCTCATAAGCATCCATCATGGTCTGAAGAGCACGTAGCCGAGTCTCCGAGGAGCGGCTTCGGTCATTGAAAAATCCTTCGAGCACGAGTTTCAAATTTTCTTCCCACCGAAGGTCTGAAGGGGAGCAACACCGAAACTCTTGGAAGTAGTCGAGCACGGTACGAGCAGTGTTATCGGGAAGAAGCCGATGCACATCGGTGAAGAACTTAATGACTGTTTGTCTAGGGACAAAATCACCCGACTTTTGTGTTACCACTAGGTCTAGCCGAGCAATAAGCAGCAGGAGCTCTTGGGTGATGGCATCATCCATAGACGTATCCCTGACCCGGCCATCAACCGCCATATCAGGAATTCCCTGGATCTTGCGATAGCACTCTGCTGCCGTCTCTAATGGAACCGTCCAATCCTCTTCAATGACCAAACGGTGTAACTGCCCGAGTCCATCGTCGAATAGAGAGTTGATGAGTTGAAGAATGGCGTAATTTGTTCTTGATGAGGAAGAAATCTTGAGGATATTAGACAAGCCGTCCACTAACAGAGCATAAGGAACAGTTGGATAGCCCTTTTCAGCCGTCTTGGAGAGTAGCTTCCGTAATACAGCAAGAGCGCCCCTAATATCGCGACCCATATCCTTGCTGCTGACCTCATCCAGCGATGGATTTCGAAGAATATCGAGCAGGATACGAACTGACGCCTGGCCATTGTGTGATTTGCAAAGGTTTGCCAGTGTGTGCCAAGACTCTTTGTTGAGGTTTGGGACGAGACAGAAGATGGAGCTGAGAACCTGTATCGTGTTCTTCAGTCTGCTGACGGGGACGGAGCCAAAGGTAACAATGGCATCAACAGCGGATATGCAAGAACGCAGGTCTTCTTCAACACTCGTACTCATGCAAATGTCGAGTAAACGGTCGATTAGACCTGTTATCGAATTTTGATCGGCGGTATTGAAGTTGAACTTGATGACGTCCATGATGAATGCAAAGAGCTGCGTAAAGTTTTGGTCTTCTCCAGACGCCGCCGCCTTATTTTTGGAGCTTCTCTGCCCGCGAGATGCCTGGGAGGCCTTGCGAGCTGCACGGGCGGCATTATATGCTTCTCGAAGCCACTTTGTGAGTAGAGGAAGCAGCTCATAATCAAACCCGGCCAGTATGCGGCCACGATTGGTGAGGTCCACCAGCGCGGCAAGCTGTAAATGAAAGTCGTCGGGGCTGGCCGGAGCAATGATTGTCTGAAAATACTCCTTTCGCTCCAAATCCGTCGAAGATGAATGCTTGACACATTCCGTCAACAGCTCCCAGCCGGCCTGTCGCATTGCGCTCGGCTTGCCTGCGTCGATAAGGTCCTTGGCAGCGTACCATATTTCAAGAACGGGGTTAAGAGGATATTCTGTAATGGCGAATTTGAGGGTGTTGGCAGCTGATATACGTTCGGCTTGGCTGCCATTCTTCAAGAGCTCAAAAGCATCCATATGGTTCGCAGACAGGCCGCGAGAGCTCATTGGCGTGGCATTACTGAAGTCGGTTCTTGGAAGCGCCGCCACAGACGAAGCAAGCGGCGGCGGGGATTTTGTCGACTTTGAACCGGTCAGGCCACGGAAGACGCTGGCGATACCGCTGGGGCGTACGGAATCTGGCGAAGAAACATCATCTCCAGGCTGTGGGGACATGTGCTCGTCTTGGAAGGTCTGGGCTTTGGTTGCGAAGAGAGACTATGGTAGCCTGTGAGCACAAGAAGACGAGCTGACGATGGCATAAAACTCTCAAAAAAAACCACGGGCGAAAGCAGAAGAGGAAAAAAAAAAAAAACACTGCGCAAGATACCCTGTCGCCTTCCGAGCACTTGCTGGGGCTCGTCGCTATGAAACGCTCCAGTGTCACGCAACCAAAGCAGGATATGATGGGGCGTGCCGCACTTGGCAACAGACAAAGAGCGACTCACTCCTCAAGGACCATGTATCCCAGACTGGACATCAAGGTTCCTGCAGACGTCTGACGATGAGCCCTGGAAAACAGCGACGGCGCGTGTGCGGAAAAGACCAGATATGGTAGTCGAGAGGTTGGTGGGACAGCGCAGAAATTTGAACAGGCAACAGGTCTCGCAGGCGATGCAGGGAGAAGGTTGGAAAGGCACACCAAGAGGAGCCGCTATCAGCTGTGGTCAAGGACGCCCGGATCGGTCATCGGCTGGAGAGTCGGAGTCGGAGTCGGAGCGGTCGAGCAGCAGCGCATCTGTAGAGGGCCGTGATATGGCGAGGAACAAGGGACTTGAGCTTGAGGGTTCAAGTTTTTTCTCGAGGTGCAGGCCGGCAAAGGTTATTGGAGTAGAACAGGTTGTGCAGGATGCAGGATGACGGAGAGCGAAGCACGCCTCTCATTTGCTCAGGAGGGCCTGTACATGTACATGTAAGGGATTGGATTGATTTTTTCCCATGTGCATGTGCCCTCAGCTTTGTCGCGGCGCACGGGCCTCGGCCAGTAGCTGTACTCGTACTAAGCCGTGGCTGGCTGTAGCTGTTCATAGCTGTGCCGTGGCGGTAGCGGTAGCGCATGGAGCTGCACTGCACTGCACATCATCTGCTGGCTCTGCCCTGTACTTGTAGGCCCTTGATACGGCCACTACAGTAGGCGGCGGGCGGAACCGCTGCGCCAGGACGCGGCAGCCAACTGATTGCAGCCTGGGCTAGGTAGCTCGCATTGATCCATTGTAATCCAATTTCAATTGATGGTGTCCTCTGCTTTAGTATGGATTCATTGTTGATTGCCTCATCAATCAAAGCCTCGAGATGCGTCAGGCAGCGAGAGATTATGATGCGCTGATGCCCCCCGTTGCGGTCAAGTACTTCTGTAAAACTGTAGGCAGTGTACCGTTACCTGATGCGGGTGTGATTCGATTTGGCGGCAGCCATCCGCAATGTCGATACTCGTCTGTTCACCCATCCTTCAAGGTGGTGTGTCTCTCTCTACCTCCAAAGCATCATAGTGATACTCATCTATTATTACTGTAGTACCACCTAATCTACAGGTAGAGGTTGTAGACCCATGATATACCTGCTTCAATCAATCTCATCCACCGGGCCAGCCGCCGACGGCTGATGACAGCTGTCAATCCCGATCACCGCCGAGGCTTCAGTTGTCCCCTCCAGCCGGCCCACTTGCACCCCGCCGTCTGCAAAAGCACAGCACCGAAGCAAACGGCCCTGGAAAAGCTCTCCCCCCACTAGAGCCTCGCAAGGTCGTAGTCACAGCAGAGGCGCTACCAGCTACAGTACGAGGCAACCACCAAAAAAAGTCGTCCATCTACAACAAACATACCGCCCAATCCCAACACCATCCAACTTCCCTCCTCTCCCACCCTCTCCCCCTTTCTCCCTACATATCGTCCCCCAACCTTGCCTCATATCCAACGCGAAAGGACTCACCATGGCGGCTGACGTGGGCCACATTGCTCAGCTGCTCCAGGCAACGCTCGATCCTGCCCAGCACCGTGAAGGTATGTTATGCTTCTCGCCAGTGCCCCGCCTCGTCTGCAGAGACACGGAGAGCATAAAACGCGTCTGAAGAGCCCACCGCGTGCTGACCAGCGTCCGACAAATCCAGCCGAAGCTGCCCTCAAGCAGGAGGCGGCCAAGCCTCAGTACTCTCTGACTCTGCTCACCATCGTCAGCTCCGATTCACTCCCCGTCAACACTCGGCTAAGCGCTGCCCTGGCTTTCAAGAACTTCATCCGACTCAACTATGTGGTAAGTCTTGATGCAATGTGGTGCGATGCGATGCGATGCAATGCAATGCCGCGCCGCCGATGCCATCCACGCCGACACGCCTCCGAACGCAGTCTCCGAGATACTAAAGCCGGCATTCTTAGGACGCGAATGGAAACTACAAGATCCCGCAAGACGAGGTCCAGACGATCAAAGAGCGCCTCATCGGGCTGATGATTGCATCTCCCGCCAATATTCAGAGCCAGCTGGGTGAAGCTGTCAGCATCATTGCCGATTCAGACTTCTGGGAGCGATGGGATACTCTAACTCAGGTAGCCAGCTATCCACCTATTCGTGGTTGCGAGAGCTCGATCCAGCCCATGCTGACGGTACAATTCGCAGGATCTCGTCAGCCGATTCTCTGCCACTGACCACAAGGTGAACATCGGCGTGCTGGAGGTTGCCCATTCCATCTTTGTTCGGTGGAGGCCACTTATGGGAACGTCTGGCTTGTACACAGAAATCAACCATGTCATCAACACATTTGGTTCTCCGTTCTTCCAGCTGCTGGCGGTAAGAACGGCCCTGCTTGACAAGTCTTGTCGGTTCCAAATCCGTGGTTTGAGGATTCAGTGCTGACCCTAGCGCGCGCGCATGATGCAGACCACCGATAGCAAAATCACCGAGCTTAGCCAAGATAAAGCGGCTCTCCGAGGCTGGTTCGAGACACTTAGCTTACAGTTGAAGATCATGTTCGACATGTCTTGCCACGATCTGCCTCCCATTTTCGAAGACAACCTCTCCAGCATCTCCGAACTACTCCACAAGTATCTAAACTACTCCAACTCCATCTTGGATACCGACGATGATGACGAAGTCAGCGTGGTCGACACCGTCAAGGCCGACATTTGCGACTTTCTCGAACTCTATACCTTCAAGTATGATGCCGACTTTTCTCAGTACTGCAAGCCGTTCATCACAAGCACTTGGAGTCTGGTTTCGTCCATTGGCTCCCAGACAAAATATGACACTCTTGTCAGCAAGTCGTTGCACTTCTTGGCGGCAGTCGCGGCAACGCGGGAACACTCTGAGCTATTCAACAGTGAGGAGGTTCTCACCGAGATCGTTGAAAAAGTCATACTGCCCAATGTTGCCCTGCGGGAGTCTGATATTGAAATGTTTGAGGATGAGCCAATCGAGTATATTCGCCGAGACCTGGAGGGATCTGATTCTGGCTCTCGACGGAGATCGGCCACCGACTTCCTCCGCAGTCTGCAGGAAAAATTCGAGAGCCTTGTCACCGCTTCTGTTTCTCGATACATCACGCACTATCTCGATCAGGGGAAAACAGACTGGAAGTCCAAGGATACTGCCGTCTATCTATTCCTCTCGATTGCCGCCAAGGGCGCCGTCACACAGGCACAGGGTGTCAAGACCGTCAATCCACTCGTCAATGTGGTAGATTTCTTTGAACGGCATATTGCTTCTGATCTGGTCAACGGGGATGGAATTGAGCCCATTGCCAAAGTGGACGCCATCAAGTTCCTCTACACATTCCGCAGCCAGTTGTCCAAGGATCAGTGGAAGGTGGCCATTGGACCATTGATCCAGAACCTAAACTCAACCAATTACGTTGTTTACACGTACGCAGCCATTGCTGTGGAGCGTGTATTGTATCTGACGGATGATGCGGGCAACGCCATGTTCCCTCGTGCAGACATAGAACCATTTGCAAAGGATCTGCTCACTCATCTCTTCAAACTAATTGAAAGAGAGACCAGCGCACCCAAATTACAGGAGAACGAGTTCTTGATGCGATGCGTGATGAGAATTCTCATCGTCATCAAGGATGGAGCGGGCCCTTGGCTCGATACCATTTTGACACATCTCATCCTCATCACCAACGTTATGAAGTCTAACCCTAGCAACCCTCGCTTTTACTATTACCATTTCGAGGCTCTGGGCGCCTTGGTGCGATACTGCGCCGCGACACATGCAGCCGCAATTAACCAGAAGCTGTGGGACCCCGCACATCAGATATTGGTTGAAGATGTTACTGGTAAGCTACTCTTTATGCTATTATTATTTGTCCGCCCACTCTTTATTCTAACCGCAACACCGTATCGACAGAGTTTATCCCATACATCTTCCAAATCCTGGCACAGCTTCTAGAGTCTAGCCCCGCCGATTCGGTCTCTGACAACTACCGGGAGCTCCTTGGCCCCCTGCTGCAGCCCACTCTGTGGGAAACCAGAGGCAACATTCCTGCTTGCACACGACTATTATCTGCTCTCATCCCCAGGGTGGCCAAGACTGTTGTTGCAGAGAATCATCTTGAGGCTGTGCTTGGAATTTTCCAGAGACTGCTGAATGGAAAGAAATCAGAGCTGCATGCATTCGATGTTCTCGAGTCGGTCATCAACTCATTCGAGCCGTAAGTCAATTTCGAGCAACATTGTAGCCGTTAAAGATGCTAATGTTCTTGTGTCACCAGATCCGCTCTCGATCCGTACTTCGACACCATTCTTACGCTCATTTTCACAAAGCTGCAAGGATCTCCCGCCGATTCTTTCAAACTCCGCTTTGTTCGCTTCTTCCACCTCGTTGGAGGAAGACTAGAAGCCGGCTACGGGACGGATTACTTTGTCAAGCATTCTGACAAGGTAGACGAGAAGGTCTTTGCTCAAGTCTATCCTCCATTCATTCTTCAGGAGACGGACAAGTTGGCAAGGCCTGTTGACCGCAAGGCCGCTGTGGTGTCTCTTACCAAGACACTGTGTGATTCTCAAGTGTTCGCCCAGAAGTTTGCCAAGGGCTGGGGCAATACTTGCAGAATTCTCCTCACTCTGTTGGCAAATCCTCCGAGCGCTGCTGCCGGAGTCGGTGATGAGATTATCACGGAAAACTCCCCTGATGATATCGGGTTTGGCTTGACGTTTACGGCTCTCAACACATGCAAGCCTGCTGCACGGGATGATTTCCCCGAGGTGCAAAACGTGACTACCTGGGTCAAGGAGTACATCGTCGGAGCCAACCAGAGGCACGGTGGTGCCGTTGAGAGTTTCATCTCTCAGCGTCTGACACCTGAGCTTCAAGAGGCTATTGCCCAGTACATCCGATGAGTTCAGTCAATCTGGAAGGCAGATATACCAAGAAAAGAGTGGTGTTAGTGTCACAAGAGGGGAATATGATGACATTTATCAAGCAGCAAAAAGAGAGAAAAGAGCGTAATTGGACTTGGGATTGGGGCTGGAGTGGTAGGCTGAGACAAGGATAGTGATTAGTGACATAAAAACAAACAAGCAGGCCAAGGAATGGGAGGCAGATATCAAGTGAAATAGATAGGTCCGTAGGTAAAAACTAGTAGGTAATACTCTACTTGCGCATGAAAAAATAAATAAAACAATATGCGAAAGTAACCAAGCATGAACACGATTGAGTAAATGTGGAACATATGACTGTTAACAAGATTGATCAAGTATCCTTATGTCTCGTAATAACCTCTTTAAGGTATTCAAAGCCAATAACACATGAAGGTGGCCCAAACAGCCACCAGCCCGTCTCTTTCCATCCATCCAATCCGTGAAAAAAAGAATCCGTGTACTTAAAAAAAACTATATGCTCGCTTCATAGTCACTTTAAATCGTTTCTCCTCCAGCGCCAGACGGCGAATCCCAAAAGAAGAAAGAAGAAGAGGAAGAAGAAGAAAAAAGAAGAATAGAATATCTAAAAGATTCAACAAACCCCCACGAAAAGAAAGTCGTTTTTTCCCCGCAACTCCTATTCGAAAAGGAGTAAAAAAAATATCGCCAAGAAAGGGGAGAGAAAGAGAGAGAAAGAAGGAGGGAAATGGTGAAAACTCCTGAGATGATAAAAGAACCAACGCCGGAGTCATGCTAAGGCTAAAATGTGGACCTCGTCATAAATGCGTCGTAGCGATGCTAAATAAAAAGTGATATATGTATAAAGTCGTTCGTTATATGTATGCGTGACATTAGTGGTGGAGGAGGGATTCTCGCTCAAGCACGTGGTCCGGCCTGCTCGTATCGAAAATCACATCCGCGGCTGCTTGGAATGTGTTGGGAGGGGAAAAGAGGCCAATTGCTGCATTAATAAAGAAAAGATGGCAGTTTGGGGGTGAAAGGCATCCCACGGCATGTTGGATGGTTAAAAGCATGGAAAGTCTCCACGGGCTTGGCTCAGAGAAATCCGCCTTCGGGACCAACAACACCAACGCTGTTGCGCCAGGGGCAGCGTCGATCTTGCTTCTGCCATTCTCGACTCCTGGGTGGAGGAACGGTATCGCGGTGGCTCACGTCGGCCCGTCGCGCGCTGAGGGGCTGCTGGGAATCCATCTCAGCGACGCTTGCTCGGCGGCTGTCTCCGCTGGTGTTGGTCTGGACTACCAGTAAGCTGCTGGTGCTCGAGAGCCTTCTGGTGAATTCAGAGAAACTCAACCTTTTGGAACTAGAGCCGGAACGGCGGTTGTCTGGGTCGGCGTTTCGCGAAACACCATCTTCGGCGCCCCTGTCGGCAGAGACTGGGTTCAAGTGAGGCGTGCTCTGGGTCCTCTGCGATGCGTTGAGGCGGCTCTTGGCGTGGGCCGTGTGTGGTCGTGAAGGGGGGGATTGAGAAGTCGGCGGTGCCGCCATCGCCGTGCCGGCATGGTAGCTCAAATGAGCCCTAGAGATGGTGGGACGCCGCGATCCAGGTTCCCTGGGTGAATCCCCATGTCGGTCTGCAATGAAAGCTAATGCTCTTTGAGCCGAGGGGGAAATGATTGGGCTTCTGTCATAGCCAAGGTCTTGCTCATCTGCAGAATGTGCGTTGTCGTCTGAATCGAAATCCTCGTCCAAGTCAAGAGGCGCAACCTCGGGATTATACGTATTGCGCACAGCCGCCCGCTCCGCCCGCTGTTTCGCTTCTCTCTGCTTACGCTTGCCCTCTACTTCGTGCATGAGAGCATCGAAGCGAGCGATGGAACTGAACGTCTCCTGGCCTGGGACGTTGGATCCGGCCCATGGAATATGGCCCAGCTGGAATGCCCTATCGAGGATCGTCTCTCCAGGGGCAGGTGGCGCGTGGACGTCGAAGCCCAGGGGCGCCTCCATTGGCGATCCCAATGCCTCGCTACCACGCGTAGGCGAGCTGAGTGTAGAGGAACGCCCCTGAGCCGCCGTCCAACCCTCAATCAGCTCTCCCTGGTAAACCGAGTCTCTGATAGCAGGCAACCCTGCGTCGCCATGCATCGGCCCGGTATAGATTTGGCCAGGAACTCCAAATGCCTTCTGGATAGGGTGCTGGCTGATGCTAGATGGCGAGGAGATGTCGCTACGCTTGGACCGCAGGCTCGGTGAATCGGAGCTGAAGGTGGCGGGCCGTTCGCGAGTCCCCGTTGAATGCGTAGCGCCGGAGCTCTTGTGCTGTAGAGGCCGCACATCTGGACGACTGCCGCTCGCTTGGTTCTGATTTCCGCTGCCTGGTCTGGTAAAGTACTCTGGAGCCTCGCGGCTTCGCGGGCTGAAAGGGCTCGAAAATACCGGCGTAGTGTTTCCATCTTGCGCCATGGGGTTCTTCTTGGCCAAGATAAACTGAGCCCAGTCATGAAGGCTGGTGTTGTGATCGTCTGGCAGCGTTCGAAACCACAGAGTACTGGTGCCGGCCTCTTTGCTCGCCATCAAACCCACAGATCGACTGGAGCGGCGCTTTCGCTCCTTGTCGGTTATGGTGACAACAAGTGTAGGCAGGATAGGCCCTTGCTTGCGGTAGGAAAGCATTTGGACTTGACAATCGAGGACGCAGCTCGCGGGCCACTGATAGGCGGGTTCCACATCGTCCTATAGAGAGACATGCGCCCGTTAGAAATCGCATATATACGGCGAGCGACAGGAACAAGTGTATCAGCGCTTACTTTGGACTTGAAGAGGGAGATGCAGTATTCGTCGGTATACACCTTGGTGAGAGGTTTTGGATCAGACGCATTTGTCCCGGTACCGTTACCAAATCGTCGGTCTTTCTGCTTGTTGGTTGCAGTCCGTCTGCCAACGAGGATATATCGGGTCTGTGGAGGAAGTAAATGAGATGGTTGTCCCGGAGAAGAGAAGAAGGGAGTTGCAAAGCATACCTTCCATTGCGCCTTGGAGAGAATGTGGTTTCGGTCCGGAGGAACAAGGAGAAGGCCGTCGAGAAGTTCCATGGCGAGCGGCTGCGAGGCTGCGAGGCTGCTCCTGAAAGACAACAGGAAGACACAGAAGGGGAAGGACGGTGGATGTTAGTCGTCCGTTCTAAATGCACATGCTGAGGAGGAAAACGAGCAAAGACGAAATCGCCTCTCTCTCGACCGAGTACATGTGCGTATGAGTACGAGGATGATGAGGTCAGGCAGCCGAGAAGTTGGACAATGGGGATTGTCTCCTATCTTGTCGTCTCCTCTTTTTTTTTTTTTACCTCGTCTGGTCGTCCGTGGGAAGGAAAAGTGTACAAGGCAAGGCTCAGCAAAGCGAAAAGGAAAACAACGAGGCCCCAGTGGGTCGAGAGATGGATATTTCTGGTATTAACGGAACGGAATGGATATCAACAAGGTGAAGAAAGAAGAAGAAACGGCGAAATGAGGGATTCGCCGGAACGGAGCCATGCCATGGGGAAGAGGAAGCAAAAGCTGCAGCTGAAATACCACCGCTAGGCCCAGCACTTAAATGAAGGGCCCGGGCTGGCTTTGTCCGGAGATGGTGGAGACGAAGCTTTAGCTGCCAAACCCGAGTTTCCAGACGACGATCCGGTCTTCAGGCGGGCGGAACAGACGCTGCGCTGCCATGCGAGGCGCACAGGGCCCTGGAACGGCCGCGCTGGAAACTCGCTGAGGCGCTGTAAATGACGGAGGGCCGCCACCGGCGCAGCGCTGAGAGGCGCAACCGAAGCCCACAGCGAAGGAACCAGGCGCGATCCATGTACCTGGCTGGAGGTTCGCGATGCAGGATACTTCCAGAATGAGTGGGCCACGGCGGAAGTCAGCGCCAGATGGGGACGCAGGGCATGTCTCGTCGTAACTGGCACAGGCGCCAAAGTACATGCAGCCCGCCGGCACTAGAAGCGCACGCCTAAGCCCCTGCTGTCCCCTAAAGGACTCCATAACGAAGCCTAACGAACAGCCGGTGGGCCACGCCGTGGACGCGACATTCCAAGGGTTCCTGATAAATTGCATCCCCACCAATTCATTGATACCGCGCATGTGTATGTACGAGTATGTACGAGTGCTGCAATCTGCTAGGCCTAGTGCCTACATGAGACCGTGGGGTGCCTAATAAGGAGGCTCTTTTTCATTGCCAATCTGCACGGGGAGGGGCATGATATCTATCCATACTTTGGTACGAGTACTACCTAGGTACCTACTAAGTAGTATCACCGTAGGTGCTATACCAAGGTATGAACCAGTGCCATCAATCTGATTCAATTACCGAGAGTGCAGTACCTGAGCCAGTGCTGTATGATACCGGCCGGCAATTGATCCATCCACCTCAATATTAAGTTACCACCGCTTCTCGCGCTGGAATGGGCGGGATGGAGCATGGAAGTTTTTCAATTGCACTAACCAACCAGTGCCTCGGAAGAGGTCGAATTCCAATTGGAGATGTTCTTTCGCCACCCATCTAATACCTGTACAAGTATTAGTACCTTGTAGCACCGTACCCGTAAACCTGGTAAGGTAGGTCCCTCCAAGTCCCTCTCACAGATACTACGGGCGACAGGTACTCCACGATACTTTGGATACTAAGTACAGGTAACAACGCCTAATGGAGTACGGATGCGCCTTCATTTTCAAAAGGTTCCGTTTGTCCTTCTGGGAAAGAGCTGTGGTCTTAGACAGGTACCTAGAGTACTCGCACATACAGTTTTTTTTTTGGCAAGTTGCGTCAGAGTAGCGGAGCGTCCTGTGCTCCCTTTCCCCACCAAAAAGTCTCCAGCGGTAATCACATGTACTCCATAATCCATCAGCTTCGAAAAAGTTTCTCCGTACCATCGACGCCTAGACTCCCGCAAACGGACTTGAGCATTTTGCTCCGAGAGTCAGACATGCTGCGAGGCTTGACAAATGCACTGCCTGGGACTGCGTGAGATGGGCATCCATTGCCATATCCACTTTGGTCATTAGCGGTAAGTTGCCCTCGGACGGTGCTGCAGCTGCGCAGGTCGATGGAAGAAATAGGAGCAGGCGGCCATGTTCCTCGAGTCTACCACCTACTACGAGTATACTAGCACTGACTGTACCGTCCGATGCAGGGCTGCATGCGCGCGTACGAGTACCTACTGTACGAGTAGTAGTCATACAAGTACGCTTATTAGCTGCCTCGACATCCGGGAACAAAGTACCTACGAGTATGCGATGCGCTGCAGTCGATTCTGCTGCCAAGGACCGGGGCTGCCAACAAGTGCCAGGCCCATGAGCACGCACCTGTATCATGTCGGGGTGGCGACGGGAGCGCGGAGTGGCTCCTTAATTCTCTTCTAGCGAAAGTCTATGGAATAGCGCCTCGACGCTTGGCCGTCAAAACGGGCCAGCCTCGACCAGGGGAGGCCCAGGAACAGAACAGCACAACCTCGCTGAAAAGCCACGGCTTACTTGTGTGGTATCATCACGGCAACACAACACACCAAAACGAGCCACACCATCGCAGACCTCTCCCTCGAATTCGCCTGGCGCCCAAGGGAAAGCTACTCGTCATGTGCAGCTGGCTGCGAGTGCTTGGATACCCGAGTACTACTACTCGTACAGTCGTCTGAGCCCTGATCGCCGTGACTATGGCTGCGTCCGTCATTAGCCGTCTTGACCATCACATTTACTAGTGGTTCGGGTACACCCAGAATGGAGTAGGCCGTCGCCGCCGTCTGTTAGTTTACCCAGTCCAGATTGCAATAATCAGCTCTCTGCCAGTGTTGTCATATTGCCCTGCCCTGTACCAAGTACGAGGAAGAAGAAAATTATACATGATATCATATTGGCATGCTCGCACAGCCACGATGTGGCCCGTCGCATATTGATGCACTCATGGAGCATGATCGTACTACGAGTGCTCAGTGGTACAGGACACTATTCTATCATGCACGAATACTTCTTCAACCAGGCCCTCCACCAGTACGTACAGTATAAGAAGAAATCATCGAGGCTAACCTGATGCATGCAGGAGCGGCTATTGTGAGATGGCGATTATGGATCCCGTCTCTCCACTGCCTCTCCGTGCTGGCACTGCATGTATTGTATGTGGTTTGGGATACTGACCGAACGAGTACCTGCTTGCACACGCACGCACACTCGCATACAGATTGATGCTACTATGGGCATTGCACTACGCCATGAAAAGAGGCATCTATGCCGCATACCAAGCAAGGCAGAAGTGGCACACTACTTTGAGGAACAGAGGCAGAGCCAAAGTACCCCGGCTAGTCATCCGCCGAAAAGGTTCAGTCGCAGGAAACATGGGAAAACTTGTGATACAGGGAACAATCCCGGTACAGCCTCTCCAGCACCAAGGAATTTCATGTTATTCTTCTTGTCCCCCCTCTCCTCTCCCGAAAAAAACCCCCCCAGTCACATGAGGAATATGTGCCACAATTACCGATGTTTCGGATCCCCCCTAAGGCAAGGGAACACAGACGACAGAAAGAAGAAAAGAAGAAGAAGAGAAAAAGGAAAAAACTCGGGGAAGCCGGGGTGTTGGTGCTACACTCCTGGTGCGAGTCCCGTACCGTACCTGCATGTCAGGCACAGATCTGCTCATTGGCCAAAATCGACCGTTCAACTAATGCACGACTGCATCTCTCAACGGTGGCGACTCATGGCATCCTGTTTCTCCTTTTCCGGGTGCAGCTTCTTGGACGGAATACTACGTAGTCGGCGGCAAGCATCAGACGATATGACGGTCAAGGCGTGTGCCCCCCCATCCCAATACGGAGCCGTGCCACTTACAAACACCGTCCGTCTGGATGGAGCATTCGGGGCGCCGGCGGTAAACACTCGCAGTCAGAGAGCTCGATGCGCCCGCCTCTTAGCCGCTTGCCCCGAGTTCCTCCTGTCGTCGAAGCTAAGTCTCGGTGGAATGCCCAAGGTGACATCGGTATCGAATTCATCTGCTCGGTGCAGCCAATGAAGCTTCATCGTTGGAGAGGACTGTGATCGCTAGCCTCCATCTTGATCTACGATCAGTTTGAAACTCTAGCTTATTGGCCGGGTGCAGATACATAGATGGCCAGTGCTCTTGGAATCCTCGGGCCAACGTCCAACTTTGGGCGACGTCTGATGTTACCCTACCTTGTGTACCGCCACCGTCTTGTTAGTATTACTGGGGTGCCCCAGAGCTGCGCAATAGGTTGTATCTTAGACGACGAACGGGCACCGATGTACACCCCATCCAACGTTGAATGCGAAACCCGTCAGCACCGGTCGTCTTTTCATCGGTCCCGTAACGAGATGAAGAACTGTGCCTCCTTGCATACATCACAGCTTCCCTTTTGCTGGTATGCGATAGAGCAGCCTTGGAAACACTTATCCAGAGGTCTATGTTGTGCCTTTTTATGTGCGGAATTACGATATCGCCGAGGCAGCCCCCTTTATCCCGACCTGCAGAGAGGAGAGAAACATGATACGAGTACAATTGATTACTGCTCTCATCACCAAATACGCTACTGGTGCAACAAGATCCGCAATTGCACATTTGCTGTCCTAGAGGACTGTGAGACGGTTAAAAGAGCCTCAGCAGTAATGCAGAGCACCCGTAATTACTACGTCTACGGAGTAGTATACTACTTGATTGGCGTCTTTGGACTCCGCCTCTTGAACTCTGCATCTCCTTGGCCGGCAAAGCCCTGTTTACACGATACTACTAATTCTCTAGAAAGAAAGGCCCTTGGTATATGGTGCCATCTTGCGTTACTTTGACTTACAAAGGCATATCCATTGTGTAACCCATCGTCGGGTTTCCAATGCCAAATAGGTTCATGAAATAATGTGACAGGTAGGACAGCCTGACATCGGCTGGGAATGGAGTTGCTTGTGAAATCCCCCCCTTCGTTTCCTGGTTGTATTGTACCGCCAAAGCGGACCAGAGACAGCCTCACCAAGCATATCTGTGCTTGTGTTGCTGCTTGCTCCCGGGTTCGCCGAGCCGGTCTGTGTCTATCTCCGAGAAGAAACGCCCAAGGAGAGGATCTGCGCTGCAGTAGATCCAGCACAATTCTGCTGCCATGTGAATCAACTCGGTGGATGACTGCTCCTCCTGAGTGCAGTGTGTAAGACAGCATGGAAGACATGTATGTCAGCAATACGGACGTTTCCATACAGTCAAGGCGTTGCATCCGCCCCCGGCATATCAGGAAGAAGATGCAGCAGTGTACCCTGAAAACGATGCTCTGGATAAGCGGGAAAATCTTCCGGGTGCTGATTCAAGGATGAAGTGGCCTGACTGCTTTCAATTGCCCTATTGTCGATTCTTATAACTTGCGCAGGCGATCATGACACATGCTACGTGCAAGTCCGAGTGCAAGTATAAGCCGGGCCGGAGAGGAGACAATGGGTCCAAATGCATACAGGTACATACTCATACCTTAGTACTTGCACTGCTACAGGACTGGCTGTTCATTTCGTCTTCAGGGACAAAGGGGGATGTACACACCGATAGATCGGCCTAGTCGGATGTTACTTGGCCCATTCGTGTAAGCATCTACTCTGTACGGACGAGTTGTAATAGCCGGGCCAGATACCGGTGCTTCTCTACTCTGCTTATTGCGCAGCTAACTTGCTGCTCTAGTCCTTCTTAGCCATATTGGGCATCCAAGATGCTCGGCACTCGCATGGCCACGTACTCTCGTACGGCCTCACGGCCCACCGCTAAGCTCTTTTATGTTGAATGTACGAGTAATTATCTCGTTACGATTATTTGGGACAGACGATGCAGAGCTGCCAGTGCTAGTGGTATAATCAACAAACTCACTCCTGTGCCCCTCGCGAATGCCCCAGATTGTGTGGGGATATTCTGCGATTCCGTTGCATTATAGGATCCTTGTCCAATTTCGTTAAGTCGGCTAGGTCCTGACGAAAGCCGCCAAAAGCAAAGCGAAAAAGGCGCAGCTAACAGAGCATCGGCAAGCCTTGACGCTTTCCGCGTCCCGATATCAAAGCTCTGTACTTGGCCGTCGCTCTGCAAATCACATCCTAGGTCTCAGGAATCAGCGGCCAACACATGCCTGGGCTTGTTGGAGAAGAAAGGGGGTAAGATGCCGGGAAGGCTGCGAGAGCCCAGGCACCTCGTTCCCTGCGGCTTCTTACGCGGCAACACGCCAGGGCAGGGTAAACAAAAAAAAAAAAAAAGAACCTCCTCAAAAAGAATTTGGCAAGAGCATGGACTTTTTGCCCTGGATATTGCAGTTGCTGGTGCTTTTAATAGTACCACCTTACCTCTTGCTGCTGTCAGTACCACCATCCAACGGGTCTGTGGAAACGAAGACCCCGAGAGGTACCGAATGTTGGTTATCGGCAGTCTATCGACGACAGGGTATTGGCGTCAAATCAAGAACAGTCATGGACCCTGGATTGGTGCACTCCAAGAGCCAGAGATCAAGGACGAAATCATCACGGGCACATACTGTACACGATGCGGGTACGTTGCAGCATCCTCATCTTACCAATCGAAATCTCAGTCTACCAATTATAGCAGCCCATGGCGTATTGCTGCTAGCACTCTGTAAGTGCTTCCTTCAATCATCTGCCTCATTCTCATGCGGAGCACGAGCACGGAGGATTCCTGTCACCTACCAGCCTCATCCCAGCAGACTGCATTAGTCCTCAATCTATCTGCTACACCCCCAGATCTGAAGCTAAAAGATGAACGTCTGCTAAACACTAGCACGAGAAAGAAAAAGAAAAGAAAAAAAGCAATACCAACTGAGTCGGCGAGAAATGACTAACCTGCATCATACTGTACATGCGGGCATGCATGGCAAACCGTCCAGGGCATCATCCCCCCGTCTGATGCTAATCCCAACTGAATACCGAACATGTCACGACTCTGCCCGGCTGGCGATTGCTGCTCACGCGACACCGCGCCATTTCGTGCTTGTGCCCTTTCCTTTTTTTCTTAACCCTCTCGTGTCTCTGCTAGCACCTGTAGTTGCATGTGTTTTGATTATATTTCATCCCGCGAAGGGGGACGCCAACCTGTTTCCTTTGAGATACTACTCGTACTTGTTTTGCCTTTGCGCCTAGAGGCCGCATACGAGGAATTCGGTTTTGCCCCCTTTGTTATTTATCCGGAAACAACGGGAAGGAAAAAGGCGGCTTGATGACAAGACACTACATTTGAGCCATGACACGCATCATGTCATGACCGACATCCAAAGAAACAACGCTCCGCTGATTTCAGGCCCCATGCAAACCTACCTTACCGTACACTAAACTCGGAGTAGCTGGCCACCTGTAACATGCACGAGCAAATAGAGTGATGACAATGTGAAACACGGTATGAATGAACCCTGCTGCCGTTGGATCAATATACAGCAGACATAATGGCTGTGCTCTCTCTTTCTCTCTCTCTCTCTCTCTCTCTCTCTCTCTCTCTCTCTCTCTCTCTCTCTCTCTCTCTCTCCACAGAATACTTTGTCACTATCGTATATGCCACCCATCAAACACGAAGCGCTGTCACTTATGATAATGGCAGCACGTGGCGCCAACCAAAGTTGTAGAAGTTGTTTATTGAACGATGCCCATGTAAACAAAACACACTTCTACACACAGTTGTAAACCGCCCACGGCATCAAAAGAAAGAAACCCTTATAACATCGACCGCTACCTCTTTGAACGCCTCCCATTAGACAGTTCACAAGGTTAATAGGAGAAAGGGGAGAGGGAAAAACTGAAAAAAAAAAAAGTAAAAAAAAGTACACATAAAAGAACAACAGCAAAGAGCCCGAAAGCGACGCTCGAAGGCTAAACCATGATCCCACTTGATGCTGAAGCGTAACACTTTCGCGGTAGCAATGCACTCCTCTCCGTTTTCTTCCACAACTCATTTTGATTCGGCACAAGTCTCACCCAGAGCCTGCCATGCTTCGCTCTGGACGTCATATCAAGGTTTGAGAGGCGCCATCCGGTCCCGGGCCAGTTGGATCTGAGACTAAGACTGCAGATGGTCGTTGCTGCTCAGCTTCTCGGCACGGGAGGATACAGCAGTGGCAAAGGCCGCCCATTCATCATCAACGCCATAAACTCCAGAGACCCAGGCGGCGGGAGAGGTCCGGACCGACACTTGAGCACCGGGGTCGGTATCCCGGCCTACGACTCGTCACCCATGCTCCTCCATCCGTTAGATCCTCGATGGTGCTTTGCTCGAAGCTCGACACTTCGTGCCTTGTTGGTCCAGCTACAACTCCGCCGTTAGCAACACCGCAACTCTTAAGCGTGGGCGACTGGTGCTTACATTTTGATGCGGCCATCATCTCCACACGACGCCAGCATGCATGGATCCGCAGGGTTCCAGACTACTGCGTTGCATCGCGGTTGATGGCCGGGCAACCGTTCAACGGCGGCTCCTATGTTCTTGTGCCAGATGAGGATGTTGCCATCTTCGCTCCCACTCATGACGAAGCTCTCATTGGCACCGCCGAACGCACTGCGGATCAAGAATTCACCACCCGTGTGACCGAGAAACTTGTGGATCGAATTCCTCGAGGCAAGGTCAATCAGCTGAGCCTCGCCGTCCTGCTTGTTTACCAGCAGGTGCTTCGAATCTTGGCTGATACTGACCGAGGTTGGCCTCGCTTTTAGCTCCAAGTCGTATTCAAGTTCTCTCGTGGTGGCGTCGTAGACGTGAATGTTTTGTAAATCATCCACCGCCACCAGCAGACGCTCATCGGGGGAACCGCAGAGGTCCTGCACCCGATGCTTTTTGTTCCATTCAATAATCTCGTCGTCATACACGTTAAAGGTGCACAGGCCATGAGCCTTATCTAGGCTTCCCAAAACAAACGATCTACTGTTCGACGCCCATACACAGCCGCTCACCGGCTCGGCAAATTTTCTAAGTGTCTTGATCAAGGTTCCAGTCTAGAGATATCAGATGTCAGTAACTTTCAATTGATGTGAATTCCAACATGGGCTCGCAGTTGGGTTGTTGGGTGGTTTCTTACAGATGTATCCCACAGACGAGCGTACTTATCAAAAGAGCAAGTTATAATCATAGAGTCGTCGGGACTCCAGGCAATGTCTCCAACACCTTCGTTCCCGTGATTTGGGAGAACATGAGTTACGGCGAAGGTTTGCGTATCCCATATTTTGACATGTTCTCGACTCCCACAGGCCGCCAGGCGCGTACCGTCATGGGAAAATCGGACAGACCAGACCTCTCCCCCAAGATCGCCTAGCTCCAGGGCAAATTCAGAGGGAAAATTTCGTCGGTCACAAAGGTGATCCGAATACAGGGAAGGCGACGATGCCGCCGTGTGGTAGAGACACGTGTTAATCTGGCTCTGCTTGACATGATCAAGGAGTACTGCTAGACGGTTCTCCGGCAGCATTACGGATGGTGAAATGCGTTCTATAAGTAAACGGGTTAGCAAAACGAGTCGATATTGCTAGCAGCGAGCGTTTGGGGATGGCTTAACTGGATAATTCAGACAGCAGCTTTCTACGAGATTGTCCACGTGCCCCATCCCAGTTGGCCTTTTGCATTAAATCTTCCGTGGACTGGCACATGAGCAAGCTTGATAGGAAATGAAGTTTGTTCGTATCGTGATAGAGGGGCGTCAACTCTCCCCGCAGCGTCGTCAAAGCTCGAGTGGTGTCCTTTTGTTCCAGTAGCTCTAGAAACTTTTGCTGCCTAAGCCAGAATCGCATGACGTCCTTGTCAGAGCCAGAAGTGAGAACGAGACCGTTGCCACCTTGGCTTGCCTCATCTGCCACTGTTGCGCCCCTCAGTAGCTCCTCGGCCTCTGCCCACGAACCGGCAAGCACAGCCGATCGGAATGCTGCTACCGTGGGGCTCTCCAAGCTGTAGCCGCTCTGCTGGCTAATGTTATCAGCTGCCGCCTGATAGCCCATATCCGTCAAAGCCTGGATCAATATTCGCGTGACTTCCTCTCGGTTATGGCCGAAATATGTCGTAGGTTGTGATGATGAGCGCCTCTCCCCATTTGACGATCCGTTGGTCACGACACCTGACTTGCGGCTGCCGTTGGTTGCCATGGAAGACGCCGCATCCCGCTGCGATGTGGGTGTAGTAAAGGAGCCGTTTGACTGAGCGATGCCGGACCCATTCGGTGATCCGGCCACATCCCCGTCGGACAGCATGTTTGTGCCTGCGCCGCCGCGCCGCCTTCGCTTCAGCGGCCTCCCAGCAGTTGCGTCCGCAGCGGCAGACCTAGCGTCTGCAGCAGGAAGGGTATTATGAGGCTCGTCCTCTGGCTGGTGGTCTGAGGACAGTCGTCTTCGTCGGCCTAGAACCTGAGAGGGAGACTGGAGCAAAGTCGAGGGAGCTCGGCCTGGCGTTGAAGACGCTATATTCGTAGCAGTGGCCGGTGCTCTGGCAGGGCTGTCGATGGGGCCGGGGGCAGAGAGAGTGCTGATATTGAGTGCCGAGGACGACGTATCAGAGGAGCTCCGAGAGGCTTGCGGAGAGCTTGGGCCGTCGGAGACGTCAACCGAGAGGGCACGAGGGTTCAAGAGTTGGTCCACGTCGACCTCTGGGCGGCAGACGGCCGCGGAACGTCGGGGAGGAGCTTGGTGGCAGGCGGGCTGGGGGCCAGAGGGCGAAGGCAAGCTTCAATCCTGAAGCGAAGCAAATCGGGATCTGGGCTTGGAAGCTTCGGGGTGTGAGAGACTGGCTGGCAAGTGACGGGATTCGGGCGGGACTCGCACATACATACAGCGTGGGCTCGCCGAGATGAAGACGATGCAAGCAGATGCAAGGCGGAGATGCTCATGTGAATGCGAGGCGGCAGCTGGAGCGCCGAGCAGACGGAACGAGTCGTCGTGGGAGCGTGCGGGATGAGGAAAATGTCGTCAGAGGGGTTGACGTCCAGATGGGCAGTTGTTGCATGGAGGATTAAGGTTCCAATCCGATGAGGATGGCGCCTGTCCACTGCTGTTATGGGATTGATTGATCCGGCTCAGTGGGCAAGTGACGCCTTTTAGTGGCTGAAGCGGGCGGCTGCCGGGAACGCCGTATGGATTTCAATCAGATTTCAGCGGTAGCTACAGCGAGCTACAGCGCGTTGCTGCTGCTGTAGGTACATATGGTAATGCACGCAATCTTTTGGATTACATGCCCAGTATTGGATGTTAATCCACATTTTGATGGAAGATTTGATGCTACTTGCGTGCGAGGTGGCAGCCGGAGGCGTAATGCGGTATCTCCCTATTAGCGGCCCGTGGCGACAAGCTACAGCGCGCTACCAAAGCGTCTGGTCTTTACGGGGTTGACGGCAAAACTCTCTCTCTCTCTCTCTCTGACAGCTCCAGTGTTTGCCTGTGCTCGGTGGCGGTGTCATCAACCTCATTAAGAGCATCATGGATATTGCATAGTTGCGTTGGATGTGCCGAATCGATTCTACATTGAGGCGTTGATTGATGAAAGCCGCTGTCACGGGCAACATCAAAGCGTACATGCACTGTGCTGTAAACTTGTAGCATCACACAGCGGCTAGCCTTGGTAGTGTGAAGCAGGGAGGGAGTGGAGAGATTGGATTCCATATGATACAAGCAGACGCCGGCTGCAACTGCAAATGCCCGTGTTACTGAGTGGATGCTTTCAGAAACGCCGGTATGTACATGTACTTTATTGAGCTTCAATAACAGTGCCGTCTACTACACACCTGACTTCCAATTACTACTATATACCTGTAAATGCCTGCACTCTCGAGTGGGAGAGCTCTCAAGTGTGTACTCTATGCAGCAGCATATCAAATATCTACTCCATATTGAAGGCAGTGCTGCTCGTACTACATGTATGGCACCAGGAGGCCCACGCTTGCATGTGCTTCAGGTGGCCATTGGCTCCTCTTCAGGGTCCTGTTAGGCGCCGGCATCTCCCACCAAGTTGCCGCCGGCGTGCTTCATGGCTACCGCTGGTTGGGCTGCAAGCATCCAAGCTGCATATTCGGTGCTTGTTGAGTGGCTCCAGATCCAGTTTCCCCTGCTTGAGACCCCGATGCATGTGCCATGCACACGAAACGATGCCGGCTGCAAGGGAGGGCTGATGAAGAGCATGGAAGTGTATGGCGTGTATACACAAGTACAACTTCGTCTCATGGCAGCTTTCTTTCCAACTTGATCCTGCGTACTGCAACTATCAAACTAAAGCGTCAAGCAAAGACTTGAGCAACAAGACATCACCTCGGCATGGCATATCTACCTACCTACTACCTAATACCTTGATAGGTAGCGTACAGTCTAGGACTGACAGCAACTATTCACACTAATTCAGGAAATCGTAAACAACCCCACACAAGACACCCAAGTGCTCATTAGGTACCAACGCATGATTCAGTCCTTCAACGGAAACGAAGTGTGCCCATCACTTGATATCAGGTATCTACTCACATGTTAGGTTAGTACCTAGTATTGATACCACTTGGTGCCTGCTAAGTAGCCCAGAGATGTCTACTATACTAGCTGGAGGTAGTATTCATACGATCATTCCCAGCCCTTTGACATGGAATACCTTAGGTATAGAGTAGCTATGGACTGCCAAGGCTGCTGCTCAACGTGATGAGTCGAAACGACGTAATCGCCCACCTCGATTTAATATATCCTAAGCCAGATACAGAGCCGTTCATGTTGTCAGCCAGCCTTGTGGGTATTCGGGCGCGGTGAAATGGTACCTGACCATGTGTCGTGCAAATGAAGCCACTTACATCGATTGGCTGGTGCTGGCTGGTGCCCAAACGGGCTGTGAGTGACATGTGAGTGTGAGTGTGACTGGGAGTGAGAGTTGCAACAGCCCTCTTTTCCGTCATCTTCCTTTCTTTTCTCTTCTTTTTCTGGCTACACGCTCGCACACTCCGTACTGTGATTTAGTTTTGACTTGCATAGGTTGGTTGTTCTGCTGCTAGACCCAGGATATCATGGCGTCAATCACAGATTTCAATGTGGCGCCTCGCTGTTTGTCCACATCATCGAGTGACGTTAGCCCCTGCTAGGCTGCTAGCTTTTTCATCTTACAGCGCGTGTATGTTCCCTCCATGTGCTACATGCCGCTCCCAACACCACCAATCAGCCTCACGCTACTGCAAGTACCGGTGCAGTGCTCGCTATCAGCTGCTGCATCGCCACATGTGGCTGGAGCCAGCAGCCAGGCCAGGCCAGGCCAGGGCACCGCACCCGAACCCGAACCCGCCTAAGCCTTTCCCTTGTCGGGCTCTGCATCTTGCGAGTCCCTCCTAATCCATCCAAACCCATAAACTCGCATCTTGTCCAACCCTCTGCCTGGTAGCGGCTCTCCGCCCTTTTTCTGCGATTTCAGGATAGCTGCAAGCGCCTTTTGGGAGAGCCAAGTCCTGTGCAAGCCAAGTCGAGCGCCAGATTCCGCATTCTCTGCTCTTCACCGTCTCGCCTCTCGCCCCGGCTTATCCAACAAAGACACCCCGCCACTTCGTTCGCGATAGCCTCCCCCCTTACGCCTTACACCTTACACCTCACACCTCGCAACCACGCCCGACGTCTCGACGATCAACGCATAACAAGACCAAGACACACGCTCGACCATGAGCACACCCAACTCTTCGCTTGCCCAGCCGGGCGGCATCACCGATCCCGCCCTGATCCAGTGAGCCTCTTCTGCTGCTGCTTCTGCCCCTGCGTTGCTGGTGCTCGTGCTCCCGCCTTCTGCTGGCCTCGCGCGCCCCTCTCGCCCATGTCCGTCCATGTTGCTGACTCCCTCTTCTCGCTTCTAGGCTCGTCAACAAGCTTCAGGATGTCTTCGCAACTGTCGGAGTCAACAACCCCATTGATCTTCCTCAGATCGCCGTCGTCGGCAGTCAGTCTAGCGGCAAGAGTTCGGTGCTAGAGAACATTGTCGGCCGTGATTTGTGAGTCCTGCCACCTGGAAACCCCCTATCTTGACCCTCTCCCAACAAACAACGGCGCCATGCTAATCCTTTGTCGGTAGCCTGCCCCGAGGTAATGGCATCGTCACGCGCCGTCCCCTCGTCCTCCAGCTCATCAACCGCCCCGCCCAGTCCAACGGCGTCAGCCACGAGGACCTCGAAGCCGGCGCCGACAAGGCCGCCAACCCGGACGAATGGGGCGAGTTCCTCCACTTGCCCGGCCAAAAGTTCTACGACTTTGGAAAGATCAGGGATGAAATCTCTAGAGAAACCGAAGCCAAGGTTGGACGAAATGCCGGCATCTCCCCAGCTCCCATCAACTTGCGCATTTACTCGCCAAATGTCCTCACCCTGACGCTGGTTGACTTGCCCGGCCTGACCAAGGTCCCCGTTGGCGATCAGCCCCGCGATATTGAGCGCCAGATTCGAGACATGGTTCTCAAATACATCTCCAAGTCAAACGCCATTGTCCTGGCCGTCACGGCTGCCAACATTGATTTGGCAAACTCGGATGGTCTGAAGCTGGCGCGAGAAGTCGACCCCGAGGGCCAGCGCACCATTGGTGTTCTCACCAAGGTCGACTTGATGGAAGAGGGAACCGACGTCATCGACATTCTTTCCAACCGCATCATCCCGCTGCGCTTGGGCTACGTCCCTGTTGTCAACCGAGGACAGCGAGACATTGATAACAAAAAGGCCATTGGCGCCGCTTTGGAGGCGGAAAAGAACTATTTCGAGAACCACATGGCGTACCGCAACAAGAGCTCTTACTGCGGTACCCCCTACCTTGCCCGCAAGCTGAATCTCATCCTCATGATGCACATCAAGCAGACGCTGCCCGACATCAAGGCGCGCATCTCGAGCTCTCTGCAAAAATACAGCTCCGAGCTGGAGAGCCTTGGCCCATCTATGCTCGGCAACAGCTCCAACATTGTCCTCAACGTCATCACCGAGTTTACCAACGAATGGCGTACCGTTCTGGACGGTAACAACACTGAGCTCTCCAGCACCGAGCTGTCTGGTGGTGCCCGTATCAGCTTCGTTTTCCACGAGCTGTATTCCAACGGAGTCAAGTCGCTCGATCCCTTTGACGTCGTCAAGGACCTTGACATCCGAACCTACCTGTACAACTCGTCGGGTCCCTCTCCCGCCCTGTTTGTTGGCACCACCGCTTTCGAGCTGATCGTCAAGCAGCAGATCAAGCGAATGGAGGACCCAAGTCTGAAGTGTGTGTCTTTGGTGTACGATGAGCTGGTGCGAATCCTCTCGCAGCTGCTCTCCAAGCAGTTGTACCGCCGATATCCCGCCCTCAAGGAGAAGATGCACAGCACCGTTGTTTCCTTCTTCAAGAAGGCCATGGAACCAACCAACAAGCTCGTCCGAGACCTCGTTAGCATGGAGGCGTGCTACATCAACACCGCTCACCCTGACTTCCTCAACGGACACCGCGTATGTACACCAGGGTTTTCCCTGTCCCCCCTTGCCTTTTCCCCTTTTGCATCTCCCGTGCTAACATGGCGTGCGCGCATCTAGGCAATGGCCATTGTCAACGAGCGTCATAACCCCTCAAAGCCTGTGCAGGTCGATCCCAAGACTGGCAAGGCACTGCCAGCTTCCACACCCGCCCGAGCCGGCAGCCCGACCGTCCCAGAGGCCGATGGAAGCTCAAATGGTGGATTCTTTGGAAGCTTCTTCGCGGCGAAGAACAAGAAGAAGGCCGCCGCCATGGAGCCTCCGCCACCCAGCCTCAAGGCTTCCGGCACATTGTCAGAACGTGAAGTCATCGAGGTCGAAGTCATCAGTAAGTTGGGCCCATGCAAAGCCAAGGAATTGCCAACACTAACTTGTACATAGAATTGCTCATCTCGTCTTACTACAACATCGTGAAGCGAACCATGACCGACATGGTCCCCAAGGCCATCATGTTCAACCTTGTTCAGTATGTGACCCCTACTACGGAGATATGAAACCAAAGAAGAGAGATTAACCGGTTTTTTCTAGGCTCACAAAGGATGGCATGCAGCGTGAACTGCTGGAGAACATGTACAAGACCGATAGCATTGACGACTTGCTGAGAGAAAGCGACTTCACCATCCGCAGGCGGAAGGAGTGTCAGCAGATGGTCGAGTCTCTCGGCAAGGCCAGCGAGATTGTCAGCCAAGTGCAGTAGACGAAAGAGGCCAGACACGCATTTCTAGATTGACATGTTAGAACGATTGGGCGACTTATGGCTTATGAGATGCATGACGCACGATGAACTCACTCCCCCTTTTCCCCAAAATCCCTTTATATTTTCTTCTTTTTCGATACCATCGGCTGTTCCGGAGGCTAGAGTAAATGAGTAATGAGTCCGCCCAGAAGAGAACGAGAGCTGGGGTGTCGGCAACGTTGGAGGGGGGGGGAATATCAGGGTTTTCAAACTCGTCGGATAGCGGAGTATTTTTTTATGGAAGAGGCAGGGCTGCTCTTTTTTTTAGGGAGTCTAGGTTTTGGACTCTTTGGGGGGCGAAGGGAGGCCCTGCTTCTGCTAGGTATGTTGGGGGGAAGGATTCTCTTTTTTTAGGCTTATAGCATGACAAATTAGAATAACCATTTTTTTCTTTTTTTTTCTCATTTTGATGTGAAAAATCATAAAGTCCAATTTATATTCAGTTGGTTCGCAAACTCCTCCGCTTTGTGCTGCTTTGATGATGACTATAAGAAGGAAAGAAAGAGAAAGGAAAAAAAAAGAAACATTACTCCTACGCTGTTATGTTGCGTGTACGTGGTATCAAAGTCCTGTTGTCACAGTTTGGAATCGCCTCCTCTTTCTTTCAAGACCATTGCCCCATTCTCCAGCTCGTACTGGCCTCCATTCTCCCACCCAACCCACACCTTTAACATGCTCTCCCCTCCATGGCCGGCGACCAAAGGCTCTCCCTCGTAGCCTCCTCCTTCTCTGTCAGCGGGCGAATAGCATGGCGTGTCCCGCAGCGTCACCGCCGGCCGCTGATCGCCTTCCCTGCCAGGCTGCGACTCCAGCTCTTTATAGTGCATCACGGGGACGCAGCACGCATCCGTTCCATCGAAAACGGCTTCCCACTCGGTGCGAGTCTTGCTCTTAAACGTCTCGGCGAAGAGCGCGCGTAGACGAGGCCAGGAGGAAGAATCGTGACGCCTGGATTCCCAGCCCTGGCCGTGCAAGCCGAGACCCTTGAGAAGGGCTTGAAAGAATTGAGGCTCGAGAGCGCCGACGGACATGTATTCGCCGTCGGAGGTCTCGTATGTGTCGTACCAGGGACAGCCTCCGTCGAGAATGTTGTTGCCTCGCGGGTTGTTGCCCAAGGGCGTTTTGAGGGACATGCGGGGGAACGACGCGAGATAGGAGCTGCCATCTACCATGTTTGCTTCGACGACCTGGCCCTTTCCGGACGAGTGCCGTGATATGATGGCAAGGAGCACGCCCTGAGCGAGCATGGCGCCTCCGCCTGCAAAGTCGGCCAGGATGTTCCAGGGGGGGAACGGCTTCTCGCCCTGCCTCCCGAGAAGGGCGAGGACCCCAGATGCGGCCAGATAGTTGATGTCGTGGCCAGCCATGTCGGCGTACCTGCCGTCGCGGCGGAACCCCGTCATGCGGCCGTAAATGAGACGCGGGTTGATGGCGAGCAGCTCATCCGGGCCGAGGCCAAGCTTCTCCAACACGCCGGGCCGGAACGGGTCAATGAGAACGTCAATGTGCTTTGCGAGGCGCTTGATGAGGCCCACGCCGCGAGAGTTCTTCAAGTCGACGATGATGGATGATTTATGGCGGGCAAGCATATCGGGGGTTGGCACAGCGCCTTCGGAGTTGGATGGAGGCCTGTCGACGCGGAGAACTGAAGCTCCGGCATCGGCAAGCATGAGGCCTGCAAAGGGGCCTGGTGAAGGTTATTAAGATGATTATGAAGTTCAAGATGGTGCACGGAAAGCAGGCAATTATCAAGATGAGAGCGCGATGAGCGAGGCTCTTGTAACTGACGAATTGTGTGACGAAGCAAAACGGTGGTGACAAGATGAAAAGGCGTGCTTACCAGGAGCAAGACCGGCAAACTCCAAGACTTTGGTTCCTTTCAAAGGCGGGGCTGAAGCCGCTGCCGCCATGATTGCAGTATCGATGGCAGCGCCTCTGTGAATATGGGAGATTGGTGTTGGGTCTGGTATCCTTGTGAATCTTGTCAGAAATTAATTAGGTGGGTGAGATGAGCTGAAACCAATGCGGCGGGCCGAGGTTTAGTGTGTGGGGTAATAGCCGATTGGCCGTGGCCGTGATGTTCCGTATAAAGTAGGCGACAATGTTGTTATATAGTTGTATTAGAAGGGTTTGTGATATTATTCATAGTTATTTCAAAGAATGAGGTGAGAAAGAAGGGAAATTGGATCGTTGTAACATCTTCATAAATGCGTCGAATAGAAAGGGTTAGGGTGGCGGCTTTGCAACAACGACAACAAGTCGTCGCGAGTCGGCGGGCGTTATCCTGTCAACCAGAGAGTTGGTAGCCTCTCGCCTGGGAACTGTTCCATCTCGCCCTCAGCGCTTGAATTTCTTCATCCAGTTTGATCCCCGTGGTGGATGATATCTGGCGGAAGCATGATATGAGCGACTCTTGCTGCGATGGATGCGTCATGTCTCTCGCAATCCACAGAAGCCCTGCGATGAGAATAGGATCCCACTGCTCCGCAAAATCATTGCGCGTTGCGGTCCCGGCGATTTGTTGAGCATGCCAGCTCAGCGAAGACAGATGACGCTGGCGGCTAGATAGTCGCAGAAGCCGGGGTTTGCGTAGGAGAAGAAGGCGTGATGATATGTGATAGACAATATTACACTGGAGCGCGATTGAGCTAGTGTAGACGGGTATCGGGAATGAGGAATCGTTGTCGGCGTCAATTTGGCCAGCTTCGACGCTGCGTATTTCCAGGATGGGCTGCATTTCGACCGGGCGGCTGTGGTACCACTGCTGGCAATTTGACCATAAAGAGGACCATTTCGATGAGAAGTAAGAGCCTGCAGTGGGGGGCATGGGTTCTTGAGTTGCCGACATGTAGAAAGGCGGCGAGGTAGAGGCAATATTGCTACTGTTGTTGCCATTGAGTAGTTGGAGACAGCTGGCGAGTTGAATCAGACAGGCATTGTAGATGGACTTTGTCGATAATGCAAGAGTACGGTCCGCTGGATCGTGATTCATGGCGAATCCCAAAGACGTCAGCGGTGGTTGATCTGTCAACAATGATGCTGCGAGGTCTTTTGAACAAGGGTGAATTAGTCAGATATTCAATCTGGAATGCTTCATACAATGTCGAATCATGGATCAAGAGGAAAAACTAACCAATCCTAGAGTGAAATCGCAACACGGTTTCGAGCGGCTCTCCAAACCCTGAAAAGCTGTTGGTATTCCTCGTGGACTCATCCGATTGGAAAAAGGAGAGCCTTCTCCATTGAGAAGGGTTCAGAGTGAAAACTTCTCCCAGGGCCAGTAGGGCCAGTCCAATCCGCCTGACCCTTGGCTCTTCAAGGGCAAGAGACGGGTCGGTATCTCGCTGGAGCACTGTAGACCCTCCATAAGCCGAGTTGGACCTAGCCAGCTGGTTAGAAGCAGCCGACGAGATTGCAGACAAGATTGATCGCCGTTTCTGTGCAAGTAGCATGATTTCAGTCCCAAAGGAAGATCCTACGTCGCCTGCTTCTATCCACGGGGCGAGGTTATACTGAAAGTGAAGCAAGGTGGCAGTTTCATTTTTAACAGAAGCTGCGTGAGTAGTCGTGAAATAATCTTTCCATTCAGACTGCGGTAGATGGATGGCCGCGAATGGAGAGGCCGTTTTTGACTGAGAGCTCGAGCTGCCGATGAAGCTTTCCAAAATATTTTCGTCCCCAGGTCCAAGGAGAGGCCGCGGCTCTTCAACATGTAATGACAGCCCCTCATCTTGAGCAGATACCTGGACCTCAGTCGACTGTATCGGAGCCTTTGATGAAGAATTGTTGTTCACAAACTTGCGGTGCCTCTTGTAAGTAGCCTTTCAACATGTTTGGTGATGAGTAGCGCCGGTTGACTCACCCTCACATTGGAGTAAGATGACGCAGGTTGCTCCGATGAAGTACCGCCTGTTTCTTGGGCACCAAGCTTGGGGCCTATAACAAAGGTAAGATCCGGGTATTTACACACGACGTTTCTCTCCTGGCAGCTCCCACACTGAGGCTTGCCTTCGTCACCTGAAACCAGTCAGCAGCTGCTCGGATTCCAGATTCACGATTGATCATTTATTGCAGAATAATAAGACGAGAATATAATGAGACACGTAGCAAAGATTTAAGAGAGAGAAAACATACATTTTCGTCTTCGCTTCCGGCATGAGAGACAGCCTGTCCGGACTCTCCTTTTGGCGTCTGGGATATTGCGAATGACAGGCATTGCATCGTTTCCGAATATCCAGCAGCGCTACGTCACGACGCACGGCATTGCAGCTCCGCTCGCTCCTGGAGCAGCAACCAATAGCGGATTGGACTCGGCAAGAACGACGTCCACGAGATGTACAGCAGCTGATGGGATTTAGAACTGGAATCACGTCGAGTTTGACTCGCTGACTGTTGTTTCCTACTTTGAATACAGAAATCGTTAAAAGCCGATATTCTAGCGCCCCGCTACTAGGGTACCTGTCGTGTGGGGCAGCCCCGTTAATGTGCATGGCTTTATTACCGTCTGGGGTTAGATGGATGTACAGGCGGTTGACATTGGGGCGAGAAAGGCGACGGCTTTATTTGGTATTTGAATTTATTGTCTTGCTAGCAAAGCAAGGAGGTCGTAAGCAGTGGCAAGCAAAGGGAGGACAGAAAAAGCGAGACCTAAGTTTATAGGTATATTTAGCAATATAAGTACTTAATCAGCTTATTAAGTGGTGCTTTTATCAGGGAATGCCTATTCAGTCAGTACCCGAATCTTATTACACAACTGTAGTAGCAGATACTACAAACGGATAAGTATAGTACTATATCCTAGAGAAATATAGATATAGTAGTAAATACCAGAGAAATATAGATATAGTAGTAAATACTAAAGAAAATATAGCTATAGTAGTACTCCGTATACATCTAAAGAACAAGCGTATAATTTGATCCGTGGGTGTATTAAATCTTCTCCGCCCCAGTCTTTCTGTCCTCTGCTTGGATAGTAAGTGGTGGCTTATATATCATATTCCATTACACCAAGGCACAGATCGTAAAGTTCTCAGAGGGAAAAAAAAAAGTAAGCATTAATTAAGATGGGGTGTTGGCCAAATTCATATCGTGACTAATAGTACTCCGTTTCATTCATTACAAGTGGTGGCACATCTTCTCATGCCAGCAGCCGTTGCCCCTTTTCACAGCTTCTCAATCTGCGACTCGTGGATATCTCTCTTCTCGTACTGAGCCGCCGAGCGAGCCTCGACGAGAGCAACCAGGCCAACCTCCTCCTGCACCTCTCTCATCAGCCGGGCGTCAATCTCGCCAGTGCGGCTCTTGAACACTCGGTCCATGTCCTCGAGCGTGGCGTTCTTGGTCTCGGGGAGGAAGAACCAGACGGCAAAGATGCCCACGACGAGGAAACCGGCGAAGAAGATGTAGGTTCCCCAGGCCCAAGCGTCAAGCATGGGGGGGACGAAGAAGGCAATGGCGAAGTTGTTGAGCCAGTTGCTCATGGCACCGATGGAGGCGCCCTTGGCTCGGATGGAGAGGGGGAAGATTTCAGAGACGAGAGTCCAAGAGACGGGGCCCCAGGTCGCTCCGAAACCAGCAATGTAGACCCAGATAAGAGCTAGAAGAGTGCTAGTTAGCTAAATGTCCCCCCTTTTCCCATCTTCGGTGCTTGCTAAGGATAATCAACTTACCAACTGCTACCCAACCAGCAGCGGCGTGGTGAGGCCAGTCGTGGCGGAACTTGGCAACAATGATGCCAACAATGACCATGCTGACGGCCATGACAATGGAGCCGACAAGCAGCATGGGCTTTCGTCCGACCTTGTCAATGATCAACTGCAGATGTCGAGTCAGTTGGCTATTCAGATAATGCAGGTATGCTATGAAGACTTACCATGGCGGGCACAGTGCTGACGATGAAGACGACTCCGGTCACACCGGTTGCCAAGAGAGCAGTGGTGCCTCCAGTCAAACCCAGAGTGATGAAGATGTTGGTTGCATAGTAAATGATGGCGTCGATTCCACTGCACCAAAGTTAGCATGTTGAAAAGCAGACCATACAATGTATGGGATTATTCTCTCACCTCCACTGCTGGAAGAACATGATGAAGAAACCAGTCAAGACTCGCTTGATGTTGTCCTTGGAGTTGAGGCACATGGCGTATTGCGCAAACTGCTCGACAAAGGCATTGCTCTTCTTGCTCGCGAGCTTGGGCAGGTCGCGCTCAAAGACTCGCTTCTCGAAGACGCTCTCGGCCTTGATCTCAAGGTACTCGATTTGGACAAGTTCGTCGTCGACGGGCAGCTTTCGCATCCAGGCCATGGTCTTCTTGGCCTCCTCGTCGCGGCCAACCTTGACAAGCCATCTGGGCGAGAAGGGCATGAACCAGATGCCAATGGCGAGGGCAACGGCAGGGATTCCCTGGATGATGGAAGGCAGTCTCCAAGCGAGGTCCGTCTGGCCCTCGCCGGTTCCGCCAATGAAGTTGCTGCAGTATCCGACCCAGAAAGAAAGCATGATGCCGAGGATCGTGGCGAACTGGTAAAAGGACACCAACAGGCCTCGCATCTCGGGTGCAGACAGCTCAGCGTTGTAAAGAGGGCCGACACCGCTGAAGAGGCCGACACCGAGACCGGTGAAGAATCTGCCGGCGTACAGGAGCGAAGAGGCGCCCTCGTGGGCACCGACGTAGAGGTAGCTACCCAGGATGACCCAGATACAGGCGATGAACATGGTGTACTTGCGGGAGATGATCTCGCCCAGGACACCGGCCGACAGGGAACCGACGATGCCTCCCAGCTGGAGGACTGATGTCAGCCAGCCGGTGGCCGAAGACGAGTCGACAACGGCAGGGAAGTTTTCTTTGAAACGGGTCATGACCAGTGACTGGCCGAGGACACCCTGCTGGTAACCATATTCGAAACCACCCAATCTGCCCAAATCACAGCCAGTCAGTATATGCTTATGTTTGTGCGTGTATGCATATGTATATGCATATGGCAACAGCCACAGCCAGCCAGAAAGATGATTGATCAAAACTCACGATGCAAAAAAGGCAATGAAGAGGACCTTGGGGTTGTTCCGCAGAGACTGCCACATCGTCTTCTGGGCCTCATGCACGCGTCGTGCCGGCTCCACGGCAGCACCGCCGTTGGGAGCAATCTCAATATCCGTGGAGTCGAGGGACATTGCGAAGGTCTTGAGTCTTGCCGGGTGTATAAGCTTGAAGAAAGCTGGTTGAGTCGAGTTCCAAGAGGCCGCGGCAAAAGAAACGGGTGGGAGAAGCCCCGGATTTAAATGCAGCCCTCCCATACTCCGGATTTTCACCCTGTTTACCCCATGTTTCCCATATTTTAACTGCCACCTCGTGGTTGCGAAAATCCGGAGCCCCCCCATACGAATCATGGCCCGGCTTCGGTGGGGAAAGGCGAGCGAACCCGCGTGTTCTCGAGGATGATCTGGGAGAGTCGCGGGGGGTCGTAGCCTCGCACCCCTGAGTTGGGAATAGCCTCGCCCGCGCTGCGAGTGCCGAGCGGCATCCCGATTGGCTGCGCAGCGCTTCGGCTGTTGCCCGTGGCCTTGCATGTGGCGATGGCTTCACTAGAGCGGCTAAAGAGAGCCATGTCGGCCGCCAGTCCCGTTGCGGCAGCGTAGCCTACGAAATACGCGCTCTTCGAGGCTTCTCGCCATCCCGCTTTATGCTGACAAGGGGGGAAGGGAGCCCTTGACTGACTCGATGCGACGCTCATGTCATGTGCCCGGCGCCGAGAAAATCGAATCGAACCTCAAACCCACGAGAAAACGGCTGTTTTGTTCCGCAAAAACGGGCAATTCGTGCCGTTAGTTTTGCTGCTCGCCCCGCGCCGCTGGAGGTTGCGGTTTTGAATTGCGGAGAAGAGGCGAAGCTCTCCAAGCATCTGGATTTGATCGATCCCCCTTGCCAAAGGTTCCACTCGAGGCTGGTTCCCCAAACTTCCACGTGGAGAGCCGAAATTTTCTTTTTTCTTATTCTATCCTTGTTTTTTTTTTCTTGTTTTTTTTCCAAATTAAAGTAATACGAATCGTTAGTGGCTCGATTCTATTACTTCATCCATTTGTCTAGTTGGTGGATCTTGCCTCTCTTTCTCGGCCCTCCCAAACCCGCAGCTGACCGAATTCACTTACTTACTCTAGCACAATTCCAAAAAGTCACGCCAGGAATCCTTGATATCAGACCAGGCGGGCAGGGAGGTGGACTCTGGGCAAAGCAAGCAGACAAAGCAGGGAAGAAGAAACGAAAAAGAAAAGAAGAAGAGTTCAAAGCAAATAATGGCCACTGGCAATGGACGATCCAACGACTAACCAGGTTGACGGGGACGCCTTCATGTCCCCGACCTCGCTCTCCCCCTTTGACGATTACGCCGCCAACCCAAGGTATATCGAGCTTCAGGAAGAGCTGCGAGGCCTGCTCTTTGCCGGAGTCTCGAGTCTCGACCCGAGCAAGAGCGCAACGCCTGAAGAACCGGCCGCCGACGATGACCAGGCAGCATCGGTGCCGTCCTCAAAGAGCCTCGACTTCTCGCGGGTGTCGATCCCCAAGATGAGGCTCGTCAAGTATCTCAAGAACTGGGTCATCGAGTGCTCGCCGTACCTCGACAAGTTCGACGAGGCCCGCCACTTTGGCATCCAGGTGCCCCTGCTGGCCCAGAGCTCGCCCGGCCTGTTCTACGCCGTGCTCGCCTTCTCGGCGCGGCAGATGGAGAGAAAGGCCTGCCTGGAGAAGAGCTACGACAGCCTCGAGCTGTACCAGGAGAGCATCCGGCTGCTGGCGCCCGGATTGCAGGCCAAGGACCCCAACATGCTCGTCACGGCGTGCATCCTGGCCGTGCTGGAGCTCATGTCCGGCAGCCCTCGCAACTGGCGGCGGCACATTGAGGGCTGCGCCTCGCTCTTCGCCTTCTACGAAGTCACCGGCTTCTCGGGCGGTCTCCTGCAGGCCGTCTTCTGGTGCTACGCCCGCATGGAGCTGTGCGGCGCCATCATCTCGGGCGGCGCCGAGAGCACCGTCCTCGGCCTGGACAAATGGGTCCCCCCCGTGCCCGAGGGCCTGGGCACGTCCAAGTCGCAGGCCGAGGACTTTGTCAAGAGCATCTTCTACCAAAAGGGCCGCGAGACGCCCGACATGCACGCCAACTGGGCCGTCTACCTCTGCGCAAAGGCCTGCGACCTCATGTACCGCCAGGTCAGGCTCGTCGAGCTGGGCGAGCGCGACGAGACCGACGACCGGCCCTTTGTCGACCGGTGGCGCCGCCTCTGGTCCGAGCTGCAGTTCTGGCGCGACACGCGGCCAAAGTGCCTGCTGCCCATCATGACCACCGAGGCCAGCGAGAGCCAAATCTTCCCCATCATCCTCTTTGCCCACTGGGCCGCCATCTCCAGCAACCAGCTCTACCACGCGGCGTGCATCGTCATGCTGGAGATGAGGCCGCCCGGCGAGCCGCTGCCCAACACACTCGAGTACTCGGCCGTCTGGCATGCCCAGCGGGTGTGCGGCATATCGTGGACGAACCCCCACCGCGGCAACCTGATCAACGCGATCCAGCCTCTCTACATTGCAGGCAGGCTGCTGACGCATCCGAGAGAGCACCTCGAGGTGGCTCGGCTGTTCAAGATTATCGACAGAACGACGGGGTGGGGTGCCATATGGCGGTTGAAAGACTTGGAAGCGGAATGGGGGTACGAGTCGGGAGAGATTCTAAGCATGATTTGATACCCCGGACACTTTTCATGCACAGCATGGATGATGATGAAGCATACGAAACGGCATGAGACCGTATATGAGGCAACCTATTAATGTATATAAAGAAACGCCATATATGACACCGAACCTTGACCATTTACATAACCCGTATATGTACATAATAATTGATTCCATCACCTCATTCTTGACAAGTCCCTCCCCTTGATTTAGTCCTCGGGCGCCCTCGCACAACCGGGAACGAACCAGTAATTCCCGCTGTACACTGAGGTTGCCAGCAAGAAGGATATGAGGCCATAGATGCCCACGTTCTCAAAGCTCTCGAGGCCTCCTCTTGCCGACACCATGGTCCTTGCGGCATGGGCATGGGTAAACGAGACGTCGGTGTGACCCTCAAAGTACTGCGGCATGATTTAGCAGTTAGTCTGCATGACACAAGATGACAACTTACCGCTTCTGAACACAACTGCATAGCCAGCGTAATGGTCTGATAGGTCGGCCGCTCTTCACCCTCGATTGCCTTCTTCATCATCTCAATGCAGGCAAGACGATACCTCTCAACTTTCAGGTTGCATTTGGCTACCTCTTCCGGGTCTTTCGAGTTGAGGGCGCGCCTGTGATAGGCGATATAGAAAATACACGCGAGGAGGCTAGGATACTTGATGGCAAAGGGAACAAAGGATGATTTCATGCGCTTCATGACGGGAGCGACCTGGTCGCGGGGGAAGCAGATTTCATAGCCATACTTGAGAACCCAATCCAAGTCTTGATGATTGTAGACGACAAGATCAGCGCATGTGTGTACCCGATTAAGCACATAGTGTATGAAGTAAAGCAAAGACAGGAGTAGTCCACAATATCGGGGCGCCGTGACATGTATGCACCCATCGTGTAAGGAGTACATACATAGTAGTGCAGTAGGTACTACTAAGGTAGCAATACATAGGAAACACTCCACAGGCAGATCGGCGTCGGGAGCGATAGGGCACGGTACATGTACATGAAGAAGGGGGGGGATGAGATGGTGTTGGTGATTGGTGTTTTACACTCACAGAAATTAAACGTTGCGTATTCGTCATCCGTCAATTCCCAGGCAAAGGCCCCGTTCCACCCATCCCTCCTCGCATCGCCAATCAGCTTCCTAGGGCAAGGCACCTCCGCATTCCGATCCAGGGCTCCCGTCTTTGGTGCAATTCTCCGAAACCCCCGGGAGGACACCAGCATCCCCTCCTTTCCGCCAACATCCAGCCGTGCTCGAACCGGCAGTGCAACCGCGTTTGTCGAGGTGGAGTCGGAGCCCGGGCTCTCGGTCCGGGCGGGCGAATCCGCAGCCACGGCTGAAGCTGCAGTTGCAGTTGCAGTTGCAGTTGCAGATGCAGACGCAGATGATGAACAGCAGGCCTTGCCCGCCTTGCGCTGGCGGCGCCGGGCGTGGGAGTCTTTGGCTACGTGAGACCGGATCTGGCTGATGCGTTTGGCCGAGGTAGATTCACTGGGGTGAGCTGTGTTGATGAACTGAAGCTTGATTACGGATGAGCTGGCGGTTGTGGCGGGGGAGGTGTGAACGGTCGAGCCGCCGGAAGAGGACCGTGCTGGCCGAGGAACAGGCGGCCTGGGGATGATAGGCGGTTGATGCAGCATGTCGTCGTTGTCTTCGTCCACTCTCTGAAGAGTATTATGTATCATGTCCGCAGTCTTTCGTCACGAAGCTGGCAGAGACACTCGGCTTCTGGAGGAGGACCAAGTGGGAAGGTGTAGACGGTAGATATGTCTGACTGTGCTCGCCAGGGGCTTGCCCGCAGCCATTAATTCACTCGTACTGCAAGACAAGCGTCAGAAGCCACTGGAAATAGCGTATGAATAAGCTTAAAGGAGCGTCACCTGTGATGTTTCGCCAGAGTTGAGGTTGACCGGGATGGCGATGTGTGGAAATCACAAGTACCGAGTTAACCGGGGCTGCGGTCCGGGGGGGGTTTGACCAATGCCAATCGCGGGGGCTCAACTAAGAGCTGCAAATTCCTAAACGAGACAGGGGCCTCCGCTAATAAGGCCACTAACCTGGGGCTGACAAGTACATATTCGTCGTGGTATTGGTTACTTTAGATCCAACACCGCCTTGGCTGGAGATTGCGGTACCTGTACCTAATCTTCGGGATGCTTGCCAAGGCGTTGTGCAGCAGAGAGGCAGCAGGGCTATCCAATGGGATGGAAGCCTGCCAGATAGGTATCTACGTCGGCCCTCTGTTTCAGTGTTTTTCAGTCCATAAGATTAAAAAGCCACCCGTCAAGATGACATCGACCGAACCCAAGGTCACAGAATGGACTAATATAGAAAGGATATAACAATTTCGCTGTTGCCCATATACGAGCGCTCTTCCACTCGGGAGACTGAAAGTCTTTCTGCAACGTAATAACCAGAACCACTAAGAGTGACAGATATAATCCTGCAGCAGCAAATTCGAAACATGATTTAAGCTCGTGGTGGTCAACGCTGAATTGTATGAGGAAAATTGTAACAGGCGCATTAATAAAAAATTTATTCGGCAATGGAAGCTTGAAAGCCGCTGAGCATTCCGTGATTGATTTGAGAGACTTGAAGCTGAATCGTGGGGATACACCATGTTGTGGCGAATCAAACGTGCCTGGATGTAGATAAAAAGCTAGAGGAACTCTTCGACAGCCTTCCTGAGAGATGTGTCGTTTTGCTGCAAGATGTAGATGCAGCCGAGACAGATCGCTCGAAAAATCCAGACGCTTCGGAGAAAAAGATCCATGGGTTTACAATCTTTATTTCTTATGCCGCGTCTTAATACAGAAGCTCCTGATCGTCCACTCATTTAGCTTAATATATGGATCTACAATCTACTGGAACGGAGCAGCTTCCAACTTGGCCAACATCTTCCGTGGCTTTAGCGGCATTGGTGACAAGCCTCACCCACGCGAGGTGTTGGCTGACACGCCAGCAAAAATATCATGTTTGCACTCAACTTTCACACCTCAAGCGTCTTCCCGTTATACCTTGACCATTATTTTTCTGCAGGTCAAATAGTGGGAAACCTCCCGGTCAGTCCCAACACTCGTCCAAGGCACATTTACCCGTCATTTGCAAGACCCTGGCCCTCTGGGATGCCAAATTGGATCCAACACACCGGTTCTAGCCCTGCTCTCTCTCCCCAACCCAAGGCCGGTGTCCTCTAGCCTTGTCCAAGGTCAATATGATCGATCCTGAAGACAGGTTCTTCGCCACCAGTGGTGCCATCTATCCTGGAGGCCCAAGCACCTGGCATATCATCGACTGGGACCAACGGCGGCTCGTCTCGGTCACCATGGACGAGGAGCTTGAGTCAGAGGATCCTGCGTTCAAGCAACTCATCAAGCACATTGACGGCCTCGCACCCAACGTCTATGCAATTCACGTCTCTTCCAACGGTGACTTGATATCAACCTCCACTGATCCAAAGGATGACGAGACACGCTGTGTTTACCATCCACCGCTCGATAAGATTCAACGACCAGAACAAGTTAAAGTTGTCTCGCGGGGAAAACTCGAGGAACTCGATAGACTGAGTCCAAATGTTGACCTCGTTTTATGTCCACAGTCCTCCGAGCCTACTAAGAAGGTAAGTTAATCCGAACTGTTCTTTCTCCAAGGTCTAACTTGAGTCTAGCTTGTCTTCAAATACTACTTTCTCTTTCAACACTTGTCCTTTGCGTGGCATGAGATGAATCTATGGATACGTCTCCCCAAGCACCCAAATATCGTCCCATTTGACAGCATAGTCGTGGATGAACTCGAAGGGCGATTCGTTGGCTTTACAACCGTATACATTCCAGGGGGCACCTGGGAAGAGAACAGAACTCGTCCATTCAAGCTGAAATGGCTTCACCAGCTTATCGCCGTCGTTGACGAGTTGAATCTAAATCTCGGGGTTGCTCATCAGGATATCGCGCCCCGAAACCTACTTATACATGAGGGGACGGACTCCTTGATGCTTTTCGACTTCAATTTCTCAGCGCGTATTGGAAGGCCGGGATACTCAGAGGCTCGGAATGATATCAAGGGAACTTTATTCACAATGTACGAGATAATCACTCGCAATGATGATCTGCGTGCTATCAGACATGAGGATCAAGACGTCTCGGTCATTGAACACGAGGACTGGGTGAAGCATCCAGATGTTCTGCTGGACCACCCAACCTCGGAATTTCGCCACGTACTCAAGGAATGGTGTGAGAAGCGGCGAGCCGGGAAACAAATTACTGCGTACACAGACGCCGCCAATTTCCTGGACTGGCCGCCGGTTCCCGACCCACCACTTTCCGAAGTCGAAACACACTACGCAAGTAAGACCGTGAAAGAGCTCAAAAAGTTGTATGATTGGAAAAGAAATGAATTGCAGGAACAAGGCAAGGCCATCCTGAACTGGCAGCGCCCTCCTCAAAGGCCTAAGCAAGGTGAGCCGACTGGGATCGAGGGCAGCGGCTCTATTCAGCAACTAGGCTAGCCGTACCGCTCATTATGAATCTCTGTCGCGTATTGCGTGCTCACTGTGAGTTTCAGGGGAAGTTTTGAGAAGAAAGAAAAACGGCAAGTAAGATAACCTTGCTAAAAAGCTGGCTCCAAAAGTTGTACAGGTCATTTGCTGGGTTCAATTCTATAGTATCATGAGCCGTTCTTTGCAAAGGTCTACAAGAGGAGTTTGCCGCATACATACATGTAAATTACACTCGATCACTTGGGCATACCGACAAACCCAATTACGCATACAGAACCGTCCAGATTCAGCGTCCGCATTCAATTGGATGGAGAAGATAGTTCGCGAGCTGCATGGAACTGTACGTCTGCTGAGGAGACTTGAACTATGCGAAGTGACCGACTGTGTCGGTGAGAAAAGCTACATGTAGTAAAGTCCTACCGGCAAACCTGGCAGGCGCTCGGTCTTTGTAGAAGGCTTCATGTTCCCCAGTCGAAAGTGACGCGACTCACTAATCTTAGCATGACTGTTTTTGACCTCGGCTTACTGTCGTGATGCTTGTCAAAGCCCCTAGTTTATGCATCTCAGGCATATACTCGTAAGTACAAGGCATTAACACCACCTCATCTCGCCAGACACTTGTTGAGCTTCTCGCTTTTGCCTCCCGCAACCACAATGAATGCAACACAAGACAAGGCCGACCTCAGCTCGGTTGCCGCTAGAAACAAATGATTGAATGACTCGAGACGCAAAGCCGCTCGCCTCGTCGTCAGCACTGCGAAACGAAAGCGAAGCCACACCTCCAGCCGCTACCCGAAACCAGAATAGCCACACTGCTACTCCCGTCTAAAACTCTCAGGATCCCCATTCCTTCGCTCAGGAGTCCCAATGCAAGGGGCCCCAAAGGCGGTCGGCAAAGCCGATGTTTGTCCGCGAGGCATCCGTGGCGCAGCGGCAGAAGCTTCGCAAGCCATTGAGGCGGCTTGCAGGAATGCGGTTGGCCAAAAGACACCGCCGAAAGGGCTGCTGTTGATGTTGATGTTGTATCGTCAAAGCCTCCAAGCAACTGAGTGACGTAACCGGCATAGCCACTAAACACCTACATCTACACCTACACATACGAGTACACACTCACACCGGCAAAACAACAAATAAATCAAAGGTTTCGCCTCGCTAATTCCAGTCAAGAAAGCCACTGACTCGCCGCTGCTTCGTACTCAATTATCCAGCAGGTGTACAATCTCAATTCATCCTCTACCACTCCGTACTAGTCATGGGGAAAAGAAGCGGAAGTGGAAGCGGCCCCAAGCCGGAGCCGGAAGAATCTCACGGCGCACCGGCCGACCTTCCGCAAGAGCTGATCCCCTTCGACCCGGCGCCGCCGACATATGAAGAATCACGGTCAGGGCCGTCGGATTCGGCCTCCCTTTCCGTCTCCCATTCGCATTCGCTCTCTGCCTCTGCCTCTGCCTCAGCCTCGGCCTCGGCATCAACACCGCAGCCGCCGGCTGGAACCTCGGCCCTGGCCCCAACCGTTACATCACCGTTTAATTTCCCTACCGATGGCAAGGGCAAAGACAAGGGCAAAGACGGCTTCGTGACTGCTCCTCCGCCCGTCTACAAGGTCGGGTCATCCAGTAGCAGTTCCACAGCCGCCCGAACCATTGCCTTTCCTCAGATCAAACCCGATCCAGACTCGCCTTTCCTGGTGGCATATGCGCCTGTTCTTCTTGGCTATGGAATTACCGAGGAGACATGGCGGTCTTTTATGACTACCATCTCAGCCTTCCTGACGGCCACCATATCAGATCGCGCCCTGTCCCATGCCACCGATGTAGCCGCTCACATTGGCCAGAACCCCAAAAACTTGGGCAGAAACGTTGCTGCCCACGCCAAGTCCATCGGCAGGAACGTGTCGGACAATGCCAAACGGGGCAACATCATAGGCGCTGCCATGGGCCTCATCGGCGGCACCATTTCCCTGCCAATATCAACCGCCCTCGGCGTCGTGGGCACCACTCTTTCGCTCCCTGGCCAGGCCATTGGTGCCGTGACCAAGAGGCCGAGAACCCCTCATGAGAGAGCCGCAACGTATGCGGCCGTGGCAAATCAGGAGTGGTTGCACATGCGCGGCTTGCACGCACATCTGTTTGATTCCGCTGGACTGGCTCACCATTTGGGAATGCCGCTGGATACTTTGTTAAGCTTAGCCTGGGAGACCAAGGAGAGCGACGCCGGCAGACAGATGAGGGCACTGGAGCCGCATATCGCCGGGCTCGATGTGGACGAGGGGGCGAGTTTGCAGCTCAAGACTCAGACGTTGTGGTTGGTGCTAATGCCTGGAAAGGAATCCTCTTCAAGTTGAGTGTCAATTGTCGAGGCAGATGGCCGAGCTTGGAGTAATGGTTTTCTTATTAGTAGGGCAAGGGATACAGGTATATGTAGCTGTCCGAAACCTTGATTATAGAAGCACAAGCAATGAACAATGCAATTTGGAATCGTGTTGAAAACAGATGTAAAAACGACATTGCAGCCATCTCGGTGACGTGGTGTGATATTGCTCGCAGCCTTCGTATTGTGTGAGCAGTTCCCCTTGTACAGTCTTCAGCCACATATATGTAGCCTGGAGCTACCTGAATATACTCAGCAAGCCATCTAGCGGAGGATTATCAATTATTTTCTGCATATATTTGCAACATTGTTGCTTCTCATTCCTCGGCTTATTCCAACCAAGTTGATTCGGAGATGTAACCCCAGCAATTGCGTGATAAAAAAAAAAACCAGAATTAGAGCTGCTCCCGGACCGCCGACCGCGCTACACAAAGTCAAATCATTTGTTGGGATGTGTATCATGAGAATAAAGAATCTTCCAATCCGACATTGAAAATAATAAATAATAAATAACCAGAGAAAAAGAAAGAGATATCAAATCCCCTGACAATTCTACCACTTCACAACGAGAAGACTTGCCACTCCGAAGCTAGTGGAGTCGGTGATGCGACAGTCAACATTGAACCCGGGCGTTGGATCGAATTCCCGGCGGCCATCATACGAGCAATATACGGCGGGAAGCGCTGTTGGACCGCTCCACGTGGGACGGGCTCCAGTGAGAACTCTAAGCTTGTGCTGCTACTGTATCTACTAATCTACCATATCTCGGCTCAACTATGACGAGCTATTTTTTTTTTTTAATCCTTTCAAGGCTGGGGATCTCTAGCGGGAAGCAGCAATTCTCACTCACGACAATTACTTTCCCTCGTTATTCTCATGAATTCTGATCATTATTATTTTTTATAAAGAATAAAGAAGGAAAAGCAAGAAAAATCAGTTCAGTTCATAAAGAATATGATTGAAGAAGCGCCCCCCGCCGTCGTCGACGATGCACCAACAGACTCAAAGACCCACGATGTCGAAGGCGTCGTCGAAGAAACCGCAGATACCCGCGTTTTGGTGAGACATTCATTGAGCAAGCCTTTTTGCGACGGCGTCAAAACTTGTGCTGACGCTCCAATGATAGACGAAGCTCGGATACAAGCCCGTATGTTCGCAAAAACCGTCCTTCATTTTGCCTTTCAAGTGTAGCTGGGGAAAAACTCACACGAGGCTGTTTTTTGCAGGTGCTTCACAGAACCTTCAATTTATTTCACAATTTTTCAACCACCTTTGGTACGCATCTCACCCAATTCCAACAAGACCAAACGGAAATCATCAAACATATCAATAGCTCACACGCATAAACAGCCGCCTTGTACTTCATCGGCGGCGTCCGCGTCACCTTTTCAACCGGCATCGCTGCCGGCGGCAATCTCGCCTATTGGTGAGGCTCATCCCCCTCCCCCGCGATGCCAGCCTTGTTCTTGTTGCTCACGGCGATTTCTCTCTCCCCCCCTCAACAGGACAAGCTTCATCGTGACGTGCGTCTTCAGCTTCATCAGCGCCGCCGTCATTGCCGAAATCTGCTCGTCGCTGCCGCTTGCTGGGTCCATCTACCTCTGGGCGGCCGAGGCTGGCGGTCCTCGTTATGGCCGCCTGTTTGGATTCATAGTGGCCTGGTGGAGCACCACCGCCTGGACGACGTTTTGCGCGAGTATGTTTCTTTTGAAATGTCTCTTGCTGAGAATGAGATGAAGACTCGGGCGGGCTGACGAGAATTACTCGCAGGCAACACGCAGGGAGCTGTGAATTATATGCTGTCGGTATGTCTTGCAACTATCTATACTTCCCGGTGGCGATGTATGACTGATTCCAACTGCGTGTAATAGGAAATTGTTGTCTTCAACCTTGATTTCCCTTCAGATCCCTCAGATGTCAAGTTCCGTGCCGTCCAGTGGATTTGCACCGAAGTCCTCCTCGCTCTCGCAGCCATCTGGAATCTTCTTCCCCGTGAGTATATATATATATATATATATATATATCTACCTACATATCTATATGCTCCTCTCATCCCCAGTTCCTTCAAGCCATAAAGTCACATAGATCAAGAACTCACACGTCCCAAACAGCTAAATACTTCAAATGGATCTTCTACCTCTCCACCAGTTTCGTCATCCTTGACTTCATCCTCAACATGATCTGGCTGCCCATCGGCACCGCCCGCACGATTGGCTTCCGCTCTGCTCATGATGCCTTCATGACAACCTATAACGGCACCGGAGCCTCCCCCGGCTGGAACTGGTGCCTCTCGTATCTCGCCACCGCCGGCATCCTCATCGGCTATGACGCCTCTGGCCACGTCGCCGAGGAGACGCGCAACGCCAGCGTGACTGCGGCCAGGGGCATCTTCTGGAGTACCGTCGTCAGCGGGCTAGGCGGCTTCGTCGTTGTTATCCTCTTCCTCTTCTGCACCGTAAGTTCTATACCAGGTCCCATTGAAATATGTGGAAAATCATGAGCTGGGTTTGTTAGCATCTGACACGTAATCTCTTCAAAGCCCGACCCTGACACGTTATTTTCCTACGGCAGCCCCCAGCCGTTCGTTCCCCTATACGCCGTGATCCTCGGGCAAGGCGGCCACATCTTCATGAACGTAGTCTGCATTGTGGCCCTGTGGTTTGTATGTCTACCCTCCCACTCCTCATTGCCTCTCCGCTCTCTCATGTCTGATGCTCATCCTTGTCACGATAGAACACCGCCATCGCCATCCTCGCTGCTTCACGCCTCGTCTTCGCCGTTGCCCGAGATGGTGTCCTGCCCTGGTCGTCCTGGGTCTCCAAGGTCGTCGACGGCCAGCCGCGCAACGCCGTCATCGTCGTCTGGGTCGTCGCCTCCATCATCACTTGCACCATCCTGCCCTCCCCCGTGGCCTTTACCTCTCTCGTTTCGGCAGCGGGTGTGCCCTCCGCCGCGGCGTACGGGCTCATCTGCCTTGGCCGGCTCTTCCTCACGCCAAAGACGTTCCCCAAGCCGGCGTGGAGCCTCGGTCGCTGGAGCAAGCCCTTCCAGGCGATTTCCGTCCTGTGGAACGGCTGGGTCGTCGCCGTGCTTTACTCGCCGTACGTGTTCCCTGTCACGGGCGATACCTTGAACTATGCGCCCGTCATCATGGGCGCCGTGACCATCTTTGCCATTGTGTCGTGGTGGATCATTCCGGAAGATAGGTGGCTGCCCAGCCAGCGCATAAAGGAGCAGCTGCTGGCAGGAGAGTCGGCTGATGAAGAATGATTTGAAAATCCTGAGAGGACGTTGAGTGCGATTGAGATGGGTTGGGCGTAGTAAGTGTGCATCTAATATAGATACCCAGTAGATAGATAATGGACCTGATTGAAATGGCAGACTGTTGAGTTGCAATTACATGGACCCTGCCCATTGTGAAGAGTGCCTAAGAATATGACCAGCCCGGCCATGGTGGATGTCGTCCATACACGCGTTGTCACCGTTGTAGAATATTGGTCATTGGTTATAACGGATATCTTTTAAACTATCACTAACATCTTCGCTATGATGGATATCTCAACTACTGCTTGATATCAACAATGCCGTGCAATCCATCCCAGACATTTATAAAAAAAACACCCAATAGTAACCATCAGTCCCAAACTCCAAAACGGCACTTTTTCTAAACCCGTTCTTTGAATCAAAAAGAGAAATCATGAAAAAAACAAGAAAAGAAAAGAAAAGAAAAGATCGTGGAAACCCGCTCAAGCCCACCAGTCACCCTGGTCGTGCATTGCCTCAGCGACCTTGATGAAGCCAGCAATGTTGCTGCCGGCAACCAAGCTGGGCAGCTCGCCCTCCTTGGCAGGGACGTACTTCTGGGCCGTCTCGAGGCCGGCTTGGAAGGCGTTCTTCATAATGTCCTTGAGCTTGTCGTCCACCTCCTTCTCGGTCCAGGTCAGGCGCTGGCTGTTCTGCGCCATCTCCAAACCAGACACGGCGACACCGCCGCAATTCGCAGCTTTTCCAGGTGCGTACCAGACCTGACCCTTTTCCTTCCTCTGGGCCTCGAACAGGTCGATGGCCTCCTGGGTGCAGCCCATGTTGGATCCTTCTGCGACGACAAGGACTCCGCCGGCAATGAGGGCTTCGGCCTCGGCCTTGTTGATCTCGTTCTGCGTCGCCGAGGGCAGCGCAATGTCCACCTTGCCGACGTGGATCCAAGGCCTGGCGCCGTGGTAGTACTTGAACTTGTCGCCGTACTGGAAGTCGGTCAGGGGCCGGCGCTCGGCCTTAAGTCCCGCGATGTCATTGATGTGCTCCGGCTGGAAGGATTCGCCATCAGGGGCGATGAGCGCGCCGTTGGAGTCGGACAGCGAGACGACGGTGGCGCCCAGCTCAATGGCCTTGAGGGCAGCATACTGAGCAACATTTCCCGATCCCGAGATGGCGACACGCTTGCCGGCGAGAGAGCCCTTGCCAGCGTACTGAAGCATCGACTCCGTATAATAAATTAACCCGTACCCAGTGGCCTCTTTAGAATTTAAAATCTCGTCAGCAACTCTCTCTCTCTCTCTCCCGCCGTATTGGAAGTAAAAGGGGATACTCACCAGGTCGAATCAAACTGCCAGCCCAGCTCAGCCCCTTTCCGGTCAGGACACCCTCAAACTTGTTCCTCGCCTGGCGGTAGGCTCCAAACAGATATCCAATCTCGCGGCCAGAGACGCCAATGTCGCCGGCGGGAACGTCGGTGTCGGCGCCAATGTGTCGAGACAGCTCGCGCATAAAGGCCTGGCAGAAACGGCGGATCTCGTTGTCAGACTTGCCCTTGGGATTGAAGTCGGCGCCTCCTTTTCCACCGCCCATGCTCACTAGAAAGATTCATGATTAGCTTCAATGTTCCTTTCCCCCCTTCCATCTGCTGCTGGTTGTTGTCCAGGAGAGGCGGTTCTGCTTACGGCCAGTCAGAGCATTCTTGAAGATTTGCTCAAATCCGAGAAACTTGAGACTATACCACCCCCTTTTGTCAGCTCACATTGTCTCGTCTACACGGAAGGCAAAAACGTACATGGACAAGTTGACGGTAGGGTGGAATCGAAGACCGCCCTTGTACGGGCCGAGAGCAGAGTTGAACTGCACGCGGTATCCCCGGTTGACGCGGAGCTGGCCCTTGTCGTCCTCCCAAGTGACGCGGAACTGGATCACTCGCTCGGGAATGGCGGCGACCTGCAGAGCGGTGCGGTATTCGGGGTGTTCCTTGAAGAGGCTGCTGTCCTCGAGGGTGCTGGCCAGCTCTGGAAGTGGCGGGAATGCGTTAGTCTCGTAGTTGTTTTCGTCGAGTTTTGCCATTGATATAGAGGGGAAACTCACCCTTGTAGGCCTGCTCGAATTCGGGCTCGGAAGGGAGGTTAGACATCTTGAGTGTGCGTGTATATCGGGCGTCGATTGTTGGTGAAGAGTTGATGTGGGCGAGTCTACTATAAGGTAGTATGTATATATGTATCTTGTGTCGCGTGATTCAAGGCCACTCAAACAACAATATCTATATGGCAAGAGCTGCAAGACCCAGTAATCAAGAAATAAGAAAAGAAAGAAGGAAGGGGAAAAAGCCAAACATTTCTACCACGGGAATCAAGCTGCTCTTATATAGATTACCTACTAAGATAGTACTCCGGATCTTCGCCTCCCTCCCAAAAAGCCAAGGCCCAAAAGTTTCGCCATCTCGGCCAAACTCAATGGCCAAGAAACTCCATCATCGCTTCTTCCCCCCATCCCCATCCCACCCCCATGGCACGTTACGTCTCACCAAAGAAGAGAAGAAAAAATGTTAGGAAGCCACAAGGTTGGCGCTCCGATAGTCGCTTGCTTAGGTAGATGAGATTAGATTGGGAGATGGAGGGGGGGGCGTCAGTCTATGACGCTGCTCGACAAACACCATGGAAAAAGAAAGGACATTAAAAGCAGCCGAGATCTCTTGTCAGCACGGTAAAACAAAAACACCAAACGCCTCCAATAATCGCTCAACGGGGAAATAAGAAGAAAAAGATACGCCCCACGCCCCAAAAAGCGCCATTTAATCCAAGAGGGCTGAATATTCCGTCTCATCCCTCGCCCGATGTCTGTAGTAGTAGTAGTAGTAGTAGTAGTAGTATTGAAATCACTAACACGGGTGTGTAAAGAGATTGACGCGCCCATCCTATCAAATCAATAACAAGCCATCAAGTAAAGCATATCGATAATGATAACCTTCAATCACAAACTCCACCACCAAATAAGCCGTCAAAAAGCCGATTTCATCCCAGTCTATCAATCCCCTATCCGAGCGACGACGCCCGCCTTGATTGGCCGCCGATTTGAAGATTCAATTGCGTCGCCGCATCGCCGCCGTCCAATCGTAGACTTTGGCTAAGATCCAAGCGCGCCGTTACCGGCATGCGGGAAGCACGCGAAATCAGAGGCTAGTCGATGGCAAGGGTAGCGATTGGCTTGGGGGGGGGAGTGTGCGGTTTGACATGTGCTTCAGTCTTGCAAGACATTTTTTTTTGATCTTGACGATATCAGGCAATTACACGTGTGATTCCAACTGCTCTCTCTCTCTCTCATATCTCTCTATGACACAAACATACGGGGAAGCAAACATTGAAGATTGGATGGATTGAGCAACGCATGCCCCCCATTCCACAGCGCTACAGCACAAGCCCAACCAAAACGCCTCTATCAAGAGAAACACAAAGACTTCAATGCCAATTTCCAGTCCCCATAATTTAGACATTGCCTGCTTCACACCACCATTCCTACAATACATCCATACAATACATCCATACAATGCCACCCAGCCAGCCATTGTGCCTCATAGCATTCATTGCACAATAAAAGCGGCATTAGTCAGTCACCGCTGTCACGTCCTCGTACAAACCAAAATCCAAATCAATCGCCGTTCCGGTTTCTCCCTACATCCACCAACCCATCACCTCCAAACCACCGACTCGTACGCAAAAAAGACGCCCTGCGGTATCGGAGCTCACCGTCAACCGTCAACCCAGATTGCCATTCTTTCTCAGCTCTCTAGTCGGCCCTCTTACTCGTAGTCTCGGGGCCACAAACACCCGCATAATTGATTGCCTGCGTGGATTTGCCGTGTCTCGAGCCGCGGCCTCGGAATAACCAGGCTCTGCATTCCCTCTCACCGAACGTATATACGCTGCCCTCTCGGCGATGTCAGGAACCCCATTTCGTTATGATTATTTCTTGGCAATTGAATTGTGCGATGCTAATACTTGGACGTAACTGATTCCATCTTTCTCCCTGACGATACGCTGTCCCGCCAAATCAACTTGTGATACCTATACATGATCCATAGTCGCGCCTCTTCCCTCCACATTACCGACGCAAAAACGGCATTGCAGAATATCGAGGCAATCATAGCGATATACCATGAACCCCCACGCATATTGGTCCGTACATAGACATACACATGCTATACGAGTACGATGCTTCGCACTCACTCCAGAAAACGCCATCCAATGATGGATACATGCAAATACAGCCCTTCTGCTGTCCGGGCCCTTCTCGTCTGACCCCCAAAAAACCCCGAGAAATAATAAGGCAAAATACGGAGTAAGAGGTTGCATCATCGTGCAGCTCCCCACCTAAACCCCCATGCAAGCCTCTCACCAGATGGCGGCTTGGTCTGCATCGAATCTGGAGAGCTCCTTGCCTGCGTCCTCCAGATCCTTCTTGGCCTTCATTCGCATGTAAAAGATGGGGCAGTCCTTGCTGCTGCAAATGACTTCGCAGTGCATGCTACCCTGGCATCTCTGGCATTGAGTCCACAGCCGTCCGAACCGCACTTCAAGGTCCGATACTCGGTCCAGCGTCTTGTTGTACAGCTCTCCCACGCGAGGCGCGCAGTCGCCGCACACTGCGCCGGCGCTCTCGTGCTTGCCCGTAAGCGGCTTCTTGCATCCCATGCACGTCTGCGTCTTCTTGGCAAACTTCATCAGGCCACCGACCGTGGGGGCCGCCACCGAGATGGTACGCGTGTGGTCTCCCGTCAGCAGAGACTTTGCCTTTGTCTCGCCTAGGATGGGCTCAAAGATTCGTCCGAGCGGCTTCGCTAGCTGGTTGTCCAGGTAGTACTTGGTGTCGATCGGCACGTTGTTCTCCAGCACGTAGATTGGATCCTCCGACTTCTCAAAGTTTTTGGCTCCCGCCGCTCCCCTTACCATGACATACGCCACTCGATCGCCAAGGCCAGGCGCCGAGCCGGCATCGCGCTTCTTCATCCTCTGTGCGAGTTCGACGTGGGCTTGCTTGGCTGCGTAGTCTTCCTTGGTCAGGGCCTTTGTGATGACCAGTTTCGACATGTCAACCTTGTTCTGTAGCAGATCTGCAATTGTGCCTTTGACGTAACTGTTTGCAAGAGACATTAGCCATTCTACCCCCTTAATCGTACGATCGCATCTACTTTGACTTACTCTTGTGCACCTTGAACGTCTCGGTCGATGAGAATCATCCGCAAGACCTTTTCAATGACAGTCTGTGCCAGCAGGCAGTTGTCACGCCGCACCGTTTCAAGACCCTTGGTGTCCATCTTGTCGTACTTCTCCGTCCTTGTCCAGTATAGCCCGGCATATCGCTTCTTGTTGATGAGGAGATATGGGAAGTAGACCTTTTCGAATTCGAGCTTGATGGGCTTCAAGAACTTGCCCGATACGAATTTAGAGGCTTCCTCACCGAGCTTCATCGCCTCTGCGAGATCCTTGGTTCCAAACTTTACCATGACGGAATCGGTATCACCGTAAATGACCTGAGCATCGTGGGTGTAGCCGTTTGCAATGGTGTACTTCATCTCCACCTCCTTCTTGGTCTTCTCAATCATCTGGCGACCGAAGCTGGTGGTACTACTTGCAATCGCAAGACAAGGTAGCTTTCCCGTCGTCGCACCCGTCAAACCGTAGACAGAGTTGGCGCTGACTTTCAACGCCAGCTGTCTACCGTTCAGCACGGCCTTCTTGAAGGGATCCGTCTCCTGGGCTAGCTCTCGCTTCGCCTGCTTTCTAGCTGATAGCAATTCCTCTAGAATCTGAGCGAGCAGGCCTTTACGCTTCGCGGCCGTCACAAAGGAGTCTCCGTTGGGTGTGACGATGTAGTCGACGTCCTTTTGCAGCTTGAATCTCTCGACATCTCCGGGTCTTAACAAGGTCGTGTAGCATAGGTTGTGTGCTTGAATGATACTCGGATACAGGGAAGCAAAATCAAGAGTTGCAATGGGTACGTCGTAGTACCCTCGCGTCGGCTCAATAACTGTCGCACCTTCGTATTGATCCTCTGTCCCCTGAGGGGCGATGTTGGGGATGACTAGCTTTTGTTCCAGTGCTTTACGGAAAAGCTGACTGACAAACTTGATCTGCTGTCCACGCGAAAGCAAAAAGTTAAAAGGAACGCCCGTGACTCTAGCCATTTCGGTATAGTTTTCTAGACATGACAATTTATCCATCAGTCTTTGGGGGAGATAGGCATCCTTCAAACAGTAGAGCGCCAGACGGCGTCGTGATTCCGGCGTTCCGTTGAATAGTTCCGTAATCATGGTGTGGTGCACATCTTCCTTTTGCTCGCCTAAAAACTGGGAGCACACAGAGTTCAGCGTGTAACTTCGCAGGTGATGATCGCGCTGGACCAGCTGCAGCATGTCGAGCTGTAATCTACCGTTGGTATTTGTGGCCTTGGTGTCACGGCTGCCGATTTGTTTACTTGAAAAGTTGGTTTCCTTGACCCTGGACGGCTTGCTGGGAATACGAGACCAGTACTCAAAGCCTTGCACCTTGAGGTGCTTTGCACGATCAAGAAGGTAGGGAAAATCAAAATTGGAGGTGTTGTAGCCGATGATGATGTCTGGATCGACCCTAATGAGGAATTGCTGCCACTCGTGGAGCATCTGCTCCTCTTTCTCATAATCTAGAATTTGTGTCGCGACAATGGAGCTGGTAGTGTCTAGACAAAAGACGTTTCGGATAAAAGGCTTCTTCTCTCCGTATTTGGTGACCACGTTTGCAATTTGGATGACGGGGTCGACGTTGGCCTCTGGAAAGATTCCCTTGCGTCCAGCGCACTCAATATCGAAGGAGAGGATACGCAGAGGAGCCATCTTGGCCCAATCTCCCTCCGGCTTGTGGGCTATGAGATCCATGTAGTTGACTTCGGCTTCGATCTGGCAATTGGACTGGCGGCTGTGTTCTGGTATCATTTTGTAGCTGCCGGCAGGGGCTTCCACCCACGACATGCCTTGAATCTAGCCCGCTGTCTGTTAGCCAAACCGTCATAGCAGCAGGAAAATCAATTGGTGCAGTGAGCCATTACCTTGCAATCTACCATGAATCGCAGAACGTATTGGATATTGTCATATGTTCTCAGGCCTCCATCCAGAGCCCCCCACATGCCTTTCCAGTTTGCAAGACCCTTTTCTATTGTCGATCGCACCGTGTTGATAAACTTTGGATCGGTGACGGTGATTTTGAGGTAGGGGCTTCGTACGTTGCCCTGGTAGTGGTAGATGTCTTCTCTCAAGGCCAAGCTCACTGAATGGATCGCAGGCTGGTGCTGGGCGACCTGCGTCTCGAGATATGCCTTGTATAGCGCGCAGTCCGTTTGCTGGAAAGACAAAGGGGCGGCCACGTAGAGGTAGTGCTTGAAGTCTGTGACATGCAGCATGACTGAGTAGCCCTCGGCAGTCACGCCAAAGAGCTTCACGGCGACCTTTCCGCCGTTTATCGTACCCTCTTCTGCTTCGATGGACTGGAAGCATATGCTGTCCCGGTCCGGGACGAATTCCGTGACCGGCGGCCGGTCCCATGCCTGGTCCTTTTCTGTATTGTTCTGCTTGCGTTCGGATATATCCTGGCTAAGCTTTTCGAGAACTTCGGATTCGAACACGCTTTTTGTCTGACCAGATCCCAGCTTGGCTCCGGGTCCCTTTTGTGAGCTGATGAAGCGAGGTATCGGTGCAGGCTCGTCGATTTCAGTCTTCCGCTTCTTGGCGGATTGTGGCGATGAGGGGATGTTCTGGCGAGTGCGGGACTCGCCCAGCACTCGCTTCTGAGGGACGACTGTGGCAGCCATGGTCCTTTTGTGATGCTTGTTGCAAGAGACTAAACAAACCAAGACCGGCTGTAGCTTGTCGTTTGGGGATTCCAACTCCAATGATGCTGGGGCGACTTGTTGGTCCCTGGAGGAAAAGGCGAGATTCCGTGGCCGTCACGATATTTCCAGCAATACGCGCCTACCGGACCGTGACGTGACGAGACCCACCTGTTCTTTAATGGGTTCGCACGTGAGTTGGCGTTCTCTTGTTTCCGCGTTACCTAAGCAGATGTACAAGGGTACAAGGGTTACTCGGAGGTACTAACCTTACCCGAGAGCGGGGTTGCCATTCTCCGGGGTACTCCTGGGCCTAGCCGTCTCTAACAAAGCTCAGGAAAGGGGAGGCAAAAGCACATTAAAGATTCCACACAGCAAGACGCCACCACGGATCTCCCTTTGCGGCCCGTTGGTTTTAGAACGATCTTGATCTATTGCTAGCTAGCCAGGGGCAAACAAAGAAGCACAAGAAGTTCTCATTTAGCAGTACAATTACTGGTTCAGGAGTCACGACTATGACAGACCCATACACTCCCAGCAGGCATAACAACACACTCGTTCGGTCCAGAGTGTATTGAGAGTCAAACAGCTTGGATCATCACAAGTGGTGGTCATAGTCTTCAATAGCTAGAGCTAGCCTCACGCTGTAACGCTCAACCGACAAGATCAAAAGACTTACCGATGAATCGCGACATCATCTGTTCCAATTGATGTGCCGTCGTATGTCTATAGGTAGGTACCATGGGTTAGCCGGCAGATCTTCCCAGAAACAACAGGAATTCCAAAAGAAAGGACTAGAGCTTTGTATCAGAAGTGTATTCTTTTTACTCAACACATGTCCCTTTACGGGATCATTCAGTTAAGCCATGCATTGAAGAACATTCATCATGAAGACAGGCGGAGGAATGGTTAGGACTCCTTGCCCATTCTTGTCGTACCTTTGTTGTCGAATGCGTCTGCTCTCACTTGATGCGTGCTCTGCTATTCTTATTGCCGTCTAGCAAGTCATGTTTAGCTCTGCTCTTCTTGAGGTGCTCGTTTGTGTGCTGTCATTGAGACAAGGAGCCACATGAGGCGGTATGAATGGGTATTCGCAGAACAAGGGGTTAGACATCGAGAGCAAAGTCTGGGAGAAAACAAAGATTCCTGAATGGCAAAAGATATTTAGCCGTGGGCCAATTACTCATTCAACAACAACAGCGTCGTCATGCCTCGATTCTCTTAGGTAATTAGTCGCGGGACTTGCCGCCTGGCAAACAGCTGAGCTGCTTTAGCACACTCAATGCCAGGATGTGACGCAAATGTGGCCAGATGCATCAGTCATCTTGCAGAGACATAACCCCTAACATACAGAAATAAAAGCAAAAAGGCCCTCTCCCCTGTTTCCATTCCCATGCAATCAGTTACACTCTTCGAGATGTAGACAGTCTAATTCTGAGACAACAGTCATCGTCTATATACAAACTGTAAGATGGGTTTGTTTTCGCCCCATTATGAGATCATCCCTGCCCCCTTTCCATTGTCTTGGGAGTGTGAAACCGTAACCGCCTCCACGACCTTGAACGCCAGCGCTGTATGTATAATGTAAAGAATCCTCTCACTCTGTTCCCTTCCCTCTTTTGCAGACATCTCATGGGTCACCAAAGATGAATTTTGGACGTTGACAAAAAAAATCGGCTTTCTACCTCCTCATGTTTCGTCTAGAAGTTTTCGCACCTTTTATACCTTTACTGCACCTTGATGGTTCCAAGATCGCACCATCCATTGACAGGCTGTACCATGTTAGCTTGTCCTTGGCAAAACGAAAGGGGAGCGCAAACTCACGAGACAACTAAGATACTTGCACCAGCTGCAAGTATTGCCAACCTTGTAAAAGTTGTTGATCAAGACGACGAAGACGACGATGATGACCACAAGAGCGGCCGCTCGAACAAGCCACCAGGCCCACCACAAAGGTTTCCGTCCCTTGAAAAAGCCAACTGGGCTTTTGTAAAAGGGAACAGAGCCCGGCTCCACCGCACCAGGCACTGCTGAGTAAAATGGATCCGGACCAATTCTCCTTCGCAGAGAATTAGGAGAGTGTAGGACGCAGATACCCAAGACAAGGCCCATCAAGAACCCTCCAATGTGAGAAAAGTTGTCGAGACCGGGCAGCAGCCCGAGAACAAAAGATATAACCATGTCGATTATAATGAACAGCAGATCCTTGACCGGACTTCGCCGCTCCTTCCACGAATATAAAAGGTCGAGTAGAGTAAGAGCGATGATTCCAAAGAGAGAGCCCGATGCTCCAGTAGAAGCAATACCGGGGGCGGCATAATTACCTCCCATGACGAAACCAAAGATGCCGGCGCTCATATAGACGAGGAAAAATCGAATCGACCCAATTGCCATCTCCATCTCTTTGCCGATGGTGAGTTGCATAAGCAGGTTGAAGCCGATGTGAATAAGCCCTGCGTGCATGAAAATCGGAATGATGAAGCGCCACCACTGATTGGGACTCGGGGACTGGTGCTCGTCGCCGTCGAAAAGAGGATCCGGGACGTCACCGCCGAAGCCGCATAGCTCCGACAGAGGGCAGAATTGCGTACTCTTGGTGGCGTTTGGGCAGAGGAACAGCACGGGGATCGTGGAGCCTTGGATTTCCTTGATATTGTGCATGCAGGGCGGGAAACGGGCGCCCATGTTGATGAGGACCTGTGTCGACGGCCCGATCATTGGGTTGAACTGGGGCTTGATCATGATGGGAGAGCCCGTCAAAAGACCTGCAAGATACCATGGTTAGAGCCGGTGTAGCAATTTGGAACTGGATGATCGCGTGCGCTTACCATTCCGCACAATCTCGGCGATGAAGACGGCGACTTGGGCAACCGAGAAGATGTAGACCAGCCATGGGATGCGCTTCCTGTTGGAACCAAACATGCCCAGCTCGCCTACCCGGACCTTGCCTCTCTTGTCACGCCTCTGGTCTGACTGTGCAGCCGGCGCGTCGTAAATGTGGTCAGTAGCCTCGGGAGACTTGCTCGTGTGGTCCTGCAGCGGGATGTTCTCCGTCCTCGAGCCATAGTAGCCCGTATCTTGGTGGTAGAATCCTTGCTGAGAGATGTCGCTGCTGCTCGCGCCGCCCGGCCCTGAGTTCGAATTCGTTGGGTATGCGTGATCGTCGAATACGGTATCAAACGGCGACGCACCTGTTGTGGGCTGGTGGTTCGGAGCGCCATATGGGCTCTCATAGTGAGCATCCGAATAGCCTGGGTTGTAGGCTTGCGGAAGCTCTGAATCTGACGGCGCGTGCGTACTGTCGTAGTAAGGGGCTGTAGGGTGGTTTTGGGGCTGCTGATTGCCGCCGTAGTAGTAACTGTTGGCAGCCATGGCGGAAGAGCTGTCCAGCGGGCTCTGACGCCACGCGGAGGAGGGGGGGGGAGGAGGAGAAGCGATGGAATTGAGGAGAAGCGAAGCGACGCCAAGAACAGGATCAAGTGGCCGTCTTGCGTATGGATGTCTTCAGAAGCGGTGTATCGCAAAGAGAGTTGCAGCAGGTTCGGTGAATGAATGGATGAATGCGTCCAAGATGCGGATGGTACGAGGTACGAGGTATGAGACGTGTAGGAGGGCAGGAGAAAGCCTTGCTTTGATGTTTGCCAGGCGATTACGTACCTAGTGGATACGATGGATGTGCGATGTACTGGTATTCCGCCGGCAGCGATTCGTACCAGGTTTACGGAGCTCAGACGCTGCAGATGCCCCTGTCGGCCTGTGCACATGCAATGATTTGATGGATCAGGTCGTTAAATTGCCACTGCGCAGTGCATTTGCACAGGCTTGCCGGTGTTTCAGGCCTCGAGTCGCGGCGGGGGCGTCTTTCAGATGCAGACAAGATGAAACAAAAAGAGGCTGGCAGAGGCTCGTCGTATAAAGAGAGACGGGGAACAAAAGGGCGACCAAGGCAAGGCGAGCAGCAGCTGAGGCGCATTTTCTTATAATAACCTTGAACTGGCCGTGCTAACATCTGATCGAAGAATCCTACGGCAGTGGCATGCACAGCACGCTGACGTGGGTGGGCCCAGGGGGGCTGGGCTGTGCTGTGCTGGAACTTGTGCGTCGATCAGCCAGAAAATGACGGGCTGGAAGTGCTGTGGCGTCTGTCCCGTGCTATTTTGGCCTGATTGTCCACCTCAGCCTGTTGCTAGACGCCTTTTCCGCACCATGGCTGCTCGTTCCGCCGGGTCTCACCAAAACAGGGACAAGTTGAAGCCATCCATCGGTAACAACTTGAAATTAGTAAGTGCACACTTTGGGCATGGACAAATAGCGAAGCTCTATCGAAACATCGATCCAGAAACGTACAAGCGAATCGCGCGAGGCCAATCATGACCTTCGGTGCCTCCCCTACCTACTGTACGGAGTAGGACACGACAAATAGGTGGCTCAGACTGCCTTAGTACTACGAGTACTGCTGAGATACGAGCTGGTGCTGCTCAATCGCCCAGCTCTGATATTCGGCCGGGACGCCACAGTGCAAGGCGCTGCTACAGTACGTGTACACACGTCTTGGCTGTCATAATGGGCCTCCGATTGATGTTATATTTAGCAACTTCGGTTTGCCAGCAAATGGACAATCCCTAGGCACCCGGCATCAAATCGGTATTTGGAGCGAGTTACTCCCAATATATTCAGCACCCCAGCGACTGCATACAGTTTGAGCATCGAAACCTAGAGCTAAATTATAAGACTAGGAGGTACTAAAGATGCTGAATAGTACCAGGCATTCCCTATTTTAAGCTTCAAACACATAGGTACCCTGTCAAATGCCCTTTTTTTTGCTCCAGAATAGGCAACCCAGAGTAAATATTTCATGTGTTTCTAAGGGTATTTCTCTTCCATCCTTTTTTGCCCCAGCTTTCTGTGACGTAGCCACTTTTGTCTTTCGCACCCATCGCACCCCTCATCAGCATCATCAATATTTGAGCCGCCGTATTTGG